TGCTCGACGAAACAGAGTTCCTATCCGAGCACGGCATCCGCTCCATGTCCAAGTTCCACCAAGACAACCCCTACTCCATGGAAGTCAACGGCCAAACCTTTAAAGTCGGCTACGTCCCCGGCGACTCCGACTCCTCTCTCTTCGGTGGCAACAGCAACTGGCGCGGTCCCGTCTGGCTCTGCGTTAATTTCCTCCTCGTCGAGTCCCTCCTCCGCTTCCACCTATTCTATGGTGATACCCTGAAAGTCGAGTGTCCCAAGGGCTCAGGGGACTACATGCACCTTGGACATGTCGCAGAAGAACTGCAACACCGCATGCAGCATCTCTTCGCCCGCAATGACGAAGGCCGCCGCGCCGTAAACGCCGGCTCCGACCTCCTCGATTTCGACGAGCACTGGAAGGACAATCTCTGGTTCCACGAGTTCTTCGACGGCGACAGCGGGCGCGGGCTGGGGACATCGCACCAGTGCGGATGGACAGGACTAATCGCAAAGATCATCCACGACACCGGTATCAACTGCCGTCTACCGCAGACCCCGCGGTCGCCCTTCGCCGCCGCATCGCACTATTTCGACGACATCTTCTCCCGTTCTGGACGACCGCGCGGCTCGGACCGTCCGTCTATCCGTCGCTCGTCGACTACACGTTCCATCGGTAACCGTAGTGACTACTACTCTGGCGATGCTACCCCCGCCGCGTCGACCGTCTTGGATGAGGACTATGAGAGTCGTGGCCCTAGTCGTGTGGGCAGTCGTAGGGGTAGCACTGCGGACCCTGATAACCAGAACCATGTTGACCACTATGTGGAGAGTCAGCTGCAGCGGGTGCGCAGCTCAGCTTCGATTGCTGCGTATGAGGATGAGTTTGAGACGAGGGCTGAGAAGGAGAATGAGCAGAATGGACAGTCTTGATTGAATTTTGGATGTTGTCCATCTTTTGCATTCCATTTGTCTTCCATTTTATGACGTAAATTTGTCTCCATCTCCTTTTTCCTCTCTCCTGGTCATTTTCCTATTTGGTTGCTTCTGGGAATGATAATAACGATCTTCTTGTCTGTGATTACTGTTCTGTTTCTTTCCTCCCGAGGTCTTATACATGCTGCATGTCCTGCTATCTATCATTTCCAACCTATTCATATTTTCGGAGTATACATAGTCTTGATTTCCAGTGCATTTGATAACGAAGTAAACGTTAATATCATTCGTTAAGCTCCCAAGGAGATAGGACTACTTGTTCGCCCTGCGCCTAGGGGGTATCACGCCTAGGGAAGTCAAGTATAAATAAAATCATCGCGTGGATTGACCGATCAGTAGGGCACGTCGGGTCCACAGGATACACAAGGCACGACAGACACCAAGGTGAGCGGATTAAGGGATAAGAAATACATGTACATTGCAGATTATTAACCCGCTAGACCAAGGTGTCCTTGGTACCTTGTAGGGCTCAGGCAAGTAACGATCTGTAAGACACCAACTATAGATGAATTTGTGCAATTGACAATGAGAACAAAACAAAATGAAGGTAGAAAAGGGAATCTTCGAGTGCCCCCTTCCCCTACGAACGCTACCGTTCATCCGGGACGATATGCTATAATCTAACCATCCCCTCAAACGCTGAGGCTAATTTACATTTACAAAGCATCGGAAAGAGCCTTGTTCATCTTGGCGATCTTGGAAGAAACGCTAAGGTCAACGGTGCGGTCACCAATCTCAACGATGAGTCCACCAACGAGGTCGGGGTTGACCTGATTAACAGAGTTAGTAAACAGCCACAAAACAAAAATTTCATCCAGAACAACGCACCTTGGCGACAACCTTGAGCTTCTTGCCCTGGCTGAACTGGGACTTGGAAACAGCCTTCTCAAGACGGGAGATGGTCTTGGCATCGAGCTCCTGCGGACGAAGTTTTAGCATATACCCTTTAAATCTTTTTGCGAGACCGAAACACAGCTCATGGAGTGCGTACCTGAGCACTGGTGATGTTGAGGTCGATCTCGCCGCGGTGAGCGCCCATCAGGGTAGCGAACTTTTCGCAGACACCCTCGAGGGAACCGAGACGGTTGTTCTCGGCGAGAGTCTCGAGGAAGTTCTGGAGGATACCGGCCTTATCGGCACCGGCAACCTTAGCAAGCTCTTCGACGATAGACTTCTTGTCGGCGTTGGTGAGCATGGGGGCGCCGAGGATGTTGACGAGCTTCTTGTCAGCCTTGAGGGTCTCGCCGAGGGTAGAGATAGCACGGGCAGTCTGGTCGAGAGCAGCGGACTTGGCGGAAGCGGTGTACTATTCACGAGCATGGTTAGAAGGGAAATACATTCCGGTCACAGGTTATAGTGTTTATGATGAGGATTTGAAGATTGCTTTTAAAGAGTGGAACACGACTGTGGGAGGGGTCGGGGAAAGACGGGGGCGTTCGTCGCGAAAGAGGCGAACACACGGTCGCGACAAGACCGAGCAATGGAGGTGCATACCAGAGCAGAGGCGTAGGTGCCATCAACGCCGAACAGAGCGACGGGAGCGCGGGTCTCCTGGGCGGGGGTGGCATAGGACCTGATGCCGTTAACGGCGGCGGTGCGAGGAACCGAGAACTGGGTGGCGCGCAGGCCAGCGCGGGCGAAGCGAGTGGACATCATTGTGCAATTGGCTGGAGGAGTGGCCTCGAGGAGAGAGGAGAGACACAGAGGGTTTGGATGGGGAGGTGATATCGACGTTCGGAGTGCTTGCTTCAAGGATGCAAGGTTGAGAACTCCGGGCCGAATGTTCCCGTGATCACGTGCACACACAAGGGCCAGGTCACGTGTTTATATAATTACTTGGCGGCTTCGACGTATCTTCGACATCAATGTGGTCAGTTGGAGCTAGAGGAGTTGGAAGACTTCTACGTTGCTGGTGGTGTTGTTTCCTACTCCACATCCCACCACACACTGCAATATCATCAGTCGAGTCCGGCAAAAAGTTATCCAAATCCTGTTTGTATGGATCTGGATCCTCTTGGAGTGTTGGGACCAAGACACAAGGATGAGATTAGGGCCAATCCCATGACGGTCTAGGCCATTGTATGGTTGTGGTTGCAGGAGCATGCAAGTATGAAATCTACATATGTAGTCTAATTCACTGCCTACATAGGCTACTATATCCCGCAAAATAAACAAAGAAGCGCCCTCTTTACAAAAACTCAGAAATAAAGAAATATCCATGGATTCATCGTTTCGGTCTTCGCGTCAGGTCAAACCCCAAACGCCCAAAAAGTCCAAGCTAAAATACTGCAATGCATGCACCGCACCCGAAACGCCGTTAAGATATCCTTTCCGTAGACCAGTCAGCATCCCTGACTGCGGAGATCAGATGCAAAACACAATTACTACCTAATTTCCCGATCCAATCCTTAGTCGCTGCGTAACATACTATCCACCAAATCACCTAGCGGCCCCCAGAAATCCTTCCCACTGGCCAGCTTGTGCTCGTCAATGAACAAGACATAATGCTTGAAGCTGGTGTTGAGGTGAGGCTCGAGGCCGAGGTGCACTACCACTGGGTAGTGGTGGCAGTAGATGTGGGCGTAAACACGGTATAGACGTTTGAAGATCTGACGGAGAAGACTGGGGAAGGTCTTGGGGAATGGGACACCTGGAAAGGGAAAAAACACGGCTCAGCGATAGATCTACTATGTAACGGATGACAACTAGATAAAACATACCGATCCGGCTGGGGAACATTTGCTCGTTGTCAACGTTGCTCTGAACCCAGGCCATCAAGTGTTCAATGTATTCCGGGGCACACATCTTGGTTGGCCGCTTGAAATTCTCCGAGTCTTGCCAGAGGTACTCAAACCTATCCAAACTTGTAAGCCGAGGGTCAATGACATGCCGAAGAAGAACCGTACTCATCTGTAGCCTTCATCTCGGGGCATGTCTGCGGTGAGCAGAACTCGGTTATTGAGCCGTAAAGAAGGTTGATCTGGTTGTAGAAGTCGACAACTAGATTGCCAAAACATTAGCAGATGCACGTAGCACAACTTCACAAGATGTGTCTTACTATTGACGGCGAGCCATTCATTCTGATCTTCGCCTTCGGGCAGCTTCACGGCCTTGCGCAAACTACCACTTCCAAGTGTGGCTTCGGCGAACTGTCGTAGCTGATAACTGCTCGTGCCCTTGGCGGCCGAGCGAGGCTTGAAGGGGGCACGTGTGCGTGCATTGCTGGGAGGTGTTAGTCCAAAGCAGCCCTGTTTGAGTGCGCGCACCGCTGGTGACAGGTAAGATGGAGGGTCCGAGAAGGGGATATGGGAAGTGCGAGTAGTCTGATATAGGGCAGAAGGGCTGACAACGGAAGGGAGGTGGGATTGCGGGGAGTGAGAGGCTGGCTCCTCAGGGGAAGGGAAATGAGAAGCGGGAGGGGTGGCGGGGACAGACATGGTGGTGATGAACGAAGCCATATTCTCTCTCGAGAAAAAATAGTAATCCCTTTCGGTAGGGGTGTATTTCGGCGGGGTTTGCGCTGATCGCGATGTGCCTACATTCCAATGTCAGATACCAGTTGCTGTCCAAGATTAGAGGAATGCCATCCCATGTGCTGATGTGCTGACATTCTGGCGTGCAGACAAATGCCAATGATACGTACCTAACAATGATTCTGGATGATACGTCTGAGAGAAACGCGCAATGAGAGTGATGTTATCGGGTTTCAGCCCCGAAGTTGATAAAGTGAGATCCGATCCGTTGACTGACCGCGTTGCCCCAGTTACCGCATCTACGTCACAGCTATACATGAATATATATTTTTACCTAGGTATACATAGGTATTAACTAGTAGTATTACCTAGGTATGCTATTTTCCAATTCAATTTGAATATCAATTATACATGGGAATGCAGAGCCCCGTGGGGCTTATATTTGCGGGAGTTCCTCGATGGCACAAGGGGAATATTGAGGAAACGAAAATCAAATCAAACATAACCTGCGCGGCAGGCAAGCGCATGTACGTCAAGTGTACATCTAGACTTTCTAGATTGGATAGCCTACATTCTCCTCGGGCAGTCGTTCTCGGACAGTCTCTCCATAAACGGTCAGCGGGATAGCGATCTCGAATGATTCACAGTTCAAATGCTCCATAGCACACAGCACAGTGCCGCGATCATCCGATGACAAGACCTCGAGTAAACGAGTGCCTGAGGGTGGGGCACCTTGCTCGCCTCGAAAATTGGATGTCACAAACTCGAATCGTAGTTCCCAGTCGAGAGTCACACCGCTCGTTAAGATTGAAGGCGTGGCTGTGATGGGGATAGCAGGGCTGAAAGCCACTCGTGTGGCATGGAGTGTGTTCTCGAACAGAGAAGCATGGATGCGGCGCGTGGTACGGTGAATGCTGGCATTTGACCGGATGGCCAAAGTAGGGGTGACTTTTTCGGACGTCTCTAGCGAGGCACGTACAGCGTAGCATGGAATTGTAGCATCTCCAAAATCCATGGTGGCGATAATGGTCTCTCCAAGTCGGTGAACCGGCCGGTTCAAGACGACCACTGCGATACGTTTACCTTCGCGGGCAATCTCAAAGCGATTGGGGCTGCGGCGAGAGTTCACGGCCTGGTTGCTGCGGAGGATAGCAAAATCTATGACATCCTTGGACGTAAGCATCTGGGGTAACCCTTCGACGCTAGGTCGTCTCGAGGGCGTAGCACCAGGTGGAAACAACGTATTGGAACGCGCACGTTGCTCCAAAATTTCGTCCACAAAACCAAGGAAATCGGCCGCGGAATGGTGAGATTTGCTGATACTTTGGTTTTTCGTCGTCACAGGCATCACTGCCCCGACCTTCTGCACCTTCGCTTCATCCCGTAGGAGTACATAAGGTGACATCAAATCATGCCCAAGAATATCTCCCTTTTCTATAAAAACGTGAGAACTTGAGATGGAAAGCAAGGCAAAGAATATAACTTACCATTCACGCCGCTAAAAACACGGAAGGGTATATTGATGCGGTTGACCTTCTGGGGCTCGTTAGGCCCGCTAGGTCGCTGAGTTCCAATGACCAAATTATATGAGATCTTGATTGCTTTTCCTTTATGACTCGCCGGGAGCCCCTTGGGAAGGGAGAATGAGAAGGAATATGACTGTTCCTCTCCTGGTGCCAGCCGGAGGTCAACAAAGAGCAGCGACTGCGAGGTGGATAAAAGCGGAATTGATCTCGACGATGTAACACCGCGCATCTCTCGTAGCCCATCCAGTTCGTTATTTGAAAGAAGACCATTGATTGATTCCTCGATAGTGTTCCATTTGAGTGCGCCCCAGAACCCACCAGTTTTACGTGGTCGCTCGGCTGTTGGCGTTGGTCGGCCAGGAAGTCCGCCTGAGCCCGGTTGGCCACCAACAACTCCCTTTCGCTTAACTTCGTCAAAGGCTGACTGATTCACTAATGACCCATCGACCGTGAATGATGCGTTAATTTGCGCGTAGCCCATCAGCAGCGCCTGGCTGTTGGAGGCTTTGGAGGGAGATGTAACTACACTCGAATGATGTCGCGCATGCCGCATGGGAGGGGGAGCTCGCGCATTTTGTACCGAGTAATTCGTGTATTCTGATCCGAGAGTCTCAGTGGAGAGATCGCTGACGGAGTAGAACTCCCCACTGCTCCGGCTGCTCCCATTCACGCTTGTGGCTGATATAATGCGGGTTAGTTGCTGGTGCGCCGGTCCAGTCAGACCCTGCGCGTCTCTAACAGTGGGTCTTCCTCCGGTTGATGATGTACCGTTCGTTGTCGCCGACTTCGGTGACGGAGTGCGCACGGTGCGATTGTTAGCTGAATCGGTCGAAGGCGTCGCCGGAAACTTAAAATCGAGGGGAGGTGGTTGGGGCCGTCGCGAAGGTGCACGCAATGGCTCTACTGGGCCCATTGGACTAGTCGCTAGAGAGCTAGGGCGGCTAGCTCGCCCTAAGTGGGATGTATCAACTCTCAGGCTGCCGTTGGGATGTTCGCTCGGAGTCTCTGTCAATGGAAACGGAAAGGCCTGAGAGGGGGATCTCGCTGAGAAGAGACGGTCATTAGCTCAAGATCCGATAAGCAATGAACTGTCCATCATCTACCTTTTTTGTAAGAATCCTCGCAGCTATTGTTCCTTCGCGGTAAAACCTGGAGACTCGCCGAGCGCCCATGACCCCTGGCTGGCTGGTGTCGATTGTAATGGTGCGGTGAAGGCGTCGGATCTGTTTGGCCTTCGCTATCAATGGAGAGGATAGAGACGGATCGTTTGTGGTTGTGACCGGGTTGCCATGCTCGTGGTGTAGAGGGGCCGTTGTTCGGAGGAAAGCTATGAGAGCCGACCAGCGGAGAGCTCAGGGACGAGGCTGCCCGGTGATAAGGCTTCCGTTGGGAGCTAACGGAATATGATCGGCGACCAGAAAAGAGAGCTTGTGGGGATTTGAACCCGAAGAAAGATTCCGAGTTCGAATTAAGTGTGTGGTTCGCGACTCGAGAGACCTTCCGTGAATGTTGAACTCCTTCACCCCCAGTGTTGGCATCGGCGCCAGTATCGGCCACGTTCTTGAATGTTATAGTACATTCCACATCCTCTCCTGCAAATATAGTCTGGTCCTTCCATTTCACGAAGACTTGGATGTTGGATGGCATGGCGGTTGTGTCAGCATGTGGGCTGCAGTTCGAGGGGAGAGCTAAGGCCTGGGGGGGGAATTGCCGGCACGATGAGCTGTAGTTAGGTCGAAGCTTGGTGATATGTGCCGACAGTAGCATTCTGTCAACCCGAGTGAACCATGCTGGTTGTAGAGTTGAAGGTGTGTTGCCGAGGGGGTTGCGTGGCGATGATATCCTTGCTCCTAGCTCCACCCCAAACTACGGGCTAAATGACATATGATACCCACCCTACTGCAACCAAGTACTATGGTACAATACGTTGTTTATTCCCAAGAGAAAAAGCCACAGCTGATAGTATTTATTGTACAGGCGTAATTGAAAGCATATCTAATGTACAGGCGCTTAAAACCATATCGAACTTGGTGAAATGTACACAGACGACTATCTTCGTTCGCGATTGTTGTCGTCATACAGCACGTGGAAGTCTGAAAGAGTTCGCGTGCGGTTGGTCGAAGGGCGAAGACCAAGCTCAGCCATACGACTCCAGATTCTATCGTGTCGGTTCTCCCATCGTTTGCGCCGACTCTCCATCTCGTCCTCCGATGGGCGCCATTTACTCTTCAAAATCCGGCGAATAGCTTCCGGTGACACTTCAAACTCCTGTGCAAGGACAGCGGTCGTAAATTGTTCGGGAGCTTTCGCATGGAGATGACGGATTCCATCGAGGGCATCAGGTGATAGCTTCTTGGGTGGGTTCCAACCACCCGCGAACTTCTCCTTCAAAGCCGCTTTTTGCACTTGCCAGTGCTCAGGCTTTTTATTTCCTTTGTTCTCTGAGAGACGTTTCGCTTTTTCGGTCCTATCTTGCCACTTGCGGGGCTCCTTTTTGGCCTCCCTGCGAGTCTCGTTGCGGAAAGCTCTGCGCTCTCTGTCGGTTCTTCCGGTGCGATTTTCTGGGTTCCCTCGATAATCTTTGGGCTGACGTTTATGGGTACTCCATCCATCTGTCTTGCCAAATGAATCATAGTCTTTCTTTTTCGTTGTTTTGTGTTGCAGAGTGTCATCGGCGACGGTCAGGGCTCCAGGGGCTGCGGGCTCTGGTTGTTCATTCTGGGAGTCGCACAAGCGTGGCATTGAACTGAAGTATCTTTGGAGCTGAATATCCGAAGAGAAAAGAGGAACAGAGGCGAAAGGTCGGCGATAGGGGGTTATTGAAGAAGCGCCCAATTTACTGGTGGACTGGGAGCGGAAAACATTGCGCAGAACGGCAGACAAGGCCAACCTTGATGGGGCAGCGCATTTGGTCATCTTAACAATATGCTTGATGTAGAAAAGGAGAGTGACGAAGATAAATGTGAGATCAAGGTAGAAAGAAAGAAAATATCCGGTGGCGATAAGAGATAACTACATGCGGCTCGAGCCACACAGGCCCGGCTCACCCCAAAACATTGAACACATGTAGTTGCAGTAACTAAATGCGATGTTCTACCTTGTATCTTGGGATTTATTGTCAATTTATTGTCAATACTATTGATAAATCTTTTAGCACTAATATACATCCATCTCAAGAAAATCAAGTAGCTTCATTATCGTGGTATTGCTTTGCTAAAAGTCAGAACTATCAATGGCTGCACTCGCGTTGGTTGTCGATCCACAAACCATGCCAAATACGCGATCGGGCATCATCACTTGGACAAAAACGTTGTATCGATTCACTCCAATACCGGTCTATCCCACGATCAATCATTCAAGCCAAAGGGGAGTCCATTGACGAAACGTACTGGGGAGAGATAGTCCTGGAAAGCTTCCTTGATGTTGACGGGACTTTGCACAAGATTGTCCCGATATAGACCTCGGATATGTTGTTATACATGCACGTGCTTGCATTGTCTTCCTGTTGCTCTGTGCCCCGTTCTGGTCCATCTGCCCTGTCGATCTGTTCTTCCGTTCACGTTCCTTTTCCCACTAGTAGCTACATATATCCATGCCTCCTGGTATTCAAGATTCGCTGCGTTGTCTCTAAGTCAAAAGTTTATACATAGAGAAGTCGCTTTCACAAATTAAGTTTAGGCTTAGGCTGAATGATAATTACCTAGGTAGATACTCTAGGGCTTCTGAGTTTCACTGCTATTTGCCACGTTCATATCTATGCCCCAGTCCCCATGTATGGCACAGAGTTTTCTAAGTCCGGGACTGAGAAGGAACAGGCCCTCCCGACGAGATCAATCACTGAACTAGCGGCCTTGAAGAGACGGAAGAAGATGGGTTGTGATGTTGTCCCTGAGCTGCTCGGCTTCCAAGAGGAAACGAGGGCTTCTGACTTTGTTCCAGGGGGCTATATAACATATGTCGTCTGGCAAGATGTCCCTGTAGAGCCCCTCGACTATGAGGGGCTCTGGAATATAAACGACTATATGCGTGACTCTATTCGAAGGAAGTTCCGTGAAGCCTATTCATATATACATCAAAATCTCTTTGTCTATTTGTCATGTCTGAAACTAGCCTGAACGCATCGATTACGAAGCTTTTTACACTGCGGCGTCGGGCTATGCATGGCTTCAATGTCGAAGCTCATTCTTGATACACCGGCCGGAGAAATGTATGTGATACCCCCTGCTTAAATATCTATACTCGTGAGCCTTCTAGCCATAATTCGGGGTTTTGTAAGCCGCCTTCGTTGAGCGCACTGAAGCGTTGTCCGTTGCTAAGTTCGTCTTGTTCGGACTCGCCAAGTCACTTTCAACGGATGAATGGTGACTCGAGACTAAAGGACGGGAAAGGTGGGACTGTATCCAAAGGTTACAAGGTCAGTTTCGAACGATGTTGTTGGGATGAATGAAGTGATTGGTGAGGATCTCTCCAGCGAACAGATTTATCTGATCCAGACATCTTGACGCAAATCGCCTGTTCGCGTGACTGCACACTAGAAGAGATTATTCAGATCGTACTACCTTAGCATACGTCAAGTCCACAAATTGGAGCATACTCGCTGAACGGTTTTTATATGGTTTGAAAGCACAGTGAGTTCCCTATCCTGAACATTGTATTACCTTGAGGTCAATCCAGAGGTCCTGATGTAGAGCAATTTGTGCCAGAGAGATGGATTGACCGATCCGGCTCGGAAACACCCAAAGCCAATCCAACAGAGGAGCTCGCCTATGCGCATGTTGTCATTTCTTTATGGGCCTAGAAGCTGCGCTGGATGGGTATTAGCGCTGGCAGAGGCCGGGATGATGACAGCTCGTATAGTCGAATGTTTCCACCTTCAAACAGCTTGCTCAAGCATCCCTCAACCGACCGACTGGCTATCTTCGGGTCCACCTCCGGACTCGTATCTTCTTTTTCCCTCAGAGGAGGAATAAATAAATGTGTTCATCAACGCCCGTTGCCTGCTAGGCTGCTCAATAGTGTATTAGATATCGATTTCCCCATATAATCATATATATGTGATGGTCACTACATGGAAGTCCCCGGCTCCAACGGCCCGCATCGACCGTGAGTGCCGAAGTTGAAAATTGGCGTTGTGTGTGTAGTTTTCCACGGCAGTGAACTGCTGCCAACACTAGAGCACCATTATAGTCCCTCATAGTGTTTAGAGCCCGTGCTTCGTAGTCTGGTTTGTAGAATAACCGCGCAACGCTCTGATTTTAATGCTTATGGAGTACAGTTGCGTGGGACTTGTAATAGATCCTATGGGCGAAAATGGACAAAGATGATGCCAAGAGGCAACATCGCTGTAAATGGACAGGTCGAATTGTGGTGAGATTAGGGCATCAGGGTCCACGAGATCTTATTCCAGGCACGTGAAAGAGGTGTACAGACAACCATCCAAGCAAATCCACCGGACCTGTGGACCTTCAGTGGAACCTCCCGCGGGCCTCCCTTGGTTCTGATCTGATATGACCTTGTGATATACTCTGTAACGTCCAACGTACTCCGTACAACGGACTCCCAGAGCTTACGTTAAGCCGAAGGCCGGGTTTAGTGCGGCGACCTGTGCGTACACGACCCACCGTTCATCTCACGCATTTTCGCAGATCAAAGGGAGCCCAAGATTTCAAAGCTCTCGACAAGTGAGGATCCGGCAATTCCTCAAGTCCAAGAGGCCAATCAGAAGCCAAGCAGAAGCCCATATAACCCCATGGAGCCAGGGGCATCCAAAAGGTTCAAATTCCTCCGATCGACTGGAATGATCTGCTTTAGCGCGGAATGAGCCTCGTGTTTATTTCCTTTTCCTCTTCCTATACGCTCTTTTGGTGAGTTTAAGGGTTGTGTATGCATGGAGAGCTCGAACTTCGCTGATCAGAGCTTCATTTCAGCTTGCCCCCACTAATTCTACCTCCCTCCACACTCTCTCCTAACCACTCTCCGACATAAAAAATTTCCGACGCCTACTACTGCCTGACTGGCATCCACGAACCCATCTGGTGAACTTGGCTTGACATGCAGATATACCGCGCTCTCAGCGGACCTTGAATCACCGATCGCATCCTCTCCGAGGATATGGCTACTCCCACACCCCTCAGTGCGAAAAGCAAGCTTGCCGGACCCGGCGCATCCTTGAAAATCACTCCTTCGAACTCTCCAATCCTCCGACCAGGCACGCGATCCCCCAGCAAAACCTCTCATCAATCCTCCTTATCTCTCCAGACCGTTATCGGCACAACAACGACCACCCCCAATGGCTTTTCAAGCCATGACCAAAGCAGAAGCTTTGCGCTATGCGCTGGATCAGCAGCGGTTCTTGCGGAGTTAGACGAGGACGACAATATAACACAGCGCTTCTTCCGAGCCCGCCCCTCCGCGACAAGTGTCAACCCATCAACTTCTTTTTACAACCAGTCAACTCCCCCGGCCACCCCAGACCCACGATCGCGATCCTTGTCCCATATCCGGTCCAATCCACACCTGAATCTTCACAATGGGTCTCCGTCAAGCGAAGCTGTCGACAGCGGGAGTCCACGTGCGTGGTCTTCGAGGGAAAGAATCAAAGCAGTGACCAGTGTTTCGATCAGCCCGAATGGAAGATTCCTTGCGGTGGGAGAGGTGAGTGGGGGAATGTAAGCTAAATTGTTGCAAAAATAGCAGCTGACAACGTCAAGACTGGCTATAATCCTCGAGTCTTGATATTTTCGACAGCGAGAGATGCATTGCCGGATGTTCCTCTATCCATTCTGAACGAGCATACTTTCGGTGTTCGCAGCCTGGCGTTTAGCCCCGATTCTCAGTATTTGGCAACACTCGGCAATCCGAACGACGGATTTCTCTTTATCTGGACAATCAACCTCAAAAATGGGTCGGCCAAGCTGCACTCCGCGAATAAATGCACCTCGTTTATCAAGGATATGTGCTGGGTCGGCCAGAGCTTGGTCACGTATGTTCAACGGAATGGTGATAACTAGCAGTCAACTAATGTCTTTGTCTTTGTTCAGGACCGGTCTGCGACATGTGAAGGTCTGGCGTCTTCCAACGGTGATTCGGCCTGTTTCACCAACCAAGACACGCTTGAATGTCGAGGGAGCTCCCTCGCCCAATCCTGCTCCGAAAGCACTTTCTGGCAGGAATTGTCTACTAGGTGCACTGGGCGACAACACCTTCACTTGTGTGAACAGTATCTCCTATAACGAGGCTGTAATTGGCACAGACTCAGGTGCAGTTTGCTTCCTTGATGACCGCGAAGGATCCCAGAAGATAATCACGGTAAAGCAAGCTGGATTCAGCATCACCTCGTTGGCCGTTGACTTTGATCGAGAGTCTATATGGCTAGGTGGGCGAGGAAGGCAAATGCAGCGCGTGCCATTTGATGTTCTACGATCATCCGGCTCATCCACGCCAATGTCCCCTGCGCGCCTTGACAAGAGTGCGATCGACAAGAAAAGCAAGGCCCCGGCGATTACTTGTATGGCGTCTCTTAATTCCCATCTGGTCACTGTTGAATCCACCCGCGCGATTCATGTCTATCCGATTGACACCTTAAGCGAAGATGGTGAGCAGGAGGAGGGGGAGGCTTCCATGCCAGCCCATCGGGATCCAATTCTCGGTATTTGCCGTATGGATTTCCCCAACGGCTTGTCTGCGGACTTCTTCACGTGGTCCCGCAATGGATCGGTGAACTTTTGGGATGCCCAAGGAAGTGTCGAGGATCGAAACATATCGATGTCGACCAATTTCCAGGAAAAGAAGACGATGCGGCAAATGAACTCAAAGTTTTGAGGACCGCTGAAAATGCGGACTGGTTTGTCTCTGGTGACAAGCTCGGCGTATTGAGGTATGTGGAATTTTGATAGTGGCGACGCTCTTCAACTAACCCATTCGATGCAGAATATTTTCGAACTCCGAGTGGACCTGCCTCAACCAGGCGCGCGCCCACGGTGGAGAAATCACAGATGTGGCCATCCAAGGCATGGACGATACCTGGCTGATAGCTAGTTGTGGGCGTGACCGGATGGTGCAACTCTTCGAGAAACGAGACACCGAGTTGCAGTTGATTCAAACCATGGACGATCACGTCGGCGCCGTTGGGAAATTGATGTTCATCAACGAAGGCGAAAAGCTGCTTTCGTGCTCCGCAGACCGCACTGTTGTCATACGGGATCGTGCGACACGCGAGGTAGATTGTGGCACATCTGTTGCCTACCTCATCTCAAGGGTCATCACTCAAAAGTCCTCTCCCGTGTCGATGACACTTTGCCCAGACGACTCGAACATCCTGTACCTTTCTACCATGGACCGTTGTGTCTCGAAATTCGATATCCCCTCCGGGCATCAACTTCACTGTTTCAAAGCATCTGATTCGGAGACCGCTGATGCGGTGATTATGAGCTCGTTGACAATTGCATCTGAAATCTCAGGTCAGACCCCGAAGGTTCTTGTAGGTGTTTCGAGCACCGACAAATCTATTCGTGTCTATGATTTAGAGCGGGATCAGCTCCTCACTGGGGAATTTGGCCATACAGAAGGCGTCACTGATGTGTTACTCCTGGAAGACCGTGATAAATCCGATGAGTCCCAAATCAAGCGCACAGTGGTCAGTACTGGTATGGATGGTATCTTGATGATATGGAACCTATCTGTCCAGCAACAGGTCTCGCCAGACCTCATCGGGAATGCACGCGAGGACGATGAGAACCCTGTAAAGGAAATGACAGCGGCGAAGCCCCCTCTCCGAAAAGTTCTTTCCCGCAGCGAGCTCGCCGGATTTCAACGACCGGATAGTCCCAATCCTACAACACCAACACCTATACGCGAGCAATCTCCAACGCTACTTCGCAAACTGTCTCGACTCTCCCTAGCACCATCATCACTAAAGAACCATTCCGTCTCAGAAACACCATCCCCACCAAACCGCCTCTCCCCAACAACAGGCACACCACAAGACCGACGCCGCCGGTCCCCATCCCCAGTAAGCCCTAAAACAAAGACCCCAACACCCCGGAAACCCCACAGCGCAAGAACCACCAACCGCCGCACATCCCTCGACTTCCGCACTCGCGGTAAGACAACCCCGCGGAGTGAGTTCGGAAGCTTGGACATGTCCACCGAGCAATTGTGTCGGACTCTCCGAGCATATCGCAAGAAACTCAACGGCTCGAGCCAACGCATGCAAGCGCAAAAGGAGCTCGAGCGCGAGCTCAGTCTCACACTCCGCATTGTGGGTGGTCGTGGACAGAGCAGCGACGAGAGCGGCGAAACCGAGACGGATAGCAGCGGTAAGGATATGGAGCGGGAGCAGAAACAGAGCTACTCGGCAACTCCCAAGTCGCCCCGTGTTCCTCACCGTATGCCGTCTACCCCGTCGTTACGGTATAAAGGAGTGCGGCAGGTTTCACGGAGCCGTTCTTGTGATGCGAATGAGGAAGAATGAAGTTCATTCTCTCACTGGCTGTTCTTTTAATTCTGCTTTAGTCAGGGGCACTGCATTTCCGGTGTTTCATGGCTTCGGTCATTGCTATAGCGCTTTTATATCGCTTTCCCTTGATCCTTTCCTTTTCTTCTTTCTTATTTACTGGCATTTTGGCTTGTGCATTCGCTTGATTTATCTTTTTTGGTTTCCTTTCTCGCATCTTTGCATCATCTACTAAAGTTTTGGTGGCTTGGGCGACTTTTCTTTCTACTTCCTGATTTCTTAGAGATCATTCCCCTTCTGATGATACCCATATTTACCTTTGAGAGGCCGTAGGCCATCTCACCATGATCAAGATCATTGAATCCTTTCTTTCTCTTCATACATTTCTTCCGATCGGGAAAGCATAAGAATGCCTAATTCAAGTTTTTCAACTTCATCTCGAAAACTTAGAACTTCATTACACACATTTCTCCACCTTGCCCCAACCCATCTTAAATAACATCGAGCATGTCCATCCAATCCCCAACCTAATCTCAATCAGTAGCGTCTTGATAAACGCTTCTTGCTCATTGCACGCACTCTCACCACGGGACCCACTGGAAATATCCGGATCAGACAAGTCTAATAACTCACCAAACCCTCAAACTCCAATCAAGCTCCCCAGTCTGTTCTGAAGGGCCTCGACTAGCTGTTTACCTTGGGCACCAGGCACAAGCTGAGAAATACGAATAGCCTTGTCTGCCCAACGCTGACAGTCCTCGTCTTGGGTGGCACGGTAAAAGTCAGTGGCCTTGTTGAAAGCCATGCTAGCAATCTGCATCAACTCTACAGCTGGATATGTAAACACTTCACCAAGCTCCGACTTGGCCTGGATGGCATGCAGCCCATGCTGTAGGTGTGCACTTTCTTCAACACCTGCCTCTTCGTCTGCCATTGCGAGGACTTCGTCGAGAACTTCTTCAGCAACCTCGGGATCGGCCATTTCGACATCAAGAGAGGCAATTCCAGAAGAGGTTGTGTATTGAACCGGTGCAATGGCTAGTTCGAATAGACAATGAAGGTAATGGGGCAAGGAAACGCGGAATTCGCGTTGCCATGTGGTAGGGGGGTCGTCCTGTAGCTTTTTGAGCTTCGACACAATCCGCTATTGTATAAACGTCAGAAGCTGCTCAGAGAATGTTGCCTCCCGGTCATAGGAATGGTCATAGGAATAGAACGCACCTTGATGATACCTATCGCCAGTTTGGGTGGTAAGTCTAACTGGAGAGTCAGATCCATGATCGGGGCGTAAAACTTCGGACCAGGGAATGCATCGTCGGATACACATATGCTGGCGACATCCTGCCACATCGTGAGGTGCATGGCAGCCTCAAGGTCGAAGAATTTCGCAATATCATAGTGCCCGTCTTCTTTATAATTTGCATCATCATCTGTCTCCTCTTCTCCATCTTTCCAACCATGCAAGTCATTGAGTTGCTGAAAACAAGCGCGTACATCCTTGTAGTGCGATACCTGTAGAGAGTCAGTACCGCTGCCGATTTTGGAGGGAGGGGAGCTTTATTGAAAAACCGTCGAAACTAACCTTTTCAGTCGGATCGTCCTCGCAGCGGGCCTTGAGGGAGCTAACAAGGAGACGGAGGTAAGCAACCGCAAAGAAATGCGGCCTGGGTGCTTTAGAGCCCATCTCAGGGTATGCAATCTGACGATACTGAAGCGCAAACTGATAAAATGTTAGTAGACATAACCAAACAGACACTTAGCATGGGTTTAAAACAGACATCTCTGGAATAATCCAAGACAGAAGTAGTCCACAAGAGCCCGGAGGAGGTGATGAGTTTCAAAGCGATTTTGTAAGTTGCAAAATACAGCCATTGCAGTTGGGTGACTGAGACCTCCTGGTTGCCACCTTCAAACATGCTGTTCTCTTTTGCATAAGACAGGGCTATTTAACGATTAGCTTCAAAAACAGTTGCTTGAGAGCAAAACATACCATTCTGGAGCACAGTCTCAATACGGTTGCCAAGCCTCTGGCTAAATCCTTTGGACAGCTCTTCGGAAAGAAGAGTAATTGCAAATCTGTTCAGGGTAGCCAAGTTAGCCTTAGATATACGAAGTGACAGATTTGAAACCTTCTCACAGGTAATGTTCGGCAGCGGCAAAGTCGTCATGATAAATGTCATCTGAAGTCAAACATTTGATGAATTGATCAAGGCAGTTCAGTACTTCCTCTGGTTTGTGTTGTCTCTGGGCTTCCATTGCGCAGGATAGTAGACTCATTTGCTTGTGCGGCACGGGATGCAAAGGAAACCCGAGATAGAAATGCCCTTACATATGGTTAGAGTAGGTCAGAAGTGTCGAGTTTCGATGGGTCATCCATACCAGAGCCATCGTTTCCCTCCAGCAATGTCAACTTGTAAGACAAGTACATCCTTTGGCAATCCATCTGACTTTGGAATAGACCCCGATCGATTAACCGACGAGCAGCGGTGATATGTCCAGTCTGTAGGTAACATGCAGCCAGCTTCCTGAAAAGATGTTAGTCCTCTATGTAAATTAAACCTCAATTTTTTCCACTAACTTTTGTATCGCGACCTGAATGGACAGGGAGCAGTGTTGAAAGATCTTAGGATCACTGCACACCTGAAGCCATGACTGTGCAGTCCAGTAGTCCTTCTTGAGGAGTGAACCACCAGTTATCTTCCAGATACACTGTATACAATCAGTCAGTTGTTTTCATTGACGATGATGAGAGTTTGCCTTACGATCACGGTTGCGTGAGCTGCATTGGTGCTAATTGATGGATATCCACGCTTCTCTAGTGCGTCAATCACGCCCCGGAGGATGCGAATCCGCTTAGAATCAGAGAACTCCGATCTGCTCAAAAGTAGAAGGAAAGCAACAAAGCATTTCTCTCTCCATTCTTTTGTTGGCAAAGGGCGCATGAGCAAAATCCGAAATGCTTCCATTCCGTTATCTGAACCACTAAATAACCGTCAGCAAAGTCCCTCACTAGATGGGCTGTATCAAGGTACCTTGTATGGCCAAGAGACCGGGCGAATTGAAAAATTCTAGACGCACTGTTAGCATCCTGGAAAAATCCTGGATCAATCAACACTGGTGGGCCAGCTCACATCGGCATGTTCATATCTGTGAGAGTCATCTTCTCAACCAGACTCTTCAGACCTACAACAACAGAGTCAATTCAATTCGATCCAAGATAAAAACCGGTCTTACCTTGGAGTGATCCGTCGGTACCAGGATTATTATGTCCCGTAGAGAGATCAAAAAGGACCATAGCAGGGTGCTCTGGGTAATTCTAGAAAGGTCAGCTTGAAGTCTATCCTACTCACCACAAACATACTTCTCTCAAGACTCTGGTTTCAAGTTCGCAGATGACCGTTGACTGAATGCTTTTGACTTGCATACAAGCAACAACTGCAGCACGTTAGCCCAGGTCATCAACTAGATCACCGCACTGACCAAGGGAATGTCGAACAACCAAGTTCCAATTGTAGTAGTCTGGAAACTGCATCTGAGTCATAACGTATAAAGACTGCAAGTGATCGCTCGCTCTCTGCAGCCATGTGATTGCGATGTCAGGCAGGCGCCGTGCAAGCGCAGAGTCACCAATGATAAAACAAGTCTCGAAGATCAACTCTTCATCATCCGACACAACCGGCGCAGGGAGTTTAGCAAAGAAATGCTCGGCAATATCTACTCGGTCCTGCAGCCAGGCCTGAAATACTATGTCAGTCTGCTGTTAACACACAAAACAGTGTCCCAACAATACAACTCACCAGTCGAATACGAAGCAAGATGTATCTTGTGGTGACATTGCGGTTAATTGCCGGATCAAGCCCAAGATGAGCAGGTTGAACACTTTCTAGCCTCCGAGCTGCCACTGACAAGATATTCAGCGCGATTTCGCGTTGCTGGTTCACTGTTCTGTTGTTAGATCCGATAAAGTCAAAGAGAGATGTGATGCAGGATGATATACCAATGCAAATACGCGCCGTCCTGAGGGCCAAATCGAGAGCCCTGAGACTTCCTATAAAAAGTCAGATAAGATCACTTCAAAATATATCAGAGACCATGAACAACCTAGGAGATCAGGCAAGACAGCCATGTTCAACACTGCAAACGCAAGAGCCCTCACTTTGCCGAGCAACAGTACGTCCTCCGGATTGTGACCGCGCGAGATCATCAGCTCGGTGCAGTCGTTCCAAAGCAATGTCCCGATCGTATCCAGTTCCTCGTAACCCGATGTATTTGGCAACAGACAGAACGGGTTACTGTTGAGATCGCTATCCAGTCTGAAAATGACATTACGAGAGAGCAGAGGACTTGTCGAAGTATCGACTGTAGATAAGGTTTTGTGCAAGGCACGAGCAAAGTCTAAGGCAGAAGAGCTTTGAGGTTAGCTACCGTACCCAGTGGAGGATGACACAATGTGTGGCTCATACCTGCCAGAGTCTGGCGTGGTCCAGATGATTGCGCCATGGGGAAGACTTGGTCATTCGGAGACAAGAAAAGAAGACGAAAAAATATGAGAGATGGTAAGAAGAATAAGGGAAGAGAAAACGAGAAAATGATGGGGAAGATGGTTGGAGTTGGAAGAGCGACGACTGAGTCGTGGAGGCCTCCACGCGATTCAAAGTCCAAGTGCTTATTCGCCTCTTGAGCATCGCAAACGGGGCATATACACTACTCAGAGCACAAGACCCTTTTACTTCCTAGATATGATTCGACTGACAACAGACTGTTTTGATGTTGTACACATAAATCCAGCACTATACATTTTTTTGTGAAGAGTACAGCCAAAACTCGGGGAATCACTATACCAAAAGATGATACCAAAATAGAAGCCCTCGCGTGACATGAAATAAATAACAGTTTACCAAAAGTACTATTTATCGATGGGGAGGAAGTTCCCAACGATCAGAGACGGGCTGCACAGTGTTAGTTCCGGCACGTCAGTATCTGGGGACAGTGAACACTTACATGTTGTGATTGTCTCGTCTGATCGTAAACGAAAAGCAGCAAGTAATACCATCACCTGTTGATTTGGGATTAGGGCTCTTCAACGTGCAACTGGTGAGCATGGCCTTTTGGGTATTGTCGAAGGCGATAGCGCCGAACTTTTCCCAATAGCTGACCAGCTGGTCTTCGACGATGATCTCGTGGATAGCAAGTTTGCCCTACAGAGAGTAAACATGTCAGTTGAGTATGATATGACGTGGGGTTCTCCATTGTTGAGACATACATCTCGCAGACCCTCAACCGGGACATCAATCAGCTGTGCCATCTCATTGTTCCCTCGGAAGATTTCGCCCGTTCGACGCCAGCAGCAGGCCGGGATAGCCATGCTGGCAAATACACGATCGTACTCCATAAGGCTTCGCTCGAACCACATCTCTACCAGAATCAGTTCGATATCAGTCAAGCTCTGCATGCGTTCTCGGAACTTGGGCCGGAACTTGTCGAGCTGCCGCAGAATCTTTTGCCGGGATATCTGTTGCATGTTCTTTTCCATGTACTGGTTCAATCGTGCATACCCCTTAACGTAGTTGAAAGGTTTCAGCAATCCGGCGTCATATTTCGCCTTGAGAAGCTTGTTCATCCTCTCCTCTGGTGGGTCAGTTCCTGCCGGGTCGGCGGCGGTCATGTAGTACGTTTCTCGGGCTTTGTCATTGCCCACCGTGGAGGTCGGGGTTGGATCGAGTCTCCTGGCGGTACTTGGCTTTGTGCTGGCGGTGGAAGTTGTGCTGGAGGCGCCAACCCGTTCGGTAGCGCCATACCATTCATCGAGTTCATCAACGAGGAATCAGTGTAGATTCCCTGCATGTCTTGATTTTGGAACATTGCCCCGTCATCCAGGAGACTGTTACTGAGGAAATCTCCGAGCAGATTGTACTCGTTGGTCACCTCGTGTGCATTGAACATGTACGACGGGTGGAGAGAATGCATGTCCTGGAACTGATTCTGACCACCTACCCAGTCGTTGTATTGCATGACTGTCATACCACGTCAGCTTAATTCGGAGGTGAAACTGGATTCGTTGCGAACTCACGCTGAGAGTTAGCCTCGAGGCCCTGATTAGACGCAGAAAGATTCCCAGGCGGCACTGTTGAAGGCGGATTCACAGCTGAGGGTGCAATTCCGATCGTTGTATCAGGGAATGTTTGCTGACCAGCAGCATCGGCGACGTCGACACTCCTAGGCATGCCTTGTACGGGGCCCAATTCATTGTTAGACGAGCCCTCGTCGTCCGCAGCAGAATGTTCGTGTTCGCCACGTCCTCGTTTCGCAGTTTCTCTCGGCTCGTCATGGCACAGGTGACCGATGTTTTCGCTTTATACAGCGGGTGCAGGGCCGTTCCTTCATAGATTCAGACAGGTCAGCTGGTGCAATTTATTTCCCGCAAGTCTGCGTTCAAGTTTCAGATGTGACGGGTCGTGAACGGGGAGAGGGGAGACAGGTGTCGTACCGAGTCGCAGGTCATATGCTGTCCCACACGAACAAAATCCCGTTAGTAAAGCCAGTTCCTTGAATAGATACGTGCCAGCACTGATGTCACGGCCTATCGCATATAGTAACCAAGCATATTGGCATTCCCTGAGAGGTAAACTTACCGAGCGGCGACAATATACACAGGCTGGAATTGCGGGAAACCCTCGTTAGCAAAGACGTTCTTATCGTTATGCGCAACAGAATCGGCCGCGCCCAGATCCCTGTCGCATGCTGCGCAACGGCACCTTACCGTGATTCACCTTCCGGCGCTTCTTGGGACTGGAGTGACTCCCCGAGCCGGTCGTTTCGGCCTTGACCGCAGATGTTTGCGGGTTCTTGACGCTCGTATCCTTCCCTGCATCAGTGGACCTGGATTTTGTCGCATTGGAAGCGCCCAGCGGCGCATTCTTTTCGGACATTGCGCAAGAGTTCAGTGAGAACCACCAGGGCCGGAGCAAAATGGCTGCCTGCAGACCAGTTGGTAGGAGTTGGTAAACTTCAAAAAGTTCTTGGGGAATGGAGAAAGCGGAGTCACCCCTCCGAACTGCTCCGCATGGGGTTGGCTATTTGGGCACACGCCACTTTCGGGGCGAGACCTCGGTCGACGCATTACGTTTTTCTATCCTTACAATTGGCCGCATCTTGAATTAAAACCACATTGTGTAAAAGGCGTAAACTCGTGTTTATTGATTGCTAACCGTCTAGTTTCTTCTCTCTTTCCGGGCGGTGGAGCCTCGGGTTGTCATATAATCACCCTTGAAGCAGGACTCGCCAGGTTGGACTGGGTGCGCATTAGACTCGCATTACCCTTCTCCTAACATAATGTGATTCATATTTCACCACTGTGGTGGGGATATCCTTTGTTGATGAGAGGTGAGTCCAACCGTACCCGGGTTCCACCGTATGCAGCTATTCAGCGACTGCATTGGAATTCGACCACGCGACAAGGATTGCATCTGTGACTCCCGGTCGCCAAGCGCGGTCAGTACTTGGTTTGCGTTTTTAGTAAACGTGCATACCCTGGGTCCCGAGGCCCTTCATGTGTCAATCATAAGCGTCAAAATGCCGGGATTGGTGGTTTTGTATGGTGCGGTGATGTCTAGTGGGACGATCAGTCGTTCGGCATCGAGTATAAATCCAAGGCAGCTTGTGAGCGAGTGATGGCATCCCCAAGTCCTGCGAAGGGGGCGGTATTGCTTTGCATGGATTGAAGATGGCCATGCAGTTGCTTCATGAGTCCTTGGACTTCAGGGTCGGTCTCCAACTAAAATCAAACACAATGGTAAGTTGACAGAGCGGGCACGTCTGGTTCAGGAGCAGTCCATACTTCGTCTAGAGTCACTTGGCTATCTTTGGCGCCGAGAAGCGCGAACTCAGAGGACCCCTCAGTTTGAGGAAGTGCATCCAACTGTCGGAGCACGGGGTGCTCCTACGGCCGTAAAATATTAGCTAGTCACACTTGGAAACAAGGTGGGTTTGCCGCATACATTTTTCGTCTGTCGTTTCCTTTCAGCCTCGGCCCGTTTGGCATTCTTGTCCATTTCCTGGAGCGACTTTGTTTCTCCAGCAAGGAGGGCTTCTTCTTTGGCGATCTCGGCTTTTAGTAGATCGACACTATCATTCATTGTAGCTAAATGGCCCTCGAGGGAGCGCTAAGAACGTGATCAGTATGGACTTGTTGTCGGCAATCGTAGAGGGTCACATACGTGCTCATTCAGCGCAGATTCGTAGTCGAAGCTCGAGTCCTTCGTTATGGGCGGAAATGGCATTCGCGGGAGTCGTTTGCCTAAACTAAAACAACACGGAGTGTACGATTAGTCTCATCATCTCTCTCTCAAGACAGTGGTAGCTCTGCATAAGGCTACCAGACTGGGCATGGTGCCTTACTTTCGCACGACCGCTTGCACAGCACCTTGTGCCTCAATTCGTTTGCACTCATTGTGATTCCGCATTATCACCGGTCGTTCGAGGGAGTGGAACATGTCCATGACCTTTCCCTGGACGGGTTCTGGCAGAGGGGCCCATTTCGACTTGATGGTCTTCTCTGGGACACGGCGGACATGAGGCTTCAGATAGGCGTAGCGCTTGGAGTCGTCTTCCTGCGAGGCATCGTCGCCCACGTGCTTTCGTTTTGGAGGCATAGTAAGTTGAGGGTGTTGGTGGTCTGTCGGGTCCACAATTAAGGTTACGTCGGCGCGTCTTCACATGCAGGCAAAACAGAGCGGTGGAGACTGGACATGGAGATACTGGCATTCCGACTTCCAAGGGTCTTGGTATTTTTGGCCCATTAACGTATTCGAGCATAATAATTTTAAAATGGAAACTGTAATAGAAACCGAATCTTTCCTCGAAATTTCAAGAAGTATTTCTAAACCGGCTTTTAAAAATAAGCGTGTGTAGGGAGCACACACCTACACCATACATACCTAGCTTTTGCAGCAGAAATTTACATCTTAATATATGAACCAACCCAATTTTTAAACACATTGAAACATTTGAATACTCAAAATATGTTCTGCAAATACAGGCCTTTCGAATCATACATGTATACATATGCACTAGGGTATCGATTTTTGCCGAGGATCAGCCGCAAGATGACTTGCATCACCTACAACAATTAGATGTAAAAAAACACGGCGATGAAACAGAATGCAGAAAAAAGGAAAATGGTATCGAGTTGCCGGGATTTGCGAAGATGAAATGCCAACTCGCCGACGTGCATACACAAAACTGTGCACCCGCTGAAACGCTTGCAATCCTCGCGAAGAAAAGAGGCAGGGGCCATCCATGAGATCATATTAACGTTGTGATCGTGTCACAGAGGGTATCAACGCGGCATCACCAAGCCATTAATGCCCTTCAAGTCATGCAGTTGACTTTGGAGAATATCATTCCCCCGGAGAAGGTCTTCAAGCCAGTCGGCAGCTCCAGTGAGCATTGCGCTTTTGCTGAACCCGCCGCCTCTAAGAGCAGGGACCAGTGTGCACAAGTCTTCGAAGCCTTGACGGATTAGATTTCGGCGTTTCTGCTCCGAAAGAATGTGGTTGGTCCGTTTTTGCTCTTCTGTAAGATTCTCTCGTGCAGCTTTGGACCCTGGCTGTAGTCGGGCTTTTCGAGATATGTCCGTTGATATCCGTCGGCCTTTGCTGATAGATCCTCTAGATTTCCTAGAGTGCGGTCGTGTATCATTGTCATCTGAGTATTCATCGGCCTCCTCTTTCAGGGCTCTTTGCCGTTTTCGGGGATGTAAGCTCTCGTCCAGGACAGCACTATTTCGGAAGGGAGGACCTTGAGGGGGAGCCCCAACCATGCGCTCTGGACTAGGTGCTCGTGTGTTTGCGGCACTGCTTTGTGGTTCGAAACACCCGAGGTGATCGAGCAGGTCATTTGTCCGCTGTTCTTCGTCGGGCTGATCAGGGGGACGAAGATAGCCTTGATCCATAAAACTGGCATCTGAGCCCCATCGCAAACTGCGGGCCTTTCTTGATGGATGTTGGTCCGCAGGAATGGGGTCACGGACGTCAAAGAACATCTCCGAGGTATGATATCCAATTGGGACATCAGCCCGGGGCGGAGGTGGATTTGAACCCTGCGCAGTACTGCCAGTATGTGAATTGTTTTTTTGTTGTGTCCCATGGATCGGGAGAGACTGTCCAGTGAAAGCCTGTTGTGCTAACGTGGTTCCCAACTCTGATCCATTTACACCACTATGGTAGAGCATGGAGGCTGCGGCGAATATATCCGAGCTCGTAGGGTTGTCTGTCATCATTCCCCCAGCGGCCTTGCCTAGCCCATGCTGCTGAAATGAAGGCTGCGATAGGGATGTGGTTGATCCCTCGAAGTTGGGTGGCAGCTCACCCGACCAGTCAAAATTGGGTGCCCCGGATTTATGTTCTTGTCGCATCCAAAGATCATTTGTAAATTGGTTTGCGTTCATGGTTGTAAAGAAGTTATCGAGCATATTTGATTCATTATCGTCAAGAAGAGAAGGTCCTGGGGGTAGAGCAGGTGCCTGTTCGAAGGGGGTGTCCATCGGGGAGAGAAAGGAGTCTGGAATCGGGTTAGAGAGTGCACAGTACAAAGGCATTCTCAGAATCACTCACATCCAAAGGGAGCAGCCGGAGGGGATGTGCGCCCGGTCCGAACTTCAGCCCTATGTCCATTCATAGCGAAGGGCGGTTCAATATCAAGAGGGATTTTGTATGTCGGAGTGTCGGTCAAGAAAAGGGTTGATACTCTGATGCTAAGAGTAGCGCGGACCAAGGCGATACTGTCATGCCTTGGACTCGAGCGCAAACTGCAAGATGATAGAGAAGGTTCGACTCCACAAAAGAGGGACGCGGGGGGTCGATCAAGGCCACGGGGGCTCTCTAGAGTTGATAATGCGACTCGATAAGGAGCCGGTTAGGTTCGGCGCAATGGGGATAGCAACAAGAAGATCAGGGATAACTGCGAAGAAAGAAAGAAATAGAAAAGGGATCAAGAGAGTGTACAAAAGAGAGATCCTGTAGAAGAATACGTGGAGAGTCTCGCATCAAAAGCAATCGTCCTGTTCGGCCTCGACCTGATCACATGCAAAAATTTGAGCGCGTGACGTAACGGTACCAAAATTACAGAAATTACAGGGGATCCGCTGTGGCTTACAATGTATCCTCGGTATTTAGTACGTTACTGGGGAGAGCTGTTAACCCCCGGAGGACCCTTCCCGAGGTGAGAGACACCGACTTCCAAGGTCGTCTGCAATGCAATCTGAAAGTACTCCGTACACTGCACCCTCTGTTATCGTTTGATTCTGCTTCGGAATACACACGGAGTAAACTTTCTTATATCTCTTTCTATCATTCTTATTTTGCAGGGAAACACATAGCCGGGTCAGTGCGGTTCATCTCCTTGTTTTGGATTGTTCTCCTGGGATCGTCCTCTTATTATGGGGGCTTAAATTAAATCATTCTTGTTCAGCCCCGCAATCCCGACAATTCTGCTCCGAAAGGTCCATTGCTTCGGATGATCGTCCACTGTCTTCGCTTACCGGTTCCCTCGCCCCCGACTTTGGATCTTGTTTGCGGGGCGTTTTCTAGGGCAGGGACCGAGGTACAACTGCCAAGTCTCTAATAGGCCATTATTACACAGGATCCACGGTTGATACATAGTCCAAAAACGATTGTGCAAGTGTCAATTTCCCACTGCCGGAGAATACTACCCAATTTTCAGGAGGTGCAATTGTAGGTCACTCACAGATAAAACCTACTGAGCTCTTACGCCTCCTGATTTTCTGATTGGTGAGGAGATCCTTGTGAATCCCATCAGAGTTTACAGTTGGCTGACCTCTCGTCGCCGATTAGTTCGGGGAACTGTGATGTTGACACCTCCCGACGGATCATGACATGAGAGTTTCCGGCAGCATGGAACCTGCACTCCGGAGACGCCATGGAAGGGACAACATCCGGGTATTCAAGCCGTGAGTCCATGCGATCTACTACCCTTGTGGCTTGGTGCAACTGTGTGATCTGAAGAGCCCTTGCTGATTGTGACTGTAGCCTTCTTCGCGCCTATGCGCTCGGGTACCTATCTTCCGTCACCCCGAAATTGGTATCTTCTGTGCGTCGACTGCGCAGTAAGGACTGGACTGCGCAACAGAAACTTCAAGAGGTATGCCGTGGCATTACATAGTATGGAGCTGTTATCGCGACTTACTATGTCACCCTAAGCCTAAGTCTATCGCATAATTGAAGTGCTATAGCTGACCTCGATTTGAATAGCTAGCTAAAGTCTTGACTGGTCCTTTGCGTCTGAACAGTTTCCCAACAGCTTGTGCTTCCCTAGTTGGTGGCTCAGCCCTATTACCAATAGGATTGTATCGTCTGTGTGCATTGATCACAGCAAGTCTCTCCGGACGTGACGTTCAGATCTCACAAAGGCTCGACCGCTTAATTAGACTCGTCATCACTTTTCTATCTGGATGGTTCAGTTTTCAGCTGCTCAACAAAAACCGCATCTGTCTGCCAATAGAAGATGTCGGAGCTATGCGGGACTCCACAGATCAGGGGCAAGACCGTGGTCAGGCTATGGCCAATCCGCTGGAACATCACCGTCCAGAGTTAGCAGGGAGGACAATGGACCTCACCATCTACATGGTCACAAGAGCCATAGATGCGGTTGCGTGTGTTGCATGGGGTCGCTGGTCCCGTCGCCGCCAGGCCCAGAATCGCTGGACGACTGTCGAATCACTTGTTCCTGGCTTCGTTGATGCAGGTGTCTTTGCCATGAGTGCGGCTGTAGTCATGTGGGCTTGGTTTTATCTCCCTGAAAGACTGCCCAGAGCCTACGAGAAGTGGATCGGGGAAGCTGCTCAGGTCGATTCACGTTTAATTGAAGCCCTGCGCCGTGTTCGACGAGGAGTCTTCGTTTATGGAAAGGATACAGGCCAGGCACCTCTCCTCCAGTCGATGTGCAAAGACTACAACTGGCCAGAGGTGTGGGGAGACCCAGCAAAAGTGGCCCCGATCCCTTGCGAAATGGTTCACATGGGTTGTGGCCCCAGTTGTGAGAAACACGCATTGTATCGATTTGCCAAAACCTTCAAATTTGCCTGTGCAACCTATATTCCCCTACAGATTGTTTTCCGCCTGCGCAGGATGAAATCTGCAACTGCCCTCCGTCGGGCCCTTTCTGATGCAGCACAATCATCTGCCTTCCTCGCATCCTTTGTGAGCTTATTTTACTACAGCGTCTGTCTGGCCCGGACACGACTTGGCCCCAAGATTTTTGATGCGAAGACGGTCACTCCGATGATGTGGGACTCTGGGCTATGTGTCGGTGCGGGATGTCTCATGTGTGGCTGGAGTATATTGGTTGAAAAGACGCGGAAGAGGCAGGAGTTGGCGCTATTTGTGGCACCCCGGGCTGCCGCCACGGTTTTGCCACGGTTGTATGATAAAAAGGTATGTATCGGACCCTCGCATCCTCTGTTCACAACAGGGTTACACCCACATCCCCTCCTCCCCCTTCTCAATGTCTCCAAACCAGCCTGTGGCAGGTTCCAAAACAATCACGAGATGCTGACGCGTGTTGATGTTTGCCAGTATCAATACCGAGAGCGCATCGCATTTGCCGTTAGCGCTGCTATTCTTATCACTTGCCTCCGGGAAAGACCTAGCATGGTAAGAGGAGTTTTTGGTCGCATCACATCGAGTGTGTTGAATTAGACTTCCTTTCACTGAGATGCCTCAAGGCATCAAATGGTTGTATTAGTTATTATTATTTTAACTCTGACTTCTGGGTGCCATTACCCTGTATTATTTTATGAACTTTGCATTCTTATCTATATATGTGCATTCAAATGCCTCGAGCCTAGTTATACCTAGTACATTATGTATACTTTCCCTGATGTATCATCTTCGTCATGCACGGGGCAAGTAGTATCATCCATGGATGTTCATACCAACAGTGTCCTGGTCTTCTGTTTCTATACCGGTCAATTAACCGCTGGTCATGCCAACTTCGCAGCCTAGGCAGCCGGAAGGGTACGGTTGAACCTTCCAGTTTGAGGACAATCATGATCCGATTAGTCTTCATTCCCAAATCAAGTTTTGATTCGAGATACCCACATTCAATATCCTTAGATGTACCATATTTAAGAGATTCGTCGACTAGCTAGGTTCTTTTACCCAGTATCATTGTTGATTTTGTAGTAAAAACCTGCATTTTCAATTAGCCTGAAAAGCTCTGTTTTTCATCTGGGAAACTGTGCTTTTCATTCTGAAAGGAAGGGTCATAGGGGACCTTTTCAATCTATGTACCATGGATTGTGGGGGGGTGTTGAATATTATGACTTCATTGTTGTCACATGCATAGAGAGCTGTCGCAGCAGGATCCAAAATAGTGCAATGGGAAGTGAGGTGCTCCAGCAGAGCGCAGGTTGGCTTTTTAATCCTTGTTGATCTGCGGAGAGGTGGATCGGGTTGGACAGTTTGCTGAGGAGAGACAGGCTCTTGCTAAGCATTCTCCTTTGCTGGTTGAATCGATTCATGGAGCAAGTTCGGGAGCGACGATGGCAATTGCATGGTGGGATCTTGATCTAGCTGCACATCCATAGGGTAGTCTTGAGACTAAGTGTGAGGATGGAGACAATGCTGGTCTCCGGTGAACGCGGGGCTCAAGGATGAAACGTTGGTAGTGTCGATGAGATGCGGATTGTGGATCTGCTCGTGGGGTCGTCAACGCACAAGCAAGGCGGCAAACAAATGACCAAGGTTCAGAACCTTGTTGACAATGTCAATACCCGGCAGAAATCTACACGGGGACTGTCACCCCTTGTAGGACCAGCAAAAAGCTGTAAACCTGAAGCTGTTCCCACTGCTTAAATAGGCAATTCTCCGGCTTGGCGAAGATGATATCCGTGAGTTGTAAGCTTCGTTGGACTCGGGTCCCCAGTAATTTTTGATGTAGAGGGGTGCTGGGCATGGCACTACCCCATGTTGTGCGTCGAACGTTCGATCGTACTAAAAGCTGTGCGTTGAGATGCACTGTGCGCCGGCACAAATCCGAGGATATTGACCGATGGTGAGATCAGATCAATAGAGTCTCCGAGCTCTTAACCCGTTGAGATCTAAAATGGACATGAGATCATGAAAAGGGTTTACAATGTGTATTTGTAGTATGGATGACAGTTGTAGCTATGAAGATGGTCTATCTACTACATGGGAACGGTCATGTGACATCAGGGAGTATTCAACAGGTTGAGCTAGAACTGTGTTCTTCTCCGAAATATCTCTTGCCACTGGATGAGGCCGCTTGTGTAGTTTCTGGCGCACGTCTTTCCTCGTTCCTATGGTTGCTGCTTATAAATTTTCTTGCTCTCGAATCTCGCGGTGTTTTTGCTGATAGTCAGGATTCTACCCAGGAGTTTGACAATAATTGCTGACCGGCTGCGGGTCTTAACGAGGGGATACTTGTTGAATCTGACGATAATCGTTGTGGATTGTTGCGTTGAGTAGGGTGGGTTCCCTCGCCCTCAGTGCGTGGATCGACGGTTAGTTATGGATCCTCGGCGGGAACGATGAACTGTGACTTGGCACGATGTGGCGAATCTGTCGTTCTTATCGGTAATTGTTCTCTTTGGAGATGCTGGTAACTCGCCTGTGTATGAATCGAAAGGCTCTCCTTCACCGCGCACATTGTCTGGCGTTCTCGTATCGAGCGGAATTCGGACCTGACTCTAGATATTGATATTGTGTTACTTCCACTCGCTCACTCGCTTTATGATACCCTCCATATCCATGTCTGTTTACTACCTACTCGAGTTGATCGTCTCATCTTTATTCTGCTTCATTCAATCTCGAGTCGCCTTCATTCACGAGATCGCCACAACTAGATCTCGCGCCAGGAGCTTGTGTCGTTCAATGTGACTTTCTTTCAAGGCCGTCGAGTTTTGCTTGACTTACCAGATTTCTCTTGGTTTAGAACTTAACTTTCTACAGCTCTCTTAATGAATCTATCATTTTCATATTCCACCATGCAACCTAGTCTCTTTTACCAGATTATGAGCTATCGGAAGCTCCATTTCATTATCACCATGCCGGTCTCTCTGTTTGATGCCATCGTCGCCCATCTCAACCATATCAAGTAAACACCCTCGAGGGTCTTACGCACGACGGGTTTTCACTTACACAAAAACAAGCAAATCCGTCGTTCCACGCGGTCAAGTGCCTCCACGACGTACAAAGTGGCTCTCTCTTCGACGCACCACCTCACAATCCGCTATTAACGCGGCCGAACACCCCTCTATACGACGTACACCATCATCAGGTGCTTCTCTATTCGACATACCCTACAACAATCCGCTATCAATGCGATCACGTACCTTGTACCTCTCTCTACGACACGTCTCCTGCAATACTCCAGTTCTCTTACTTATCCTTATCCACTTGCGCAAGTCCACTCTTCTTATTGGTCTGTTCGTCTTAGCCTTAACTGCTCTTGGTCTCATTCCTTGACTGTCACATATCTACAGGTACTTTCCTTTCCCAAAAAAACATAGCACCGATGCAAACACCACGTCTCCTGCCATTACTACAACTGAGAATGCCACAGTCAGCTATTTGTTGTCCCGGATCCTATCCGGTAACAAAATATGTAAGGCAAGCGATCTTGCTGCACTTCTTCCCTAGTGGCTTAACGACTTCGAAGAGAATAAGCCAGTTTTTCCGGGTATCCCAGAGCTACCAACTCATCTTCTACTCCCATTCGGCACTGCTATACTGGAGCGGCTGGAGGGGATAGGGGCCTCTTTGGCCGATACAGAGGGGTGGATGGTAAAACTCCATGCCCTCATGGCCAACAAAGCACATGAAATGATGTTGCAGAAGTTGGAGTCTATGGCGGATGAGGTCTATAATACGCTATCGAACGAGGCCAAGTACCTCTCTTCTCGACGCACCCCCAGAGTCCACTACCCGCAAGGTCAACATTGCTTCCAACAGCAGTAGCTTCGGCGAGGCTCTCTACAGCCAACTCCGCAACGCTACCTTCCTCCGGACTGGTCTACACAGACCTACGTTATCATCATCAGCAGACATTGAAGCGCGTACTGTATTAATATCGCTCGTCTGAGGCACAGGCCTTCCGGGAAGAGGTTGCTTAGCGAGAGAACACCCATCGGCGTCTTTCGGGGATTCCTAACGACCGATGAACAACGCCTACCGGACGCTAATCAGTTGGCAGCGGCCATGCGTATAGACGAAATTGATGATGCGCATGAGTATATATAATAGCTCTCATATACAGTTGTTAAGGGAGACTAAGATGCACGGTGGAATGTGATAGTGATAGATTCATTGAAGCTAAGTTCTGAACTATGGGATTTGACCGCAATGTTCGTCGAACCGAAGTCTCACAGCTAGAATTGTAGCCACCAGGAGTGGGAAACAACTAGTAGAGGGACTCGATAGTCACAAGAATAAACGTATGGAGCAATCCTACCACATATCATTGTAGCAACAATAGCAACATCAATATTCACCGTATCACCCCCATGGCCTGTCATAGCTCATGGCCCCCATTTCCCATGTCCCTCGATATAATGGGCAGTGTGTAAGTTTGAGCGGTGTTCATCTGTGCTATAGGCCATGTCCAAGCAGCCAAACGCCTCATCATATCGCCATACTCAACATCACTAACCCATTCCCGTTCGTCAAATGATCCCTTAATTTCATATCTCGTGCACGGATAAAAATCCAAAGTCTCTGTGAAATGGACTTTCAATCCACCATCATAGTACCCAGATAGCACACGGGCACGAGGGTACTTATCAAACGTGACAATTGTTGTCTGGTTCTGATTAGTATTAAGATACCGTAATATCAGAGGGAATACTAACCGGGAAAAGATGGTGCAACTGGTTGTTGTCGTTCTGCGATGTGCTGAGACGTATTTTTCTGCAAATTCATTGCTTTCAACATTCGATTGGCGAGCACTACTAGCTCGGTGATGGATGGTCGGTCCTCATCAGACATGTCGATCAACGCCACAGCCCACTGACGGCATTGGAGAGGATTATTTCTGTGGCCTGTGCGTATAATCTCAAAATCGTGATTATCCTCCAGGGGTTTGAAACGGTAGGACCCTGGATAACTATATAAGACGGTTAGAAGGCGATACTATGTCGTTCTTTGTGCAGTGTCACTGACTGATAGACATTCCATTCGTATACCATCCGGGCCTCTTCAGCCTCATAAATCTTCCTCTGCCTCTCTTCGTTTAGTCTGCGCCGCTCTTCGCGTCGTTTGCGTCGCTGTTCTACATGCTCTTCACTCTCCTTGTCACTTTCCTCATCACTATCCCACTCACTCGTCTCCTCGTGCTCGCACATATGTTCGTCGCTCCCATCAGGGCTTTCAGCTTTCATTGCGCTCTTGTTCGCCGTTGGGCTCCTTTTCGTCATTTTCTCCCTCGCGCATGTCTTCCTCACTCATTTCTTTCGCGCTCTTCTCAGTGCTTTTTTCATCCTCTTGGTCTTCAGGTAAGTATCAGTTGAGCCATTTCATATCTGTCTGATAGTATAAAAAGGCCCTCATCAGGTAATAATATGGTGTGGCCTTGGTGTAGGGGCATCCCCATTCCCATTGCTTGGTTGCAAACGGCTCGTCGTCCACTTTCTCTTGAGTAGGATCTGGCATCTCTTCCTCACTAGCAGCAAAATAAGGAGATGGAGACCCTGTCTCCATCTCCATTTTGGCGACTGAGATACTTAGATGCTCCATGGTCTCATCGGTAATTGAAGCACCTTCCATCTTCCGTAGAGCTGCGTGGATGTTTTTCATATGGTCATAGCTCTGATTGAAGCGTTCAAGTAGTACTTCAGGAATAGAGGGATCGTTCATCTTGAATGAATATTCAATGGAAGAGAGTGTATATCTTGGTTAAGGAGGCTGAGAAAAAAAATCGAGGGAGGGGAGGGGAAAGAAGAATTTATATAAATCTTTCTAAGGGAATAGCCCATGTGATGTCACAAAGTATAAGAGACTGACCCAAGTGGTTTAGCATGTAGATTTTTACCATATCGGGAGACGGCCAAAACCAAAATCAAAGGCCGTGAGGTGGGTTTTGTCCGTTTCCGAATATCTCGCGCAATTGCCCGAACAGCATGGTCTGATGTTGCTCGCCGTTTAGATGTAACGTGACCCCGGGGCTTAGGGCTTATCGATAAGCTGTTGAATCACGGGAGTTATCACGTGTTGGGGATACGCTGGATCTCATGCGACTCAACATCCAATCCCATTGAAGTCATAGAACCATGTTTTCAAGATTATCCCCCTCACTGGGGCGCTCTGTGCTGACGGGGACGATCCCCCAGCGTTCAATCTATCTCCGAAAGAGCGTCTTCGAGGTAGAGCGGAGGTATTTCTCGAGGAATTTCCTGCTTCATGAACAACGCAAGTCATCTGCAGCGCCTTTTAATACCCCAGAATCGCAAAAACGCAATACCTCTACAATGTGAGCTGGCATTGAACCCGTATTGGTGGGAACCCATATGCTAACAGAGCCCCCGATCAGGTATTATACCATCAGTATGATCCTTGGGACGGTTGCCCTTGCATATGGATCTGTTCCTCTCTACAAAATGGTATGACAAGCTCTCGCTCGATCCAGAGTACATCCTATACGGAATCTCAATCTGATCCCGATTGATTACAGATCTGCCAACAGACCGGTTGGGGCGGTCAGCCCATTCTCACCCACCGAACCGGCGACGGTGATACCTCTGCACGTGTGACACCAGTAACAGATTCTCGCCGTCTGCGCATCACATTCAACGGCTCAGTGTCGGATGTTCTCCCTTGGAAGTTCACCCCCCAGCAGCGCGAGGTCCGAGTGCTACCCGGCGAGACGGCGCTGGCATTCTATACGGCAACCAATAAGGGTCCGAATGATATTATTGGAGTCGCAACATACAGTGTCACGCCAGGTCAGGTCGCGCCGTACTTTAGCAAGATTCAATGCTTCTGCTTTGAGGAGCAGAAGCTCAATGCGGGAGAGTCGGTCGATATGCCTGTTTTCTTCTTCATTGATCCTGACTTTGCCACCGATCCTAATATGAAAGGCATTGATACTATTACCCTGTCATATACCTTCTTCAGTAAGTTTCGTGCCTACACTTTGCTTTCCTGGCCTCATCTAACCAAGAACAGAAGCGAAATATGATGACAATGGTGTTCTAACGCCAATCGCATCATAAGAAGCTCATACCAAGGGCGCACTGGACATTGTATTTCAACTGTGTGTGTTTGCATAGAATTGGACATTCAACAGTGAACATAGAAACATGTGTGTGGTGTTGGGTCTGCTTTTTCGTATTCATCTCATCTCTCGAAGCAAATTTTGCATGTACTATACATATCGGAGTTTGGCGGAAGGCTGCCAAATGCCTAGAAGACTATCTAGCTGTATATATTCTTGAGTTTATCCATGTGTAATTGTATAGTCTACGTTGAAATAAGTGCTTCGAAACTCTTTGCTGCATGCATGGATATAGTGGGATCGTGCACGGACCAGTGATTAATTAGGCGCGTGTCTGGACGCGTTTTCCAGTCCGCATCCTCTGTCGAAAAACCATCTCGATTCCTGAATCCTCTCAACAGTTCTACAAAATGGCTCTCCTTGTGGACAAGCTGCGGCCACGCACCCTAGATGCTCTCTCGTATCACCCAGAGCTCTCTGATCGCCTACGCTCTCTGGTAAGAAGCCCTGACCTGCGGAACATGAACACCATTTTGACACAAGGTACACTTCATAGGCACACAGCGGAGATTTCCCACATTTACTAGTTTACGGACCCTCGGGCGCTGGTAAAAAGACACGGGTCATTGCGACACTAAAAGAACTGTACGGCCCCGGTGTCGAGAAGATCAAGATCGACGCCAGAGTCTTCCAAACAACGAGCAACCGAAAGCTAGAATTCAACATTGTCTCGTCGGTGTACCATCTTGAGATTACCCCTGCAGATGTCGGAACATATGATCGAGTAGTTGTCCAGGAATTGCTTAAAGAGGTTGCGCAGACGCAACAGGTGGATCTCAGCGCGAAGCAGCGGTTCAAGGTCGTTGTGATCAACGAAGCCGATCACCTCACACGAGATGCACAGGCAGCTCTCAGACGTACCATGGAGAAATACAGTCCCAATCTGCGGTTGATTCTCCTGGCCAACAGCACCTCCAACATCATTGCACCGATTCGGTCTCGAACCCTGCTGGTCAGGGTTGCAGCACCTACTGAAAGCGACATTTGCTCTGCACTCCATCTCGCAGGGAAAAAGGAGGGATGGACCGAGTCTGAGGTACTTAACAAGAGGATCGCAAAGGAGAGTGGACGCAATCTGCGTCGTGCGCTGCTCATGTTTGAATCGATTTATGCGCAAAAGTGAGTTTCCACCCCGATTCTCATTGCTCTGCGTTTGATAGGCTTACGTTTTTGGAAATATAGTGAAAAAGTTACTGACAAGACCCTCATCCCGCCTCCGGACTGGGAGGCCCTTGTTACCCTAACAGCTGATGAAATCTTGGCTGAACGATCACCGGCTCGGCTGTTGCATGTCCGCGCACGTCTTTATGATCTTTTGACCCATTGCATCCCGCCAACAACCATTTTGAAGGTATGCATCTACCTTTGCGATGAACATTCTCCAGGTACTAACTGTTGGTGCTAGACCTTGACATTCAAGCTCGTTGCACGAGTCGATGATGCGCTGAAGCCAGACGTTATCAAGTGGTCTGCCTTCTATGAGCACCGCATCAAGCTGGGAAGTGTAAGTCATTGGTGATTATCATTCCATCAATCCAAACGCTGATGGAACATCCATACAGAAAGTAATTTTCCATCTTGAAGCCTTCGTGGCTAAGTTCATGCGCATCTACGAAAGGTATGCTTTACCTGTATAGTTTAACTGGAGACATATAATTAATGACAGATTAGTTACCTTATGGGCATGGACTTTTAATTACTCACTACCAACAAACCAAGACAATGGATGAATGACGATTTGTACACTAGGTGGTTTTCAGTGAGCATGGGGTCTATGAGGTTATGGCCTGCTATTAAGTAGGATCACACTTTTGCGAAATCCCCAGGTATCCGATTTATTTTCACTTTTCACGGGCGCATAAAGGCTTTTTCCGAGAAGGATTCTGGCGTTATTTCACTTGTCATTGTGTACTATCTCTAAGGTAGTTGTGACCAACGTGACCATACTAGCTTAGTTTAGCCGGCGGCTCAGATACATGAATAGATCATATTCTCTTCCCCTCTGCTTTCAGTAGCTTACAACTGGTAGCATGTCTTCGTGGCTGCAGTAGATGTAGGGGTAGATTGAAGCTTGGACGAGGATGAAGGTCGATGGCCAGAACGGGACCTGTGCTCGTCTCCATCCTCTGTCGAGGGGTTGTGGCCTTTTTTGGGGCCATGATGGGTTGATGCTCAAAGCAAAAATTACAGTGAGCTCGAGGTGACGGTCGTAGAAGAAGATATGGGGAAGGTGATCACGGATGTCAAATGCCTTTGACGTCATACTATGAGCTAGGGCTCTCTCTTATACACCGCCGCGATTGTATCGTAAGTCTTTTTGATAGCTATACTGATGTCTTCGCTCACTGCCATAATAACTAGTCGGCTAGTCACCACGCCACCTATGCTTCTGTATATCTTCACGAATTGATCAGCCTAGCTAGTAGCCTAGTCCTCGTTGATTGACTTTAGGGTGCCTAGTAAAGTCCGATGCCCTAAGCTATAAGATCCTTTTTATTAGGTTTATAAAACTTCTTACCGCGGAGATCCTAGCTTCCCGAATACTAAGGGTTATATTTGCGGTTGCCCCCGAACTAAATCTTAGGGCTCGGAAGGAGATAGGCTTTGGTCTTGATTATTTAGTCACTAATCTTTATACTATAAAGTTTTAGAATCGGATCGTTCCTATACTAGAGAAGATCCTTAGACTAGCGAGTATTAGCTAGACGTTTCGGGGGCCTAGTCGTACATACATATATTATTAGATGTGGAAATAAATACGGCGTATTTTACCACTAGACCATAACAAAAACCAAGGTTCCTGTTTAGGGCCTGGGCCATATCCCAGTCTGACATTAGATTATCTATACTACCTATACGTCGGTAAGCTTATAGCGGTATCTCTGAAGGCCTTTGATAACTAGGAACTCGGCTAGGTAATGGAAATCTTCCTTTTGTATCTCGACTAAGAGTATATTAGGATATTCGAGGCGGATATTGTACCGTCTTATAAAGTACTCTTCGAGGTGAATTCGAGTGGACTTCCCGGTAGCCTTGTCGTAGTAATCAATGAAGAATTCCTTGGGCTTTGTATGAATCAGGCCCTTGACAATGAAACTCTTCATCTTAAAAGGGCAACCCTCGCAGTTGGGTGCCACTCGAAGACCTTGGATCTTTCTTCTTTTTAGTTAGTAAGAGAATTCATACATTGTGATTTTACACCGTACGCTCGTATTCCATAGATTTCCGTCAACATGAATAGATCATATTCTCTTCCCCTCTGCTTTCAGTAACTTACAGTAGTGGAAAGATCTTTCCAAGGTTGCATACATCAATCTCTCAAAGTCGCAGCTATATATGCACTTAGCAGTGGAGCCGCGTCCACATTATAGCAAGAGTCGATTCTGAGCAGAACATATTTGGCACAATAATATTAACCTTGGAATCTCGAGTTGTGTACGGAGTAGTCCAGAGCTTCCAAGTCCTCTTCACATACGTCATCACATCCCCGTCATCCATAAACTGGATCGCCCACTGGGAACATCAGAATAGCTTTCATCTTTTGATCAGAAATCTCTGCCATGTTTTCATAATACCGTCTATCATCGTTTCAACATTTTACCTCTATTGCACATGAACAGCAGCAAAATGTCCGACCCCAGACTTGTTGATATTGAACCCGGCGGAGAGAGCACTCAGTATGGACTGAATCAAGACCACCTCTTGCAATTGCTATTCGCTAATATACGAGATGTAGATATGAGTCTATCCGCGAATTCACTAAAACTCCACCAAAGCAGACCGGACAATTGGGAAGTGTGTCGCTTCCTTAGAGATAACTTTGGGTGCACTATAGAAATGACTGACCTCCCAAGGCGGCGATAAGCACACTACAAGCGAAGTGAGCCCTGGTCTAGGGAGACATAGCCCGGCATCCGGCAACGACGAGGATTTCCAAGCACAGAAGCTGGGCATGGGAGCAGTCCCTGACTCTGGTAAAGGTAAATGCTGAATATATTTCCTTGTCTAAACTCCTAGTATCAAGAAAAAGATCCATTGGAGGAACCCGTGCCTCGATCGCTCCTAAAGAGACGCAAACAGCTGATGATAATGTACAAAAGACACGAAACGTGACGAGGACGATGCCGTGGCCAAGGCCCGTAGACAGCAGGGGTATGGGCCTGGGTCTGGCGTTGGGGCTTAGCCGGCGAAGACGACAAAAGCAAAAGACATGACCGATGAGAATAAAAAGGAAACGGTATCATGCGGGAAATGACAATTTATTGGGTAGGGTCGGAGCTGGAGGAGGCGCTCTTCGGAGGTGAAGCGAGATTGTTGGTACCAAGGGGCGGGTTTCTGCGTGCCCGCTTGAGGGAGTCGAGAGTGACACCGTTTCCAAGCTTCGTGATACCGACAACAGGCGGGTCATTCTTGTTGACGAATTCCCAGAGACCTAATGGATAAGAATTAGCATTTTTCGTACCCAGAATAGCACATGGAGAGAATGCATGACCTACCTGGCAATTTGTGGCCCGCCAATCTGAAAGCCTCACGGGCAACCTTCTCGTGGACATCCCCCTTCAATTCAAAGACGATTCGGCTCACGGGCAGTCGGACAGTCCAGTAGTCGAACTTACCCTTACCCTTACCCATACGCTGCTCGTTACCCTTGGTGTAGACACCAATGTTGGCGCTGACACGCTTGTACAGCTTATAGTTCATTCCTCGTAGCCGCCGCTTGATAGTCTCTTCGGCGATCTTCAGCGCTGATGCGGGCATGCGGCGGTCGTGGTCTTTCATGCGCAGACCGAAGTCCCCCCCACACGACTGTTGTTCCTCGGGTGGATCCGCCGGTAGCGACATGAGGGCGACCCTTGGGGGATTTGGATTTTTCTTGGAATTTCGGGGTCAGCCAATCAAGGGCACGCGAGGTGGTAGAGAAGCATCGTGATAGAGAAAAGGTGGCCAGCGGTCCCGACACTATATCGCACTATTAGTCTCCGGCGAGTGGATTTTCTGGGAATTGAATCGCTCGTACAAGTTGGCCGCGTGGAGGCGGAGAGTGCTCCAGTAAACATCTTGATCTGTGGACCCATTGTGAGGGGGGAGGCGGCGAGATATACCAATGTTGCGGAAGGCTTCGTTACTCCGGCACTTTTCGATGATTTACGCTAATCCCAAAGTGGGAATCTGGACTACACGTGACATGGCGCCTGCTTATTTGTTGATGCCTTATAAATTAGGTGCCAATTTCAGTCCATAACTAGGTTAGTTAGTTAGTTAACTAACTATATCATTGGAAGGTTAAACATACAATTTTACAATTTAGAAAAGCCCGTTTCACAATTAAGCACTTTCTGACCCTTTTTCGCTGTCTAACCGACAAACCGAGAAGGGAGGAAATATCTATATAACCAGACGTCTAAAAATACCACCAAAAAGACAGATAAAAAGACTACCGGAGGAGACTACCTGAGAAGACCACCAGACTATGGACTATGGCCGCATAAGCGGCCGACTATTTCAAGGTTCTTGTCACAGTAGATTCAAATAGAATCCTGTTGATGTGAGATGTACCCCCGCGCGCCATGCGACTCAATAATTTTACACTATATCTACCTAGGTAGTACATATGTGTATGCCTGGCTGGTAATTCCCTTGCCATTACTTAGAATCTTATAGATGTGCTTGGCTCCTCCTACCCTAGAGGTGTCATGCACAGCCCATGCTATCCTGAGTTTTGCAAGTTCTTTCATGATTTTCATACTACATAGTAGTAGTTACCTAGATCTGCCCAGGTGCCCGGTGGGCAGCTATACCTTGCTAATACACGCTAGTCCCAAAGGGGAAGAAAGTGCTGCCTTACGTCAGCCAGTCACGTCTCCAGCAGGAGTGTGGCGCGTCGTTCGCGACCTACCAAACGCTGCGGCAAGAGCTCAATTGGTCTTCAATCAAGTCCCCATTTACTGTTCTATGCCAAAGTGCAACTAATTGAGGCTCGCTATGGACATCCGGAATTTCTTCGGTGGCAAGTCGAGTCAAGGCTCCAGCGACGCCGCCGCTAAGCCCGCGGCCAAAAAAGAGGTAAGCTGGTGCCTTGCTCATGAACGGAGGTCCCGGTCACTTATATGTGCCCTGGCTTCCTTTGGATCGCTAGAGATGATAATCTAACCTCAAATCCAACAATGCAGGACTCCTCCGTCACAAGAAAGAGACGTATGCTCTCCATAATCTATACTCCAGCATCACTAGTCTAACGCGAGAACAGGCAGCAGGAAAGTTGTGGATGACAGTGACGAAGAAGAAGATGTAGCGCCAATCAAAGCACCCGCGACCAAAGCGAAATCCAACAGTCAACCGTATGTCCATCGCTTTGAAACGTCTCGTATAATTTGACTGAACTTTCTTTGCAGGAAGCCCAAAGAAACTAAGGAAGAACCTACAACCTCCTCCGAATATTTTGCCTCCAGTAAGAAGAAGACGCGACCTACGAAAACGACCGAGCAAGCTCGGCCCGATACAGCCGAGCTGGTTGCCGAAAATCCCAACCCCAAGAAGACCGCGGAAGAGCCCGCCAGCAAAGGACGAACTACTACACGGGGATCAACAAAGCAAGCCAAAAAGGTTCTTGAAGATGAAAAACTGGGAGCCGATGACATCTTTGCAACCGAATATGGAAAGGCCGGTGACGGAGACGATGCTTATGTGGCTGGAGATGATAGCGACGAGGACAGTGACTTCGAAATGCTTGAGGTGAGACCAGCCGCCGCAGCATCGAAGAGCACGCAGAAGAAGCAATCTTCACGCGATGATGAGGATGATGTGGTCATGGAAGGTCTCCCCGAGATTCCTGCCCCGAAGGCTCGACCTGGCCGCAAGCGCAAGTCGGAAGCTCTCATCGACCAGGATGAAGATGGTGACTACCAAGAACCCAAAAAGGAAACAAAGAAGGCAGCCCCGAAGGCCAAGGCTGCGGCATCGCCAGCTGCAAAGAGGCCAAAGGCTAGCCCCAAAAAGGCTAAAAAGGAGGACAAACCAGAGAGCAAAGAGCTTCAAGATATCTTCGACAGCATTCCTACGATTGACGCTCCAGAACCTCCTCAGGGAGAACCAAAGAAATTCAAGTTCGGAGCGCAACAAAGCCGGGACCCTGTAATGACTGGGACTAAGGAGATGCCCGTTGGGGAAGAAAACTGCCTTGCTGGGTTGTCGTTTGTTTTCACCGGTGTTTTGGAATCCCTCGGTCGCGAAGAGGGTGCGCAATTGGTGAAGAAATACGGTGGCAAAGTTGTGGGGGCTCCTAGTTCTAAAACGAGCTATGTGGTCCTCGGAGCTGACGCCGGCCCAAAGAAGCTTGAGACCATTGCGAAGCACAAGATCAAGACAATCAACGAGGACGGTCTGTTTGAGTTGATTCGACGATTGCCTGCCAATGGCGGTGATGGGAAGGCTGCCGAAAAGTACGCCGAGAAACTGAAAGCCGACGAGGCCAAGGTCCGTGCTATGGCAGCCGAAATTGATGCAGAAGAGAAGAAACGAGAAGAGCAGAAACGAAAGACGGCCATGGCTCCAGCATCCAAGACCGCTGCCACCACGTCTCAGACCCCACCAAGCCCACAGCCTGCATCATCTGGCGATCTTTGGACCACAAAGTATGCCCCAACATCGATCAGTATGATCTGTGGTAATAAGGGTGCTGTGGAAAAGATCCAAACCTGGCTGCGGAACTGGCATGCTAGCGCCCAAGCCGATTTCAAAAAGGGTGGTAAAGACGGCTCGGGGATATATCGTGCCGTCATTATTCACGGCCCCCCAGGAATCGGCAAAACTACAGCAGCCCATCTTGTGGCGAAGCTGGAAGGATTCGATGTCGTGGAAACCAACGCCAGTGACACCAGAAGTAAGAAGCTTGTTGAGAGCTCTACCTTGGGTGTGCTAGATACAACATCATTGCAAGGATATTTCGCCGGACACGGAAAGCAAGTGGAGAGTGAAAAGAGAAAGCTCGTACTCATCATGGATGAGGTTGATGGTATGTCTGCTGGTGATCGTGGAGGTGTCGGAGCTGTCGCAGCCATCGTCAAGAAGACCAAGATTCCAATCATTCTTATCTGCAATGAGCGAAAGATTCAGAAGATGAAACCTTTCGACTTCATCACCTATGACGTGCCGTTCAGACGCCCGACTGCTGAGCAAATTCGGGCAAGACTGTCCACTATTTGTTTCCGAGAAGGCCTTAAGATTCCGCCTCCTGTACTTGATGGCCTCATTGAAGGAACACATGCCGATATCCGCCAGGTCATCAACATGCTTTCCACCGCAAGACTGGACCAAAAGGGACTCAATTATGACGAAGGCAAGCAAATGTCAAAGTCGTGGGAGAAGAATATCATCCTCAAGCCCTGGGATATTGTCAGCAAAATTCTCAGCGCCCAGATGTTTTCCCCGAGTTCCACTTCTACCCTGAATGACAAAGTCGAGCTTTATTTCAACGACCACGAATTCAGCTACCTGATGCTTCAGGAGAACTACCTCAAGACCAAACCTGCTCTTGCGGGCAAATATCAAGGCAAGGAACAGCGACTGAAGTCGCTTGAATTGATGGACAATGCCGCCTCGAGTATCAGTGATGGTGACCTCGTCGACCGCATGATCCACGGCACCCAGCAGCAGTGGAGTCTTATGCCCACCCATGCCATTTTCAGCTTTGTGCGGCCAGCTAGCTTCCAGTACGGTAACTTCAATGAGCGGCCTGCATTTACTAGCTGGCTGGGCAACAACAGCAAACAAGGTATGTCTTGAGAATTTCACAACCGTCTGTATAAACTTCCTAACTGATTTATTCTCCAGGCAAACTATCCCGATACGTCAAGGAAATACAGGGCCACATGCGTCTTCGGACCACAGGTAACCGCGACGAGATCCGTCAGCAGTATATGCCTTGCTCCAGGAGAAGATGATCCGCCGAATGATGGACGAAGGCAAGGACTGTGTTGACTCGGTCATTGATCTCATGGATGAATACTATCTCACTCGCGAGGACTTCGATTCCATGGTTGAACTAGGACTAGGCCCAATGGACGAGTCTAAGATCAAACTTGAGACACAGACCAAAGCCACCTTCACACGCCTGTACAACTCGCGTTCGCATCCCATGCCTTTCATGAAGGCCAGCAATGTCGTGGCACCTAAGCAGGCAAAGAAGGAGAAACCTGATATTGAAGATGCCCTTGAAGGATCCGATGAAGAAGAAGTTGTTGAAGAGATCAAGAATGAGGACGAGGAAGAACTTGATCTGAAGAAGGACAAGTATGTGAGCTTGCCTAAGAAAAAGAAGGCGCCGGCCAAGGGCAAGAAGACGAAGAAGGCCGATGATGATGTTGATGCCGATGAGGAAAAGCCGAAGAAGGCTCGTAAGAGTAGGGCCAAGGCTAAGGCTTGAGAGATGATCAAATTTGTAACATATTATTTCTTTTTTGTCAAGAAGCATACGTTTTAATGGTGTTGGGGCATTCCAATCTGATACTCCGAGCACAACAATTTAATTGTTGTTTACATCTTGACACGTCTTAAAACTTTTCTTCTCCCGCTGTTTTCTCATCAAGGCTGTCCCTTTGGGTGTGCTGAGCTCTCTTGTTTTCAGGGCTTCCACCTCTGTTATTTCGGCTCTTGCTATATCGACTCATATTCTGTGCAGACCTGCTCCTGCATGCCAAGATGAGTGCTGTATCTGAATCTGGTAACTCTGACGATGTCACATCAGGTAGGTCAAGTGTTATCGCTCATCATGAATCTGAAGACTCAACTGTACAGTTCTTTCTACAGGTTCTCCGGACACCCAGCGTCCAAGCATCCCGTACAGAAAGCTTCTTCCGAGCGTTCAGACAACGCATAATGCTCTCATTCTTAGGCCAGCTCCATTTAATGAACCGCAAGTTGAACAGGTTCCCATCCCGTCCATACTGCCAGGAAGTGTTCTTCTGCGTATCCTCGCAACGCCGCTCCACTCTTACAGCAAACTTGGCTTTGACTTTTACAACCCTGGGAGATCTCCCCAAGAACAGTCATTTATTCCCGGCTCAAGTGCAATTGCCCGTGTGAGTCGGGTCGGTGACGATGCAACCGCTTTGAGGATTGGCCAACTAGTCTTCTTTGACTCGGTGATGAAAGGAAGAGATAGCCCGGAGACGATTCGTTTTTGCAACCCTGTATATCATGGCTTCGACCCTCAGAGTAAGGAAGTCACAGTCTCTAGCGGCTTTGCAGACGGTTCGTATGCCGAATTCATGAGAGCACCGCTTGAGAACTGCTATCCTTTGGATGAGGCTAAGTTGATGGGAGATCCGAGGAAATGGGGCTTTGCATATACCCCAGCACAACTTTGCGCGATTGCCACCTTCCTCAGGCCGTTCGGTGGATTGTCTAGCATTGATGTGAAGCCCGGTGAAACGGTCTTGATTTCTCCGGCCACTTATCCAAACGGCGTTGCTGCATGCATGGTTGCGTTGGCTATGGGTAATATATTTCTTGTCCACCAAAGAGGTTCCTTGATAATCAAGAATCTAAGCTAACTGGATATTAGGTGCAAAAGTTGTAGCCTGTTGTCACAATGATGCTAAGCTGGTACAGCTCAATCAGATTCTATCCCACACTCACAACGGTTCTTGTGAAAGGATCTCTACGATAACCTGGACAGGTAACCCTACAAAAGATGTCCGCAACATTAACACGTTTGGTCCGATGGATGCGTTCCTCGACATTTCTCCTCCAGGAGCCCGAAGATCCTTGCATCTCAAATCCGGTATTATGTCGCTCAGAACTGGGGGCCGGGTGAGTCTGATGGGTGCCTATGACGAGCTTGAGATTCCCAATCTCTTCGTCACACGTTGCAATATCACGTTGAAAGGAAACTGGATGCATGAGCGAAAGGATGTTCTTGCACTGATCAAGATGGTAGAGAAGGGGAATCTTCGCCTGAAAGAAGAGGACGGATGCTATGTTGTCGGCCAATTTGGTCTGGATCAATGGAAGGAGGCATTGGAGGCAGCCAATCAGCTCACTGGTATTGGAGAGAGTGTTGTTTTTTCTTTCTAGGCACAATCGCGAGGATATTCGAGTGTCTTAGTCTTGTTCGGTTATTTGAATCTCAATGCTTATCAGCCACCCATGGTATTACATAGTAATAGAATACGTTCCATGGGCGGAAGTAATTCACAGCATTTCTCGAGATTGAGGGCATGGTCATCTAGGGAGTAATAATTGACCCGTCAATGTGTTGTATACACATACCTGTAGACATCGATGTAGTTGAGGAGTTGGGAGTGACCCCTTGGCGGGGAAATGATCTGCGGAGAACGCAAGTTCCCTCTCTTGCTTCTGGCATACAACTCCCCTTCCTCTCCTTTTTCTCCGTTCTTGATATCTTTATCTTTTGATCTATTTTTCCAGGCTGGTCCTGTATGAGCTAGTCTCATTCGCTTTTATCCGTCCCTTTATTTCCCCCGAACATGCGATCTTAGGCTCGAGGTGCTGTGAATCCAGACCTCGGTGGCTACTGCGCAGCACACTCCTGGGGTACTACACACATATGCCCTTGGGAAAGCCGGGAAGATGTCTCTTCTTCACAATGAAGAGTAAGTCGCATCCGGAACTGCAGACCGGTCCTCAAATCGCCGCGGAAGGTCTCCAAGGACTAACCCGAGCATAGCTTTACGATCTGGCAATTACGCTCCTCATATCTCTCGACTATCAAAGATGGAATCGGGGACAGACTTATCAACGTCAATGACTCCGTCCTGAATACACCTGGCTTCCGCGCGGCGGGCTGGTCGACCGCCGCCGCGTATCCCAACACACTCAGCTCCTCCCACCTGAAGCGCACTTACTCCCCACCGATTCCAACAACGGCGAACGTGTCGTCCGAATATTACAGACTAGCAGAACGAAACGCAAATCCCCAGCGCCACGAATTGCAAGGCCTCGGTCTGGAAGACGGCGAGGATGATGGTGGCATGGTGACCGGCAAGAGCCATACGGACATGACCGCGCGGCGGCATCACGCACGCGGCGGAAAGAAGAAAACTCGACGGGAAAGGCAACAAGAGGTGCAGAGGCAGGCGGAAGCAGAGGACGACGATAGCAGCGACCTCAGCGATGACAGCGACGACGATGGGGACAACGTTGGCAGGTTGGTTGAGTTTTGTGTGGTGTTCTACTTCCCTATCTAACAAAGAACAGTGCTGTTGATCAGATCAAATTCGACAAGATGCCTATCCGCCGTGACCGAGCCGACTCTTCTCCAATGCGTTCTGGGGACCAGAAGGAACAGCCAGAAGTGATGATCACATCTGCATCAACCCAAAACCTTGCGAATCAACACCGCCAAGTAAAACCACGCCCCCGTCGTGATACAACTACTAGCAGTGATCTGTCGACGGATAACGAAACGGACCTCAGAGGCTACAAACAAGGTCAAGTCCAATTCTCCGCAAGCGATCAGGTTGTTGAGTATTCGCGCAGACGTCGTGAGCGAACTGGGAGTCGAGGCGCAGAGAGCCTGGCCCTCGGGGAACTCCACGAGGAGGACGAAGACGAGGATTCCGGTGCTGAGTCTGTTGGGTCCGCACTTTCTTCTGACTTTGACAATACGGCTGGATCTGGTTCCTTGCTGCTGGCAGGCGTGGCGGGTGGTTTGAATTTGTCCTCGCCCATGACTATGATGAACAAGTTGCCCACCGGTACAGGGCCACAGAATACTTCACCGCGCAAGCATCGCACTCCGGCTCCTGCATTGCAAGATCTCCCCCCGCCACGGCCTATCAGCATGATACAGCCGGTCAGCTTATTGACCAGCCAGCTTACGTCCCGAAAGCGAGCACCAAGCAATCCAGTGGATAAATTCATGGTGCTCTCTGGGCGAGGTCAAGAGGACCCGTTGTATTTGAAGATCTACGTTCCCTTTTCAAGCGACCCTGAAGACCCGCTGGATCTGCCACTTACACGCGAGTCTAAGCTTGCAGAGCAGCCCGCACAAGTAACTGTTGCTGAGACTATTGGTCTTGCCCTATGGAAATACTCGGCGGATGCTCGCGGTCCAGCAATTGATCGCAAAAATTTGACAGTTAACCGATGGACGCTACGAATGGTCGACGATGGTGAAGTGGAATATGACTTCCCAGCGCTTGGGCGGACACTTCCAATGACAGATTTTACGTCAAACAACAACCAATCTGCCAAGTCCCGAGGACGATCAAGGGTAAGCCGTACGATGAATTCGCACTGGTCGAAGCATCGGAATCGGAAGTTTGAGGAGAATGAGCGGCTATATCCACAATTTAGTTCAAGCATTGGGTCAGAAGAGGCAGATCAGCCGGCAAGCCTTGCAGTACCAGGGACTCAACTTGCTGCACAGAAAAGGACTCCTCAGACCACACCAGCCCGAACGAACCCCATCCTAGGCCAGCCATTTTCGTCTGCGCTCAACCACAGCACGCTTACTCCCGCTGACCGCCCCGTGGTACCTATCTCGCATGCCACTCCCCGTCTTGGTGTTTCTAAGACATTGAAGATTCGCTTCATCAACATGGAGGCTTCCGCACATGTCATGACCATCAACACATCTACCGACAGCTATATAGCCGAGATCCTGGACACTGTTTGCAAACGATGGGGCCAGGATAAGGGCAACTACCTCTTGAAGGTGATGGGGTCGAACACGATTGCACCACTTGACCGCACAGTGGAGGCACTGGGCAGCATCACGGAACTTGATCTGGTTCGTCGTCGCTTCGGCGGTGGCCCCCTCGCACTCGGAACCTCACCAGGCAGCTCATCACCAAACGCGCCTTTAATGGTGGATACCGCCGACCCGACAACCTCCAAGAAGAGCAAAAAGGAAGCCAAGAAGGGTGTCCAGCGCATGTTGCCCTCGTCTTCTCAAAAGCAAGACCACCTAGGCGGATATTACCGCCGGTACCACGTGTTCCGCAAACAACCCATGTCTTTCACAGCATCCAACCATCGGATCCTCACCTTTGAAAATGATTATATGCATATCGTGCCTGGTGACACGGGCAAAACGGCGTCCGGGGGTAAGACCCGGTCGATCAGCTTCAGCGACGTGATCGGATCCAAGGTCAGCCGACGGCACCCGAAGAGCTTCCGGGTGATGATCGTGCGCGGCAATGATGCCACGGAGCAGAAGCGCTATGACTTTGAGGCAAGGAGTACAAATGAGGCCGTGGAGATTGTGGATGAGATCAAGAAGAATATGGCACATTATCGTATTTGATTTTCTGCTCTTTCAGGCATGGAATTGCGTTCGGGGCAAGGGCTTGGACTTCGGGTTAGGGAATGGCGTTGTACAGGCATATTGCAGCTTTTACCTTATTCAACAATGAACATTCAACATTCAACCAAGCTTTATATGGGGGTCCTTAGAGAACCTCGGGTGGCTAATACCTGGGTACATACCTAGGTACAATAACCCATATTGGAATCCCTGTTCACGTGATTGATGACCCACTAAAGCGACCCACTTGGTATAACCTTAATCTCAAGCCAGACGAAGGTTGACATCCAAGGTTACCTAGGTACTACTCCAAAAGAATACTACTATATAGGTATGCATGTAGCTACGTAGTCCTTGATCAGATCCCTTTGGTAGTCTCTTTAGTACTCTTTCAAGACATACTCACTTTTTAGGTATTTTGGACTCTTCTTGGTGCTGTAGCTAAAGGTCCAAAGCCAAGAAATTAAGTCAAGGGCAAGTTGGCAAGTTTTGGGAAAGAGCATCCCTTAACCAAAGTCCATGTTATTTTCATCATCACTTCTTCCACATTCCGGTATCTTTTCTTCTTTTACATCTTCATCCTCATATCCTCAGCACCGATGCCCATGTCACTGTGGTGTGTTCACAACCTCTCAACCTCTACATATCTGTGGAAACAATGTCTTCCCATATGCGCGAAATTTCTAAGTGGCTTCCCACCATACCGAATTGTCCACAGATGCTCGTTTGATCAGAGCTACTGAAGAAATTCTGGTAGTTACAGAAGCTCCAACAGAAGGTGAAGACGTACTGCGACGGACCCTGGGCGTCCGTTCCATCGTATCAAGCTCTTCAAGCTTCACACTGTGTAGCGAGCGAGCCCCGATCGATAAGGTAAGGATGAAGCATTATCCGGAACCTTGTATATACTCGTGGAGCTTACCAAAGCTAGTGCCGGAAGGGTTCCAATGTTGCCAGTCCTCATTAGAGAATCTCAAAATGTTGAAGCCAGACACTCTCCAAACAACCCAGAGCTCGAGTATTTTGATGCACTGCCGGTCAGTAGGTTCGAAACTATCGGCTCATTGGCTGGCGCTATCCGCAAGATCATCAAAGAACAGACGGAACTAGGTATTGGCGTGGTGAAATACCTACGTTTTACCAATGTCTCGCCAGTCATTGCAGAAAAGTTCTCTTCGAAGTCTGCCCGGCAGATGTACTGTTATGACACCCAATCGATGATTATAAAGCTTGTGGGAGGGCCTCATGAGAGAGCCACGAGACGTATCGATAGGGAACTGTGTAAGGTGTTGGACCGTATGGGACTATCTATGTCGCTCTCTCCGTCAGGGGTATACGTCTATCAGGCGTGTCTTCTTTGAAGGGGACGGACGGGTCGTGGCCAATGGCCGACCATTGTGCTCGAAGTTGCAGTCTCTGAGTCGTACCAAAAGCTAAGAGCAGAACGCAGATTGGTGGTTTGCAAACTCGCAGGGAGCTGCTAGGATTGCTATCATTGTGTTGGTCAATCGAGAGAAGCCAATGGTAAAATTTGAGACCATTGTTCGCGACTCTGGTGTGTCCTTAGGATCCCAACAACGCCAGCGGCCCCGCTACACCCCAATTATGAGGCAGTCAATTATCACATCCCACGTACCGGAATCAAACAACAACTCTCCGGTCACTGTTCTTCCGAAGAATCTTTGCTCGTCAAGTTTGAGGAGTTGTTTTGTCGCCAACCAAACTCTCCCGAGCAAGACCTTAAGCTCCACCCTGGTCAGTTGAGAGAGATTTCACGAGCAGTCTGGGAGGCGTAGAGGCTAAGGTCTACCTGATCGTGAATCGTAAGATATTCTGGTCTTTTTCGGTTCTGCGCGTTGTATTCTTAGTTCTATTAACTGTCCTAGCTCCTTCGAAGAATGACACAATCGCTATTACAATACATGTCAGTAATCCGCAATTTATCTCTGTTACGGCCCGTTGCTTTAAGCAGAAAGGGCCGCTCCTGATTGCGCACTTACAGCGCTGACATGATTACAGGACGCATTAGTCCAAGCTTTGGTGTACAAAAGAGAAGAATATCTATATATGTGGTCATTGACATGCCACCTCACACATGGATGAAGATGAAAACTCGATGATCGTCTGGGAGCTCTGTCCTGGACCTGTATTTCCTATATTCTCATATATATTCTTTTTGATGCCATTTTAAGATCTCTCTTCAGAGCGCCTTTTTAGTCCTTTTTCAGATCTATGTCCTTCAAATCTATGTCTTCAGATCTTATAGGTCATAGACCTATATCCTCAGACCTATTTCTTCAGATCTGTTTCTTTCGGGTCTATATCTTTGAGGTCTATATCTTCAGATTGATTTTCTTCAGATCGATGTCCTCAAATCTTTCAGGTCAATGTGTCTTGAAGATGCCTGGTGGGGGTGGAGATAAGATGACTAAGACACCTTATCTCCGAGGTTTCCAGATAAGGTCTCATTTACTTTTTTGATACTCCGTACTCTTGATGCTTCTACTCAACAACCCAAACAATGAGATCTGCCAACTAGAGTTGCTCCATCTGAATCAAAATTTACAATGAACTCAAACTCCTCACCTGCTGAGGGGCCTGGGGCATCTCACCCCCCCAGAGCACCATCAACCCAGCAAACCTACCGAGGACCGGAGAGAAGCTCACCAACCGGACCCCACTCCCAAAGACCACGCCCACGCAAGCCACAGCCGGGCATTTCGCTTTAAAGATGGAAGTCGCCCTCACCGAAAACGGGCGCACCGTCACAAATCGCGGACACGAGACGGCGAATCCTCCAAGCGACACCGCCGCGAGAACCAGAGCGACCCAACAGCTCAAAACCCCTTCGGTTCAACAACCGACACCTTCCGAGAATCCCTGTTTGACGCACTTGGCGATGACGAAGGCGCCGCATACTGGGAATCTGTCTACGGGCAGCCCATCCACAATTACCGCGTCCCGGACGTACAACGGGGCCCGGAGGGCGAGCTGGAGCAGATGACGGAGGACGAATACGTGGATTATGTGCGTCGTCGGATGTGGGAGCGAACTCGTGAGGGCATGCTCGCTGAGCAGGAACGTCTGCGGGCCGAGCGGCAACAGAAAAGGAAGGAAGAAGCGCAACGGAATGCGCAGGCTGGGGAGGAGGAGTTTGAACGCGCCATGGAAGACAGTCTGCGGCGAGGGGCGGAGCGCAAAAGAGCAAAGACCGAGTGGGGTGTGCCCTGGGCCGAGTATCTGAAGAGCTGGGAGACTATCGGGAAGGCTGCGGAGGGGCCTGCCCCCAAGCCGCTACGCAACCTGATCTTCTGGCCTGTTCGCTCTGGGAGGAGGGCTGATGTTCGGCCGCAGGCTGTTGAAGAGTTCATGCGTCATGCTCCGGCGCCGGCCGAGTTACTCGGCACGCTTAAGGCGGAGCGCATTCGCTGGCATCCCGATAAGATCCAGCATCGGTATGGTGCGCTTGGAATTGACGATGTTGTCATGCGCAGTGTTACGGAGGTCTTTCAGATTGTGGACCGCATGTGGAGCGAGGAGAGAGAACGGCAGAAATGATGAGATGGAGTGTACATTGGGCGGCGTCTTGATTTGTTACTTGTACTAGACTATTGATACCCCAAGCATCATGCTGCATACTAGAGCATGTTTTGAATGATCATGACTTTAATTCATTTCAAGGATGAACAGAAAAGATAACAAGAACTGTAGTGGGAGCTGAACGTAGATCAGAGTAAAAAGAAGAGCTTCAAAGGGGCTATGTATGCAAGATCCCTTTCAATCAGAAACTGGGCAAACCCAGAGACCCAACTTAAATCGCACAGAAGAAAGGTTGAAATCCTGTGCTTTACCAAATATCCATGCAACGTAAATTTAGAAACGCGATGACCGGGCCTTGGTCCGGTAGACTGTCCAGCCAAAGTAACCACCGACAATAACGGCAAAGAACAGCACAGTCTTGAAGAGGAACCAACTCCAGCTACTCTTCTCCTTGACAGGCCGGGGGGAAGAGCGACCGCGGCTCTTGGACCGGTCTTCCGTGGTCTTGCCTTTGTTGTTATTGCCGCGGTTAAGGGAGTATAGGTTCTCAGCCTTGAGGGAGATGATATCGTGGTTGTCGCTCAGCTCGCCGGTTTCGGCGGAGAGACCCAAGTATGCGACGGAGGGGATGGCGATGTTGGAATCTTCAGCGGAAAGACTGAAACATTCGGTCCATGAGTCCTCGCTCTTGTACTGCAGCTCCAGGGACAGGGACTTGTCCTGGAAGTAGGTAAGGCGGGCTTTGGTGGGGACGGGGGCGCTGCGGAGACCACGAGCCTGTGAACAGTTAGAGCCATATTCAAATCATCCGCAAACCAATGTGAACTCACAGAGCAACCGGCCAACTCGTTCGCCTTGCCGTCGTGCGCCTGGTCGTAGGTGGTCTTCCCATCACCCATCATGGCCATGACGTAAGGGAACGAAACACCGGGGCGGTTGTTCTTATAGGTGTCAAAGAAGATACCGAGACCCTCGAATTTATCTGTCGAACCGAAAACAGGACCTTGCGTGGCGCGCTCCTTGGTGAGCCAGAGCGCAAATCCATCACCATGCAAGTTGCCGGAGCCGTGGATCTCGAACTCGAGCTCAATCTAGCAGGGATATACGTGAGCTTTGGCGCATTTCGATTCGCGGGGGCCGTGTATTTACCTGCCAATTGGTTGCAGTCAGAGGCACGCGGGAGGCGATCCATCCTTGCTGCGACGGCCGGTCCGCCGTGAGGCGGACATATCTAAACAAAGACGCAAATCAGCACTGGCGCCCATGTGAAATTTCACTTGAATGTCCTGGAATATCCTTACTTATCAGCGCGGATTACTGTATCTCCTCCGAAGTCGAACCAGCGGCTTTGGAAATCCGAATCGAGGTATGGCTGTTAATAGCGGTCAATACTGATGTTCCTCCTCGGAGCACGAGCTATGCGCAGCTTGTTTTCGGAAGTCGCAGACAAGCTGGACTCAGGATACAATCATACCGGAGAGAGGCTGTGGGTGCGAAGCTAATAGACGTCCAAAGTCAGTACCTCAGCTTGAAACGGGATCAACATTGAGCACATACGGGGATGCTTTTGATATTCGGGTCGTCGTAGGCATTCACGGGTAAGGCAACCAAGCCCGCGAAGCAGAGAAGCGAGGAAATAGACGGAAGACGCATTGCGGAATTGAATTAGGGCTCAATGGAGGGGAGCGAGCCCAGAGTGTTTCAAAGATAGACTGGAGGTGGGATGGACGGGGTACGGTGTCACCAGGACCCGAAAACCCAGCGAGTAGGAAAGAAGAGAAAAAGCCGTAAGAAAGTCGAGGAAAGGCGACAAGAAAGAGTGAATAGGCGAAGTTCTTGAGGCGCGGATACAAGGAGGTGAAGTATACAACTTGTTAGGCTAAGGTGTCCACATCGAATGTGGCGCAGCTAATACTCCAGCCACAGCCCTGTACCTCAGATCCTGAAGTCCGTCGACTTTCTTCGATTCAATCCAATCCAACCCCATCTCATTTGCACCTTTTCCACCTATCTAACTCTCTCATAATGTCGTCGCTTTTCGGTTCCGGCTCCGCCGCTCCCATCCAGACCTCTGAGGAGATCAAGGCAGCAGTCATGCGCCAGCTCCAGCAGGAGGCCGCCATGTCCAACGCCCGCTCCTTGATCGGAGTACGTCACCACCCTTGATATCCAAATTCGGCAACGAACTGACAACAACCCCAGAAAATCAACAAGCACTGCTTCAAGGCTTGCGTTCCCACCCCCGGTACCTCGCTCTCGGCCAAGGAGAACACCTGCCTGTCTAGCTGCATGGAAAAGTACATCGCCATGTGGAACACCACAAGCAAGACCTACATCGCCCGTGTCGGTGTGGAGACCAAGCGTCTCGGTGGTCAGGATGCTGCTGCCATTGCCTCCATGGCTACCGGCATGCCCGAGGGCGGCGGCGGCATTATGGGCTAAATCGATCAATCCTCGAATCAGAAGAAGACAAGGATATTGAAGGACGAAGCAAGAAGCAAAAGACACAAACACACACTTCTGCGAATGAACTACTGTACGATAGAAGCGGCCTGGTAGCCCGTGTATAATATGGGCGTGGCTTTTTGTGCCCCAGCGGTTGGAGATTGGGAATAGAACAGGGTTCACGACGAATCCATTTGTATATCGAGCAAGCGATTGAAAGAAGGGGGAAAAAAAAGAACAAGGAAATTCAATTGTAATTGCTAAGAAAATGATGTGCATATAGAAAAGTATGGGATTTTCATATAATGGCTCCTGGTTTTTCACGACTCCTCCCGAGGTCAATCAGTTCCGGCCCTCCCCCAGAGGACTTTTCGTCGCGTCATAAAATCATACAAGCACCTTAGAAGTCGGGGAAAAGGTGGCCATATCTGGAACGAGTTAGTCAGGTGTGCGGTTGGTGTGGAAAAAGGTACGTACGGATCCTCTCCTTCCTGGCCATAGTGCTCTGTTTCCTCCGGATACTTGTCGTATTGGCTTGCATCGCCTTGTCCACCGCGAATGGGCGGGATATATGGCGCGTCGATATCCTTACGAGCTAGTCGGTCCCAAGTGACCTCGGCGAACCAGGCATGGTTCTTGACATCACTGGGGCCACCGTGCAAGTTTCCGAGGCGCTTGGTGAGGTCGGATGTGATCAGCTGAGAGAGCAGATCCACCGCGTCGGTGTGCAAGTATGGAGGATACTTGACCTTGCCCCGCAAGATATTCTCGTAGATCTTGACTGGAGAGCCGCTGTCCCAGAAGGGAGTGAATCCACACAGCATTTCAAAGATTAAGATTCCCAATGACCACCTTCAGACAGTTAGAACAATTCGCCGGAAGCATTCAAAGCAAGCTTACCAGTCAACTGATTTGTTATATCCCTTGGAAGAGACAACCTCAGGTGCTAGGTAGTCGGGGGTACCACATAGTGTCCACGTAATATCCGGCACGTCCTTAGCAAACCCAAAATCTGTGATCTTCAGATGGCCATGACGGTCCAACAGAAGGTTTTCTGGCTTCAAGTCACGATATATGATCTGGTGTGCGTGCAAATACTCCAGCGCTAGGGTAACCTCCGCGGCATAGAATTTGGCTACCGGGTTCGGGAATCGCTAATGGCAAATGAGTTCTTTGTTTCACACACAAGACCGAAGGAAGTGGTCATGGATCACTCACTTGTGATTTGCGCAGGAGGCTGAACAATTCACCTCCCTCCACAAAGTCCATGACCATATAGAGGTTCCGGGAATCCTGCCAGGTTCCCCATAAGGTAACGAGGAATGGATGGCGGACACGATTTAACATGCGGCGCTCGTCATTTGTGTGCTCAATTTGCTTCATCTTTACCACCTGGGCCTTCTTCAACACTTTCATCGCATAGAAGCGATGATTGTGGTTAGACTGCACCAGGTGCACACGGCCGAAGCTCCCCGTTCCTAAGGTGCGCTGGAGCTCGAAGTCCTCCTGAGAGTACTTCCCCTTTGTAACACGCTCCTGCTTCTGCTGCTCCTGGTGTATAATGTTGTCGATACTGGCGGCATTCTCGTGTGTACCCGTACCCGAGTGCTGGGGCGAAGCGTGTGAAGCGGGTTGCATGGATGCGCCTGAACCGTCGTGGTTCTGAGAATCTGGTTTCCCTAGATCTTGCGAATCCTTCGTTCGCCTCTTCTTCAGTAAACCACCTAGACTCGGCATGGAGAGAAGATTAGACAGGCTTTGGGGCCATTGGGGTTGGGTGGGATGGGGAAAGGAAAGCTGGAATGGGAGGTCCGGATTAAGTGGGGAGGGGCAGCGGCCAGAATGACGCATTGATCTTTCATTATGGACTTTAACAACTTGAACAACTTGAACACACCTCTATTATTGAGCTGATATGTCGATTTAGAAGTCTGTTACTTGCTCAATTAAGTTGATTTGGTCTCTATTTGATTCTATTTATCTGAATTGATGATAATACGAGATCATCAATTCTAATATTCCGACAAGTCACTCATATTTCTACTTATCTACATACATACGTACATCCCTAAACTACTATGTATATCAGATCAGATTTAAAGGCTTAATTAAGATCATTCAAGTGGCTTTAAATGTCCATGAACACCATTGTCCAATGTATGACCCTATTAACCTCCATAGAAGCGGAGAAGCCGGATGCGATGACGTTACAAAGTGATGCGATCATCTCTGCTGTTTCACTGTCTAAAGTGAGTTTGAGCCTGTGCTTTCGGACATTTTTCTCTTTGGTCCATTCCATCCCGTCCCCTAGTCCACTATGTAATGTCCTGGTCCTTTTTCCATCTCATTCGAGATTCGGATGATATGCTTATGTAATTAATGGGTGCCTGAAAGAACAGGCGTGTAATAATTTAACTTGTCGCCAACTCCAATCTCTCAAATCCCAAGGAAACAACAACAACATAATCCACCATGGTGCTAGTAGGCTACTCCGACTCCGAAGGCTCAGACGCCGAGCCAGACACTACACCCGCACCCCAGGTTAGCAAGGCACCCCAGGTTAGCAAAGCAAAGAAGTTAGGCTCCAAAACTGGGTTCCAGATCGACCCCAACAACCCGGGCAAGATCCGCCTCGCAATTCCAGAAATCAAATCTGAACACCCATCCGGCGAAGACACAGAAGATGGTCCGCGCAAGAAGGCTCGGTTGGGTGGAGGAGGCCTTTCGGGATTCAACGCTTTCCTTCCAGCCCCGAAACGAACAGCCGAAAAGAAAGCACCAGTGGCGACAACACGAAAAGTGTTTAGTCTCAAAACAGGAGCAGGCCCTGGATTTGATCGCACCTCCGATGCAGAGATGAAGAATGATTACGCCTTCGAAAATCTAGCGGGTGGAGATGCGGAGGACACCATACCTGCCCCCGGCTCAAACACCGACACTGCATCAGAAGCAACGGCGGAGACAATGAAACCCCCAGCTGAGGTTAAATTGCAAGGAAATCCGATGATGTTCAGACCGTTGTCCGTCGGACGACCTCAAAAGAAGAGAAAGACCACCAAGATTGCCGAGCAACCAATACCTTCCTCGTCAGCAGCGCCGAAACCTGCTCAGCCTCTACAGCAAGCCCCTGCCCCTGCACCTTCACCCGCACCTTCACCCGCACCTGCACCACCAAAACCCAAAGTCAGTCTCTTCTCCCTATCCTCGGACGAGCCCACCTCTCAGCCAACCCCGACGCCTGGATCATCAGCAACCTACCAGCCGCTGGTATACAACGCCGAAGGCGAAGAAGTACCAGCAGCTGGCCCAGTACTCGCCGAGCACACACCAATCGCCATGGAGCATTCGACGGCAACAGTATCAACCAATCCTACATCGTCCTTGGACAGCATTGCCAATGATCTGAACTTGTCCAAGGCCGAAAGACGCCAGCTCTTCGGTCGAAACGCCATGCCGTCACAGTCACAGGTGCGTACGTTCAACACAGACGAGGAGTACGCATCAAACCAGGTTCTGGCGCAAGGCGAGCTGGCCGGAGCACAGCACAACCCTGTGCGCGCCATTGCGCCGGGCAAGCATACTCTCCAGCAATTGCTCAATGTTGCAAGCTCGCAGAAGGAAGCTTTGGAAGAAAGCTTCGCAACGGGCCGGAGAAACAAGAAGGAAGCTGGATCCAAGTATGGATGGTAGTTTTAGCATACATAAGGCCATTCTGGGGAATTTTGTCAAGCGCATTAGCATTGAGATACCACACCACTTTGTAGGAATGACATACGGGAATTTGAATAAACAATTAAAAATGTACATTCAGCTGATATTTATCTCTAAGATCTACCTAGGTATCATCCATCCATATACAAAAGAAAAAGACATATGTAATCATCCAACGCCATGAAATGTAACAAAATAACTCCAAAATAGATAATTCCAACTCCTTTTATTTTTTTTTTTGGAGTATCAAGACGACACATCCACAACTTCGGCGAACCACTGCTTGAGTGCAGTAGCCAAAACAGAGGGCAATTCGCTCACATCACGAACGACGAGGTAGTAAGGGAAGGGGAAGTCCTCGAGGTATCGCTTCATCTTGAGCTTCATCTCACCACCAGAGTCAGGATCGGCCTCGAAGCTAGCCTGCGAGAGGTCAAGGATGGAGCTACCCCTTGACAGCATCGACGATAATGAAGACAACCATGATGCGCTCCTCAAGCGCCTGTCTAACAAGACGGCGAATAGTATCATGATCTTCACAGATACCATCAGAAATAATCAACTGAAGCTGCCAGAGATCGGCAGAGCCAGAGCCAGGCGAGCGCTTCCAGCGAGCCTCGCGGAAGAGAGCGATAGAGTCGGCGATCAGCTTGCGCACATTGGTACCAGTTTGCTGGTAGCTGAAGTGCTGGAAGACCTGGGAGCCAGCCTCAGAGGAGAAGGGCTTTCCGAACTCATGGGCGACACGAACATGGTCTTCGTTACCGAAGCCAAGGACACACAGGTCGCCAGCTTCCAGCATGCTCAGACTCTTCGCAACGAGGGCGAGTGTCTCAAAGGCGAGCTGGCCACTGCCGCTTTCCAGCATGGACTTGCTGTCGTCGACAGCCAGCATGATCTGGTAGTTGCGCTTTGAGGGGATAGAGCGGCGCATCCAGATCTTGTCACGCTTGTACTGGGATGCGATGTAGGGGATGATACGCTTGATGTTAAGCCGCTTTCCGGTGCGGAAGTCACCGCGGAGCTTGGTGGCCATTGTGGGGGCGAGGATGAGGCGGAGTTGTTCGGTCAGGGAGAGGGAGAGATCATTTGTGGCGGACTCGTAGTGCGACCAGAGGCGGCGGGCTTCGTCTTCTGGGGTTAATGGGGGGAGCGAAGAGGAGAGGTGGATCGCTGCGAGTTGTGAGTCGACTTCGTCAAGCTCCTCATCCACTTCTTCGGTGCCTTGTGCTCCATCTGCGCGATCGTGGGATGATTGACCGCCAGGAATGAAGGCACCGGCGGACTCGCCCTCGGTAGGAACGGTCTCGCGGTCGATTTGCATCTCATCCTCAAGCTGGTTGTCCACGGCATCTTGCTGCTCATCCGACACGTCTGGGAGAACATCGTTCTCACCAGGCTTGATGTCAGACTCCACACCCTTGCTTTGGTCAAGGGCTTGCGTTTGATCGTCGTTTGCTTGTCCAAGGGCCTGGGTGTCTGCGGCATCGTCGTCATCCTTTAGGTGCTCGAAGTCCGCGTCGGCCATGTCGGTGTCTTGGGGCATAGGCTGGGATTCCTCATCCTCTTGGGACGGATTGAGGATCTCCTTTTGTCGTCGATGCCATTGCTCAAGGATATCACCGAGCTTCTTGAATGCTTGCATCTGAGGTTCATCTGGCCCGTGATCTTCGCCGCCAGCAGCGTCCCGGCTGGGCTGGCTTTCCTCGCTATCCTTGGCAGCACCTGTCTGTTGGTCGACATTGGCACTGGGATCAGTTGAGCCGCTTTCCTGCTGAGCGTCACCTGAGGCACCCTTTTCTTCATTTTGGTCTTGCTCGGCTCCGAGCCCGCCAGTAACAGCTTCACTGGGAGCGACGTTGTCACCTGCGGCATCATTCTCATCGCGCTGTGCGAGGAAGTCGTCTTGCTCAGGCTCCTCGGGATCTTCTCCACCAGCTTCCTCTTTCTCCTCTTCTCCGGCTTCGCCTTCATTAGTATCCTCCGCATCATCGGCCATTTCTTCATCTTCCTCGCCTGGCACTTGATCCTCTGGGGCCGCCTCGGCGTCTTCTTCGCCGGCATTATCATCGGCATCTTCGACCTTCCCTTCTTCTTCGGGGGCAGGACCGAAATCATCGTCAAGATCATCCATATCATCGTCATCTTCGCCATTGTCATCCTTGCCTTCACCATCATCAAGTTGCATTTCCTCGGGAAGTTCAAGTGTTTCTTCTTCCTTCGCTTGAGGATCGGTGACGTCCATTTCCTCGCGGCCAACTGCCTCGCCCTCGTCTTCGGGGGCTTCTTCATCTTCCGTTTCTTCTTCCTCTTCCTCTCCTTCCTTTTGCTTCTCTTCGCCCTTTTCACCATCCTTGTCGCCCTTCTCTTCCTGAGCTGCAGCTTGTTGCTCGGCCTCTGATTGGCCCTTTCCTTCTTCGTTTTCGGTATCTTTCTGCTGCTCATCATTACCACCGTCCCAGAGCTTTTCGTCCACAGCACCTGGATCAAGGTCATCAACGCTTCCCGTCTCTTCGTCGATATCGTCGTCTCCTTCGTCGGCACTGTCGTCGTTCTCCTCCTCATCGTCCTTACGGTCCTCGGCATCACCTTCCAAGTCTTCCTGATCCATGTTGACAGCATCCTTGGAATCGTCCATTTCATCATCACCGTCCTCTTTCTTGTTCTCTTGTTGCGCCAATTCAGACAGATCTTCGTCATCTCCAACATCTTTGCTGATGTCTTCCGCGCCTTCACCTTCGCCGAGACCTGTTCCACTTTCCATCTGGCCCTCCTTGCTTTGATCTTGAGATGCTTCGGCAGGACTGCAGAAGCCTTCGGAGGCGACTTGCTTGAAGGTCTTGGTCAGGATGTATGATGTCTTACAGATCTCGCGATGGACGGCAATGAACCGATCGGCCAGATCCCGGCAGATTTGGTAGTATCTGTTGGCGATAGGCAAGATACTAGTGACAAGTGCGGCAGCAACGGAGAGGCTGCCAGCGGAATGGTCTTGCAGGCAGTGCAATTGATCAAGAACCTTCTCCAGTGCGGTGGTGATCTCGGTGAGATGGACAGCCTTAATACCGCGAGAGAAGAACTCATCACTCCTCGACAGCAATCCATCAAAGGTGATGGCAGACGGCACATCCTTGAGCTTCTGGAGGCCGATGAGCATTTTGTCAACGGCCGTTAAGAGGCTGCTATCAAAGGCTTGAATGGATAGGCTGTTCTCATCATTGGCCTCAGGGAGAGCAGCGATGTTTGCATTGACCCAAGGTGTGATTTGATCCAGCGCAAAGGACAGATCAGGGCGAGCTTGGCTCCATTTCTTCAAGTCGGCAGTCAATTCATCAAGCGATGATTGGGTCTGCTGCGCGATCTCGTAGTTTGCGTTAGACGCAATCCTGGTGGGAAGCATGGGAAGGGCCTCGTGCGACTTGCGTAGGCTATCGAAGGATGCCTTTTTGGCACGGAGCTGTTCCACGATCTTAGATGCATCAATTCCTGAGAACTTGGAATGCACTCCAATGATCATTGCAGCCAGTCCAAGAATAGGAGCTAGCCAAGCCACGATTCTGGCCAGATTGGCTCGCTCTTCCGATGCAGACGCATGGTCTTGCGACAGAGAGTTCGAAGCCGCTGTCCAGAGGTTCTGCACCTTGTCAAGCGTGGACTTCAAATTGCCCAAGCCTGTGAGTGCAGGGGAAATGACACCTCTCTGACGGCGGACGGTGAAAATGAGATGCTCAATAGACCCCATGCTTCTGTGGACTTCGACATTGCTTAGCTCCTCGGAATAGTTGCGAGATGCTAGGCGGGCCTTAGGCAGGAGATCCAGAAGCCTGTGGAAGTACCAGTCGGCACTCTGAACTGCCGTTGAGGTTGCAGCGCCAGCCTCAAAGGCGGCACTAGTGGCGAGAACCTGGGGAACTGTTTCTTGAGTCTCTATCACACTCGATCCAGCATTGCGTTTCACACCCATCTCATATAGTTGCTTGAGGGTTTCAGCATAGAGGCGGCGTTTCTGGGACTTGAGGTGCTGGACGTCGTCCTTGTTGTCTTCGTTCAGGACCTTGGGTGTCTTAGACTTGAACTCATTCATGCTTTCAATCACTGAGACGATGAAGCTGTCGAGGTCCTTCGCAATGTCGAACTCGGCTGGAATTGACGAATACAAATTCATCATGTTGTTGGCTGTTCCATCCGGCTTCTGGAATCTGAGCGCTCGAGTGGACCACAGATTCTTGTCATTTTGGCAAATGGCCATTGCCTCAGGGAACGTCGCAGTGGGGCGGACTGGCTCTGCTTGGGACATGGAAGTGATCTCCTCAGTGCTTTCCGGAAGGCCTGCTTCAAGGATCGATTGAACCGGCTGGCCAAGGGCTGCACGGTACTTTCGAACCAGCTTGAATAGCTTGACATGCGACCTTCTAGCGCTTTCCTTCAAAGCCACAATGTTGACATCTTTCCAGCTTGCAAGCTGAATCTGCTCCTTGATATCCTTCTCAAGAGCGGACCTCTTCTCCGTTAGATACTTGTCCACTCCAGGCTGGAAGGGTCCGTAGTGGTGGAGGAAGTTGTCCAAGGCAGAGACAAGCTTCTTGAGGCAGGGATAATCTGCGGTGAAGACCTCAAGCAGTGCTTGGAAGTTGGCAACAAGCTGTAGACGGCGGGCAAACTGGCCTGTAGTCGTAGACTTGAAGAATTGCTCAAGGGTCAAAACCAAGTTTTGGGTGTGTTCGGTCATATCCTGCTCGCCTGCCTCGGCCATCATGATCGGAGCGCCGATAAGTGCTTCATAGGCGATAAACCACCAAGCACTCACCTCGTCCTCGCATCGCTCTTTCTCGATATCCAAGAGCTTGGCCCAAGTTGACAGCTCAAGACGGCGCCAGCTAATGAGAGTACTTGTAATCTCATTGTAGACAGTAACAGCCGAATATTCTCTGCTGGCCACGGTCTGCCACTCATGTACGAAGGAATGAAGCTTTTCAACCTTGGTCATGAACTTGGCAACAGGTTCAGTGTGCTTGAACTGAAGGATTTCCACGCAGCATTGAATGACATCAGCGAGGACAGTATGTTCAGGCCAGGCTGTTTGGATTTGGGCAAAGCGGGCTTGAACAGAAAGCGCGAGAGCAACCAGCTTCCTTGCCTCTCCAAGATTCGAATCAGTGTAGAAGTTGTAATTTTTCTGGTGATTGTCAGATCCCTCACCTAAGGCATCATCGAGAAGCAGAAGAACTGCAGGAAGATGGTTTTGGGGTGACATCGGGGAGAATGAATTCTTGTTGTCAGACCAAATCGAGCCCAAAAGATGGCCTGATTGCTTGACAAAGGTAGTCAATGCAGTTCCACTGCGCTCATTCGAGACGATGTTTGCATGAAGCGAGGCAAGCCGCAGAGCGATGCTCTTGGGGTCAATACGGTCAACGCCATCGGTTCTTTCTGTGTCTTCATCTGATCCTTCATCGAATGTAGGGAAGAGAGCGTGTAGCTCGGCTTCGTTGACTTCTTCTTCCTCTTCCCAGGAGCCCTTAAAGCGATATAACTCTCCCTTTTCAGCTTCATGTTCCCGATCTTCTTCAAGCTTGGCCTTCCACAATTGATGGAAATCAGCGAAAACACGGCGGATAATCTCCCGTCCAGCCTTTGTATTCAAGATCGTGGGATCCGCATCCTTGGCTGCCCAAAGGGCTGACAGTTCTTGAAGGCGCATTTCGTTCGCATTCTTCGGGGTGCCAGGGGCCTTCCGATCATTCTGAATCAAAACGGGGTGATGGATACCTCCTAAGAAGGGTGTTCGCTCGCTCAGATACTGAATATCAGGAATATCGCTAGACTGTTCCCGGTCGGCTAGAGGCCAGGAATACACCAAGGTCCAAAAGCTGCAGGAAACGAACCACAGGCACTGTGATATCATCATAAGATCTGTAGTGAGTGCTGAGACGACTGCTCAATTGTTTGATGTTATTGCGCAGAAGCTGGATCATATCTTGGGACTGCGAAGATTCGGCAGAGCGGACCATTTGCTCCGGGTCTCTCTTAAGGACAGAGTTGATCAAGTTGACGAACTCTCCCTGCAAGAGACTCAATTGGGACTGCTGGGGCCGATTTACCAGTGAAGGAGGCGGAGCGGAACCCAGATCACGAATTTCATTATGCAAAAGCTCAGACCGGAGGTTGGCAATCTGGCTGGTGAAAGACTTCTCAAATGCAAGAATTGCTGCAGACTTGGCGGTATATTCTTGCAGGCGTTGAGAGTGGCGTTTACGCTGAACAACGAGGCCGAGAGAAGGGTCAAATGTCTTGTCGGGCACAAACAGGCGCAGAAGAATGACTGCCAGCTGTACCGCTGCCAGTCCAGTGGTTCGAATGCTCTGCTGCTGGCTTGATGGCTGTGCTTGCAGGGATGAAATCAGGGTTGGTAGAGCCTGCTCAGCGAAGGGCTCGAGGAAGTGACCATTTGGCAGACTTTGGTCCAGTTCAACCTGGATAGGTGGCTGTTCAGCGCAAAGATCCCCGTTTTGGATTCCTTGAAGAACAGAGATGATTTCCTCGGCTGAGCGAGGCTCGAAGAACTCCCGATGACAAGCCACCAGTTCGACTGTGAGCTTAGCGATAGTACGTCTGAGGTCCATGGACTGATCTGTTGCGATCTGTTGACTGCTCAGAGAAATAGCCTTGGAGAGAGCTTGTTTCTCTGCCTCCAGCATGTCCATCTGGCCCAATTTTGTATTGCCGATAGCTGTCAGCCTATCCAATAGCGACAGAGAGATAATGCCACCAGTAGCAAGCGCAGACTCCGATTTGCTTGAAGAACCCGCAAATAGCGAGATTCTATGGAGAATATTTGGCACGTCGCTCTGGAAATTCGATGCGTCCAACGGACGAGCCGCACGACCAGCGAGGAGTGGCATGACTGTCTGGATGACTGTATCATTGACTGGGTTTTGGAAGAATGAGGAGATGTCGTGGTACTGGCAAAGAGCTTCGAAATCATTGGCAAAGTATGGATACTCGGTTGACTCTGAGCGTCGAACTGCATGGGATAGCTCAGCAACGGTTTGTTTGATGCCCTATTGATAGTCAGATATATAACTCTTCAAGGTTGATATAGATCGAAAATACCTGAACAAGTACGTCACCATCAGCCCCGTCCAGAAGGATGAATCGCTGGGCATCAATCAATGAATCGCGCACACGACTCAATTGAGACAATTCCACGCGGGTTTGCAAAGCCAAAGTTGTAAACTCAAAGACTGTGGATTCCAACTCGGTCAGAGAATTCAACTTATCTTGAGAGATAGGAGTGACATGTCTCCAAGAATCCCAGATTCTTTGCATGCTAAGACCGGATGTCAAAGCCCAGCCTTCCTGGAACCGATCCAGAGCTTGTGACAAAGCGACTTGAAGCGGTTTAAGGAGAAGCGACGAGTCGAGCAACGACCCGCAAATCTTCCGGCCCATCTGGAGGTAAACTTGGAATTCACCTTCGTCGACCTGACTCACCCCGGTAGCTCTGTAGATGTCCCAGCATAGACAGATCACGGTCCGAAGGGCTGCGATTATTACAGGGCCTTGGAGAGAGATCTGATCCAACGACTGGATGTAATCATACAAAGCCTGGCCACAATCAGACAAGAACGAGGCAACAGGTTGCGTCGTGTCTTTCATCAACGCAGGGATCCGCTCAGATGCCAATGACCGCTCCAAACGTGTCATTTGGCTAGGCTTGAGCTCTTTGCCAGATACATCGGCTTGGATTAAACCTTCCCTGAGGCGATGGATCTCCAGTCTCAACTCCTGGAGATAAGCCAAGACTACCAAACAGGACCGGAAATCACTGGCTCCTGCAATAGCAATGAGAGGCTCGTTTGTGAGCGGGTGAAGAGGTTGCAACATTCCCCGGATACCCAGGCGAGCTCCTCCAAGCACAATCTCGCCGTTGGCGATCTCAAGCGGCTTCCATTGGTTGTTGTCATGGAACAGAGAGGTATAACGCTGCAGAACATTGGATGGCTTCTTTTCTCCGTTGTTCTCGGGGTTGAGAGCCACACGGTTGCTTGGCGACTGTTGGAGGTAGGCCAAATCCGCTGGTGAAAGATGATCGAAGCACACCTCGAGAGCGTCTTCAAAGGCAGACGATGGCAAGGACGTATCCAAGTTCCAAATATGGCGCAGTCGATAGAGGAAGGATTCGCAAGTGTAAGATGGGCCAACAGGAGGTTGGATGTCTTGAAGCTCGCTTGGCAAGAAAGAGATTTCGGTACAACGGTTCCTCATGGCACGGGACAACTCGCCATTGCGGGGATCCATGGTCAAGAAGATTCTGAAATTGGGATGGGGCGTGATGACCTTGGCAGATCCATCCTCTGTCCGTTGCTCATTGAGAATGAGTGTGCCATTTGGCTCCGTCAAAGAATTTAATCGGTCGAGGACGGATGGGTTGCACAGGTTGGCATTGTCGAGAATAACCCAATTTCCATGCTGAACAGCCTGAGTGAGAACACCTTCTGTCCATTCAAACCCAACCTTCATTTTATCAGATTGTTGGATAGCATTCAACAAGTTCTGGGCTCTCTCGAGGAATTGTTTGTAGGCCGGGTCAGAAGAAGACTGGCAAAGACTGGAAAGCGAGGGGATGACATTTTCCAGTGAGATATCTGCAGACTGGAAATGCTCGCAGATGCGGAGTGCAGAAATCACAACATCAGACACATCCCCTGAAGCAAAGCAGTGGATGAGCTGGTTTCGCAAGAACATCTCAATATCATGGACAAACCCTGAAACCTCTCTACGATGATCGATTTGTTCGAATCCACCAATGAGATCCATAGTATCAGTGTCAGCACTTAGAGCCAGCTCGACAAGGTTTGCACCGTTAACCGCTGCCAGCTTTCTGATGAGAGTAGTTTTGCCACATCCAGCAGGACCAACTAGAATGCTCGGCCAGGAGTTATCGATACACAGGATGAGTGACTCGATAATGTGAAGGTCCTTTGGTAAAATCTTCATGTTTGGCTCGGCCAAGCGCTGCAGCAGAGGGTCACGGGTCAAAATGCCCAGACCGACCTGCAAGTACTCGGGTGTGAGATTATGGAAGTAGCTCTTCGAGCCGGTGTCAGAGTCTGCGAAAACACGGTCATAAATCTGAGAGACCACGTTACGATCCTCTTCGCTTCTGAATCGCTGACTGATAACGACATCAACGAAGTGCTTGGTCTGGATCTGCAGGTTTCCTCGGTCGGCGAGTTGAAGCCATCGCTGGATATCACGCAGATTGACTTCCCATGGTCCGCCAATGGCTCCTAGCCGACGATCCCGCGTGATCGCTTGGTTCAAGAGAGATATGAAATCCACTAATCTCTCGGTCTGCAGAGAGGGACTGCCAGGGAAAAGTCTGGAACAAATCGTTTTCAAGTCGCCATCAGTGAAGCTCTCTGCGTAAACCACTGTGAATCGGTTGACGAAAGATGCAGGTAGACCCTTTCTGCCACCACCCTGGTGGTGAGGGTTCTGAGCAGCAAAGAGAACGAAATCGGGGTGTCTTTTGAATGTCTGGTCCAGCTCAGCGATATACACTTGCTGGCGATGATCCAGACAAGAGTTGAGACCTTCAAGAACAGATTGCGAGGCTAGGTTCATTTCATCCAGCAGAACCCAGTCACCACGCTGCATGGCTCGTAGGAATGGTGCGTCACGCCAAGTGAATTGGCCGACATCTCCTCCTTCCACTGGAACGTCTGAACCGAACAGATCTGTAAGATCTGTCTGTTCCGAAAGGTTGATTCGAGTGAGAGGTTTGCCAAGAGCTCTGGCTAGAGCCGTCACAAGCGTAGTCTTACCCACACCTGGGCTTCCTTCCATAAGAATAGGCTTCGAGGATTGCAAACCACGCGCGATTCTCACAGAGTTGGCGATTGTGGTTGGGGCGTCCATTGTGAACTGAGGATCCGGGTCTGCTGCGCCAACTGTAGGGAGAGCGAACGGGCCGACACGCAGAGCGCCAGGTTCTGCAGAGACAGTGGTCGATTCCCAGTAGATCTTGGAAGCATCTACATTGAACAGTTCACTCAGCTTGACGAGGCATGACTTGCGGTTACCCTCAAGATTGTTGAGAGAGATGGCAAGCATTGCAGCAGGGTTAGCACCCAAGGTGTCAACGAAGACCATCGCGGCACCTTGTACGATAGCAAATGCGGTGTCTGCGCTCTGGCAGGTGTTGACAAAGTCAACCCAGGCAAGAAGGTCACGAATGGAAAGTGATGTGGCAGAGGTGTTCTGGAAGGTTACTTTGAACCACTTGGCGAACTGCAGCATAGCCTTTGCCACTTTCTCCTCCTTCAGGTCCAATCTCTGTGAGAGAATTGGCAGGATATCCTCATCCTCAGACAGCTGAGGGGCCCAGATTTCTGTCATACGATTGCGAAGAGCAGCCGAAAGCTCACGTTTTCCGTAATCACCTCCGGGGTTCATAGTGGACAGAAACTGGAATCCGCCGTCTGCCACAACCATTGAATCAACGGGACCCTTCTCGGCGAGAAGAATCGACCTAGCGGGTTCTAGAACACTGTTAAGCCTTTCGAGAACGGAGTCATCCGCGAGAGAAATTTCATCAAGAAGGAAGAATTGACCAGTCTTCATGGCGGTGATCAGGCTTCCGTCAGACCATTCAAACAGGGCATTGCAACGGATAGCATTCTTCTCAATCTTCTGCAAAAGAAGTTGATCCTTGGCTTGACGCTGCTCCGCAGTTAATGCTGTGAATTCCTGCTTCAAGTCATCGAAAGACGCGCCGCTTAGCTGCCCGTGAAGGAGCATTTGAAGGTCATCTACAAGCTGTTTCTCGATAGCAGCCCGGTTTCGGATAGGCCGTTGAGCACCAATCAAGTCACCGGTCTCCAGATTGACATGAGCGTTGACAATGAACAACTCGCGTCGGAAAGCTTCAGCGACGGCCTGGCAAAGCTGGGTTTTACCGCAACCAGTTTCTCCGACAAGAAGGACCGGCTCGTTGTTCTTGAGGGCTTTCGAAACGAGAACGAATAGACGTCTCATGGCTTTGGTCCACACAATACCGGTTGGAAGCTCGCTCATCCCGGGAACATTCTTTTCCAGCTCTGCGGTGCTATACAACGTATCCTCGTCCAGCTTTACCTTCATCACTTCCTCGATCACGGCCTTGACAGCGGCTTTCTCTTGTGGATTGCGAACACGTTCGCCGAGAAGCATATAACCGTTGACCGCTAGCTGCTCGCGATCATCGGCTTCACGATGAGCCCATCGGAAAAGATCACGCAGTGTGGCAAAACTGTTCTTTTGCTCGAATAGTCGATTAGACTGACGCAACAAGGACAATTTCCGGTAGACAGCAACAATCCGCGTGCAGAAGGAGGGGCGATCTGAGAACGTTCCTTCAGGATAAATTCCAGCTCGCTTTCTGGGATATCATCGAAGTGCAGCTCGAGGAAACGGTTCCTGAAGGCACGGGACAGGACCTTTCGGCCACCGTACAGACCAGCGGGATTTTGCGTGGCAAACAGCATGAAGTTCGGATGGGGATGAACAACTTCTTGAGTCTCGGGAATGAAAAGCTCGCGATTATCGTCGAGGAGTCGGTTGAGAGCTTCAAGAACATCGGAAGGTGCCAGATTCAGCTCATCCAGCACAATCCAATAACCGTTCCGCAGTGCCTCCACCAACACACCCTCCTGATAACGCAGGCTTCCATCGTCCGTGGAGACGTAAGATCCCAGGTACTCTTGCAGATCCGTGTGCTCGTGGTTGTTGATTCGTACAAATTTGTTTCCAGAGACCTTTGCCAGATACTCAATCATACTCGTCTTTCCTGCTGAGGTCGGACCTTGGAGAAGAACGGGGAATCGCCGGGTTGAACTGGCCCGGACCAAGTTCTTGAGATTCTTCTCGATGAATGGGGTGATGATGTAGTGTGGCTGCTCCTCCGGAACCATAGGACCGCGGCGCATCCAGTAATGCTTGAATTGCACATAATCATTGCCATCCGTTGGTGGGCGAGGGGTCTGTCCGAGAAGAGACCTGGCGTTCTTCGCGTTTCCGAAGATATGAAGCTCAAGCAGAGGAATCAAAGCTCGTTCCGAGACCAAGCTCAGCACGGTCAAGAAACTCATACTGAAACCCTCAAACATTGCTCTGCGTAGCCCATAGACATGTGCGTGGTCGATGACATAGATCAAGGCACGCACGAGGGTACGGATACTGAAATGAGGTCTCTGTCCAGCTCCATCGGTAAGTTTGTTCTCGTTGCTGAGCTTCTTGGTCACCATGTAAAGCTGTGCGAGATCTGGCACAGCGCGCTGATCACTGATTGTCAAATCACCGAGGTATTTCTGAATCAATGCCAATAAATCATCCAAGTCGCTATCAGGCGAGTGCACGTAGAATTCGGTGAACCGGGAACGCAGACCTGGGGGTAGATCTCTCTTTCCAGCATCTGTTGCAGGGTTCATAGCACCAAAGATACGGAATTCCGGGTGGCCGAAGACTCTCTCAACATCGCCAGCCTCGGAGAGAAGAACAGACGGTGCTCCCTCGCTGCCATGGTGAAGAAGACTGGCAATATTCTCAAGGGTATCAGGGGAAGCCAAGTTCACTTCATCCAGGAGAACCCATTCGCCGTTTCGCAGAGCTCTCACAATCTTACCTTGAACAAAGGCGAAGGCAAATTTGGCATCACCTTGTGAGACCTGGGCCTCGAAATCTCCGAGCTGGGTCGCGAAGCTCTCCCATCTTTGCCGCAAGTGCTGGTATTTGGGAGAATCCAACTTCCGTTTTTTGGCCGGCTGTTCATCGCCATTCTCCGCTGCGGCGTTCGGGGGATTGAACACGCCATTTGCAAGACGAACGGCCTCATGCCACAATGTCACCAATCGTACCCAATTGGAGGATGCGGCACTCTTCGATACCGAGGACAAGAACTTCTGGTTCTTTTTGGCCGAGAAAGTCAGCTCGAAGAGCTGGGTGAATTCATCCAGCATTGGGACTGCCATTGTACGGATATTGACGGGTTTGAAACCACCCAGCAAATCAGTGCTTTCGCTCTGTTGTGACAAATTCACTACTGTGAGTTTTTGGCGCATCAAAGATGCAAGATGTTGGATCACTGTGGTCTTTCCGATACCAGTTTCTCCCACAAGTAAAACAGGCTCTGCCATCTGGATTGATGCAGCTACCTGTTCCATGAGGGTCAATGCCGCTCGAGTGGGAGCAAAGCTTGAAGCTGCTGCGGCAAGCTTTAATGCAGATCCACTTGGTACTTTGATCTTGTTGCAAGTTTCTCTACCAAGAATAAGGCTGTTGTTCTTGTCGGTATAAGAGGGCGTGCGTTCATTGAGACAGTACTGCGCTCGCTGGGGAGAAATCTGAAGTGCTTCGGCCACAACGGCGGCGAGAGCGCCCTGCATTGACTTCTCGGGCAGATATTTGAGGAACACGTCAACGATGTCAAGGAATATTTCATCCTCGGTACCTTCTGACGTGGGCTCATAGCCAGTCTTCGCACCCACGCGGTGTAGGCGATTATGCAGGCGGCTGCATAACTTGATCAAATCGCGGAAGCCCGGGGTACGACCTTGGGAGCCCTTGATTGCAAGGCTTCCATGGAACGCAGAGCATACTCGTCCGTAGACATTCATGAGAGTCGGCACACGAGACTCAAGCAAGGAGAACTTTTGCAGAATGACATCACGCATCTCATCCACGGGAAGAGGCTTGACTTGCACTCTCTCCCAAAGTCTGCTCCCAAGCATTGAAGTGCTCGGTGCGATCTCCTCGCCGGCAATGTTGTACGATGACTTCATGGTTGCGATGATTTTGAAGCCCTCGGCACACTTGATTCGCTCCCTCCGGCTTGGGATGGTGAGCTCCCCCCTCTCAATGATCGGGAGAATGAGGCCCATTACTTCAGATGGAGCACGATCAAGGTCTTCAATCAACACCCAGCGACCTTCGCGTGCAGCCTTGGTCAATACACCGGGTTGCCAAGAGAAGGATCCGGAGGCAGATGAGGTGGCATACATTCCAAGCAGACTCTTTGCATCTGTCTGCTCGTTCAGGTGAAGCGTGACCATAGTTTCGGCTTGGCCCATCGTCGCAGCAATGTCGTTAATCAAAGAGGTCTTGCCCGAGTTGGGCAAACCGACCAGCAGGATGGGCTTGCACCCCAGTAATGACCCTGCAATCCGGCGCAGGTTCCCAACTGTGGTCGATGTCTTGACTACAGCGGAAGGAGCTGGGGGCGTATCATTCAATTTGGGAATCAAAACTCCGCAAATCTCTGCGGTCTTGGTCGTGAAAGATTCCCGTGTCCTTTCGATCAACGCCAAAGTGTTGCTTTCCGTCCTGGAAGACCTCTCGGCCCGGATAATTCTTCCAAGAGTCTCCCATCGCCGTTCTTCCCACAGTCCTAGCACACGGTAATCGATTAGAGTGCCTTCCCACTCTCCTTCTATAGGTTCGGTTCCAGTATTGACGCGGACCATTTTTTCGGTTGCCGCATCCGCCGCGTGCATATATAAGGCAAAGCATCGTACAGCAAGGTATCGTGTCACTCGGTCTTGGGATTGGAAGAGGGACTGAAGTTGAAGCGGTGAAACGATGGGAGAGAAGGTTTCAAGATCAAACGAAAGAAGTCGGAAGAGGGCGAGGAGTAGAAGTCTAATGGTAGGTTTGTCCAACTGTAACAGCGTTAATTCCTTCGACACGGCCAAAGCCGCCAAAGGTCCAGTCTGTGATGAGGCATATTGACTGGCAAGCGACCGCAGATGCGGCGCAAATGGTAAAATCTGCGCAAATGCCGCTAATACATGAACGTAGTCAGCATGTAAATCCGATTGAAGCCATCGAGCTGCAAGATCGACAAAAATCGGTTCGTAGAGTCTGAATATGCTCTCCGTAAATTCGTTGTTTAATGCGCCAAGCGCAAGCGCGTGGAGGTGCTGAGTCCCCGATGCAGTCCGAATGAAAGTCGAGATTCCACTCGGAAGCTGCTCGAGCAGTTCGGACTCAGTAAGAGTCCTCTCATAGACCGGCCTCCGATCCATGTTTATCCGGTCGTAAGAGGGACTGTGAAGTTTGTAATAAGAGAAGGAAATCCCGCTTCATCGGCTTTTGCTCCAACTTTTTTTTCTTTCTGCCGCCTGTGGCGCAGCCCCGCCTAGACCTGGAGCACACCGCTTTTGATCACGGAGCTTGCGCCACACTTGCGTGTCCGACAAAGCTGTCTTTGAAACAGGATCGTTTTTACGAGGAGATGCTGATATCGCGATATCGCGGTTCATTTATGTTACACTGATGCCAATGAGTGGTCAGGGCTCGGGTGGCGAGGGCCAATCCGGGACGCAACTAAGAGCTGATCAGGACATCCCTCAGCCTCGAGATGTGAATCGGGAAGCCGAGGGGTTACATGAGCCGTATGCCTTGGAAACTCCACCTTTCGTTATGGTGCTCATCAGTCTATTTATTTAGGATCTCCTTCAAACGGAAACAAAAACAACGATCACGGTTCAGTCTGTCTAGCCTGCTCTCCCCTCCCGTTGGCGGATCGGATACTGGCTTTGGCTCTCCGGCGCCGCAGGGTGGTCAGAACGGAGATGCGTCGCCTCTCGATCCTCACGCGCCGATAGGGTTCAATAGTGGTGTCAGCGCATCGAAAGATGGTGCGCCGTTGGACTGGTACGTGGAGGGCCCAGGACGACGTGTGGGTTACGACGACTTCACCGCTATCGATTGGATCTACGAGTATACCAAGGAGCGGCAAAGGAAGAGGCTTCTTTACTCGAGTGGACAGGGTATACTGGGGCATGCTCGTCGACTCCTTGATGCAAGCAATGTCTGGTTAGTGTTGATCGCGACAGGCATTGCTGTAGGAATAATCGCTGCTTCTATTGATATTGCAACGGATTGGCTGGGTGACCTCAAGTCCGGATATTGCAAAAATGGAAGTGGAGGTGGCAAGTTTTACCTAAATAAGAGCTTTTGCTGCTGGGGCCTCGACGGTAAGCCGATAGCGTCAAGCCTCCAAGTCTCACTACTGAATCTGGATTTGATATAGATTACTCTAAGTGTCTGGACTGGACACCTTGGGGGAATGCATTAGGAGCGAACTCCAGTGGAGGAACATATACGGTTGGATACATCTTCTATGTTGTATTTTCGGTAATGATATCTCTGTCCCCTATCTTCAAGGCTCTATTGACAATATCTAGGTTTTCTTTGCTGCATGTGCTTGCTTCCTGGTGCGAAATTATGCTGTTTATGCTCGACACAGTGGTATTCCCGAGATCAAAACAATCCTCGGTGGAACTGTCATCCGACATTTCATGGGGCCATGGACGCTTGCCATCAAATCACTGGGGCTGGTGAGTCAAGCTTCTTTTTGTTAGAAGGCATATTTGCTGACAAGATCAGTGTCTTTCTGTCGCATCTGGTCTATGGCTAGGCAAAGAAGGCCCGCTTGTGCATGTTGCATGCTGCTGCGCGAATATATTGATGAAACCTTTCGAAAGCCTGAACGGCAATGAAGGTACGTTATTAATTCTCTATTTCTCTCGGTACGTTTACTCATTTCACAGCACGCAAACGAGAGGTCCTTTCTGCGGCTGCCGCAGCAGGTATCTCGGTCGCATTCGGGGCACCCATCGGAGGTGTGCTCTTTAGTTTGGAGGTATGAGCCATTGTCAATCTCGTACTATTTACTTTGCTGATTATTCTAGCAACTTTCATATTATTTCCCGACAAGACCATGTGGCAAAGCTTTGTCTGTGCTATGGTTGCCGCTGTTACTTTGCAAGCCTTGAACCCATTCCGGACAGGTAAAATTGTGCTGTATCAGGTCACCTACACTCGAGGCTGGCACCGTTTCGAGATTATCCCATTCATTATTCTTGGCATCATAGGCGGTCTCTACGGTGCATTCCTCATCCGCGTGAATACGAGAATCACCAAGTGGAGGCGAGCTCGAACTTCTTCTCGGCCAATCCTCGAAGTGGTCGTTGTGGCTCTCATTACAGCTTTGGTCAACTATCCAAATCACTTCATGCGGGCTCAGAACTCGGAGCTTGTTCAGTCGCTGTTCGCTGAGTGCAACAGTGTGACATATGATCGATTTGGTCTCTGCGCAACAGGATCTGCCTCAATCGGCGTGGCAATCTACCTGGTCATAGCTGCTTTATTTGCCTTTTTCTTGGCTTCGTTGACATTTGGTCTTGAGATTCCTGCTGGTATTATCCTTCCTTCGGTCGCTATCGGTGCTCTTTACGGGCGTGCTCTAGGCATCATAGTCCGCTTGTGGCAAGAGTCTTATCCGAAAGCATTTCTGTTTAGCAATGCGAGCCAGACATTCCATGTGTCACGCCTGGCTTATATGCAATTATTGGGGCTGCTGCTGCTCTTGGTGGCGCAACTCGAATGACTTTGTCAATTGTCGTTATCATGTTTGAATTGACTGGCGCGTTGACTTATGTGATCCCCATTATGATTGCCGTGATGTTGTCCAAGTGGTGTGGTGACATCTTTGGAAAGCGAGGTATCTACGAGTCATGGATTCGACTAAACGAGTATCCTTTTCTCGATCATCGCGACGACACCACTCCGCCAGATGTATCTGCCCGCCGGGTCATGACAACCGTGGACGATATCAGCGTCATTACTGCTACCGGTCATACTATTGCTTCGATTCGCAACCTCTTAGCTAACTCTACATATCGTGGGTTTCCCATAGTCTCAGACACATCAAGTCCCATCCTGCTAGGCTACATCACTCGCAATGAGCTTTCTTTTGCTCTGAAGTACTCGACCTCTGGTACCCCCCGCAACCTCTCCGACGAGACACAGGTCTTCTTTTCGCATCAGCCTTTTGCGGACCCTATTGATACCCTTGATCTACGACCTTGGATGGACCAGACACCTATGACGTTGAACAGTAACATCACTTTCTTGATTGTTTTGCGAATGTTCCAGCGACTTGGCTTGCGTTATGTGCTATTTGCCAACAAGGGCATTCTACAAGGACTACTGACCAAGAAAGATGTCTGGTCAGTGCTGAATGGCGTGGAATTTCGCCGAGAAGAATCCCTTCGAGACGAACAATTCCGGGATTTCGAGAATCGTAATGAGGCTGAAGAGGTTGGTTTGCTTGATGGGAATGATACGTCCAGCCTCGGTAGTTCGTTGAGGCGGGATTCTCTTTGATTATGTTTACTATCATATTGCCCTGTATATTCTGGATACTGTCACAATATTCACGCATGTTCACTTCCAAGTAAATGCCAGAGAAGTCGGTAGTTACGTACATTAGGTATGTTGTGTAGGCTATTGGAATAGAACTGTGGCTGTCCCCACCGCCCTTTCCAACCCCACATCTTTCTGTCAATTTTTAAAACTGACCGCCCTTATGTTTACGGCTACCGATCTTTCTACCCTTGAGAAAACCAGAAAACCGGAAGATAAAATGATGATCGATCCTTTTGAGGTGCGCATGCGCTTCACTACACAGCTGCAGCACCTCAGCGCTGCTGTCACATCCTCACAAAAGGCCGCCCATTATGCACTAAAGTACCGTGACCTCGATGAGGATCTCCACTCATGCATCCTAGAGCAGCTTGAGAGGGTAAGAGTTCCAATTTTCATTATGTTGATCCATTCTGACCTTGTGTGTGTGTGGTAGAACAACATGAACAATCGTGCGAACATCATGTACTTTATCGAACACCTCTGCGAAATGGCCATCAAGGAAAACTACCTCCCATACGTCCGCATGATGCAGCGAGACATTCTGCGCGTGGTGGACTCGGTAGTCCCTTCCGATGGCACCGGTGCAGCCAATGTCAAACACGTCCGCCACGTGCTGAACGGTCTCCGGGCGAAGGAAGTCCTCAGTGTTGAAACCGTGGCCGAGATTGATGCCGCTTTGAAAGACCGAGATTCCCACCCCTCCCACCTAGATCTCGAACAGGAGGAAGGCGCCGAGGGAGGCAGCAAGTCGAAGTCTGATAAGCCCCAACTACGCCTTGACAAGAAGCAGATCGAGCAGCGCATCGAGGAGGACCGTGAGCGCAACAAGCGCCAGCGCGAGAGCATGTGGGCCATGACTGGCAGCGATCGAGACGAATATAATCAGATGTGGGAAGAGCTCAGCCCCACTGGGGAGGATGACTTTATCAGGTCTCGTGAGGAGGCCCTGGAACGCGCCGAATGTGTTCGCAAGCATGAGGAGTTCTATAAGAACCTATATGGTATCAAGGAGTAATGATTCGGTGGACACACATTGCTTGCTACGCTTTGCATTATGATTCCCAGGGTTTTATTTGTGGTCTAGGCGTTCAATTTGGGACTCTGCAGCGTTCTGGTCTTTATGGAGTCTATATACAGCGTGTATCACTTGCATCTGGCTGCATAATATTCAAGGGTCGTGCCATTTGACTGAATATTCAGCATTTCCAATTTGCAATTTCCAACTTTCAAGCTTGCCATACATATATTCAGTTCGACTGATCTTATTCCCTTCAGGATGCCAAATATTATTTTTGCCGCAGTTTTATTCCAACAGGTTTGCCGTACAGTGTAAAGATGTTATACTGCACATATATTACATGGGGGCATTCAATAGCAAGTAGATTGAGTTCTTATGTGGTAATATACCTTGGATCTGACTTCGGTGCTCGTGTTGAAGATCGACATGGCCTGTATATATTTTTGACGTGGTGGGACAAATTGGTTGTTCGTGCAGATATTTCGCGCCAGGTGATGTTTGCCAATGCATAAATTTCATTTTCAATACTAGACGAAGATAATTTTAATAAATATGGAGAAGATAGACCCTACTTGCCCACCGAGTGACCTCGGAAAGGTGAAGTAGAAGTTAACCTCGAAGTGATAGCGGAGTTGCTTATCGTCTCCGCTCTCGGGAAATCCTGATCGCCGAGAGATTTTTTATTTTTGCTTCACCTCTTGACCAACACGAGGAACCGCTTCCCCCATTTGGGTTTATTACTTTATTTCTCAATTTTATTTTCACTCTATGTTTGCTCACTTGGTCACTGCTGCCAAGGGTCTATTTACGCGACAGCCCGAAGAACAAGAGTCCCAATCTGCTGGTACCTCTGCCAATTCCAAGATGGTGACAGCTACTCGACGAGCAGATGTTGCGCCCGAAATTGCGAACGGAAAGCGCAAAGCACAGTCGGCAAGTGCTAGCAAGACCGAAGATCAGCAGACCAAGCGGAGAAGAAGAAGCGATCCGAAGGCTACTGGAACCGATCAAGATGCCATAAAACATACACTAGCAGAGAAATCCAGCGTAAATGCGGAGAAAGCACCTGCGGGCAAGAAGATCCGATTCGATAGCGAAGAGCCCGAACCTCTCGAAACACAGCCGGAAGAAATCTCGGAAACACCAACCCAGGATGACGACGACGACGAAGATGATAGTGACGATGATGCGCCAGAGACCATCGATAACTCTGCCCAGCTATTGAAAATGAAGGAACAGGCTAAGAAGCAAGAAGCAGCCAAGCAATTGTACGGATTTCTTACTTTTAGTGAATCCAGCTTTGACTAATAATCTTTTACAGAGAAGAGCAACTGAAGAGAGAGAAGCGACGGAAACTCGATGAGCGTCGCAAGTTGCAAGCCAAATCGATTGTCAAGCCCAAGGAGGCTCCAATCGATGACATGCTTTCCGAGAGCACGGCTACTATCCAAGGCACAACTACCCAAGATGCACGACGAGCCGCTCTTCCTGCTTTGCTTCCCGATGACATTTTGAACGCCGAGTTCTCCATTCGGCCCCCAACGCCCCCAGCTGAAGATCAATTCACCATGCCGAAGAAGTCAAATAAGTTGCGATTCTTGGATAAGCAGGACAAGCTTCCCAAGGATATCAACATGGGGGATGTCTCTATCCGGGTGCTGGATGCGCCATCCTCAAAGAAGTCCTCGAAGCCCGCACTGGCCCCTAAGGTTTCCAAGGCCGGACGGAACCTGAAGGGTAGCATGCTTCAGAAGACTCGTACCATAGCTAAAGGCAATGGGCTCCGACAGAAGGCAGGCGGTCCTTCTGGATTTGTTCGCCGGTGAATTGGAAAATGTTGCACGGCCATCAAAAGCGAGTTTTCTTTAGTGTCACATACCTTCAAACATAGCTGGAAGTTACATCTACGACCTGCCAGTTGTCAACGGGGTTCACGCTCACTTGCATCGACTGATGTTCCTCTCGGGGTTTTTCAATTGCCCCCATTGGCGCAAATCGAAGGTCGGTGTCAACTGGGCATGCAACGAACCCCGCGTCTACTGCAGCCATTTTGTGATCAGTCATGAAAAAAATGGGATTTCGTTACTAGGGTTGCATGGTGTTCGGCGGGAGTAGAACTTGGTCTTGCAATTCAACTTTGGGGAAGTTATGTATATAGGATTCAGTCAATTATCCCCAATAATGCCTGGAAATATAAATTCATTCAAAAAGAAAATATAACCATAGAAATCTAGAAAATGTAGAAAAGAGTCGAAAGTGAAAATGATACCAAAACCGCAAAAGCGCAAAAACGCGAAGGGACCCGGACAGATTCTCAGATTATTAAGGCGGGCATGTGCGAACCTTAAGCTTCCAAGGTTGCCAGCTTCCTCGACTTTTTCCCACCTCTCTCTTTGCTTTTTCTAACCTCCAATCCCATTCGCCAATGGCTCTTGTCTTCTAACTCTTCACCTTTCATTCTTTGCCATGGCGCCTGACGCAGAGAATTCTCCTCTGCTGCCGCAGCATCAGAACTCGGCCTCCAATACGTCACCACGAGCAAACCGGGCGCCGCGGTCGGTATCCTTCAATCCGCTCACACAAATCAGCACCTATGGCAGCACCGCCTCTACCTCCGATCCTACATTCCGACCCTTGCAAGCAGGTTCACCTCCTGTGCAGAATGTCAACGCCCAGGGTGGCCAGCCCCGTCCCGGCAGCCAGCCCATGCTCTCAGCATTGAACAGCAAGCTTCGTCGTCGCAATAGTCATGGTGCTCCTTTCAACCCCATATCGAATCCACCACATGCGGCATCTAAGATTGGGCCGCAACGAACAACCAAAAAAGCACAAAAACTAAAACTGCTGCCGGACCCTGTGACGGAAGAAGAAGAAGGTCCGATGGAGATTTCCCTCGGGATGTCTATTCACAAATCACTCGCATCAAGGACCCCGCCGCACGAAGCCATGCTGCACGGCTGGGCAAAGCCGACCGCGATCGCATACCTCGAGTGACAGCTTACTGCACGGCCAATTCGTATCGACTCGAAGGCGTTATCAAGTTCCTCAAGTCACGGAGCAAGACTCGCGGAGCCAACCCCAAGCTGTATGATGAATGCGTATACTCTCCTTTTGATTACCAGTATGAAGAAAAGCAGAACGCTCGGTTATTTCAAGATCCAAATGGCAATGGACACCATGAGAGGCGACCAAGTGAAAGAAGATACTCGGATAGTGCGGTGGAGGTTGAAGACAATAAGAAGACCAGAAGAGAGGATTTGATCGATCTGCACGACGAGCGCAGTCATTCAAATGATAACGAGCAAGTAGTCGTCAAAGACACTCCTGATATTGACACCACAATCCACACACCCGAGGTATTCCTCTTCGACTATGGAACAGTCGTAATATGGGGGATGACGCCCGCACAAGAATCAAGATTCTTATCCGACATCTCCAAATTTGCGACCTCTATATTGAGCCCTGATGACACGCAGATTGAGAACTTCAATTTCTACTATGCGCGCGAGTACCAGGCTAGGATCTACAACGACTTCATCTCTCTTCGCGATCCGCGCAACAACATGGTTAAGCTGGCGATCTCTCATGCTCTGGCCCAATCGGTGAAGACTTCGCTTTTCGAAGACCTGGTGTCAGAAACAATCACCGACACTGCACCGCTACCTGCCCAGATTGCGCAAACTGGTAGCGTCAATCTCACCCGTAGGCAAATCAATATGCAGATCGGAGAACTTTTCATTCTTCGCATCAATATTCACCTGCAAGGATCTGTCCTCGATAGCCCCGAACTCTTCTGGGCAGAGCCGCAGTTGGAACCTGTCTACCAGGCAGTCCGAAGCTACTTGGAAATGGATCAACGTGTCAGTCTGCTGACCGAACGGCTGGATGTCATTGCGGATCTTCTTGCGGTCCTGAAGGACCAATTGACACATCGCCATGGCGAGTATCTCGAATGGATTGGTAAGTCCCCGCAGTTATAATTTCTAACAACCGCCCATCTAACGAATATCAGTCATTGTCTTAATTGCTGCAGAGATTCTCGTGGCTGCAATCAACATTGTCGTCGATCTCTATGCTGGAGTAGACTAGAGTGACATATAATGTACTCATCAGCCAGTCCGCACTCGTCTCGACCAATCAATTGTGCTGCAAATACTAGTCTTTCATGCTATGTATTACCAGCATATCGCTTATGTGCCTTGTCATACAATCCATTCCGATTTTACATGGACAATTGCACAAGGAACACTGCACACCTGACAGGACTCCCCAGATGACACCCCAGCCGCATAGGGTCCCAAACTCACACCCACCACGTCTAATCTTCCTATGTGACCATCAACTTCTGCTTTCTGTATCATCTTCCCAAACTTTTTATGTCTTCACCTGTACATGACAGAAGACATTCATACCCAGATAATCATATCCCATTCTTGTTTCCAATAGTGTGTCTTTTTCTTCACTGGCTTTGGAGTTGACGAGGGTTCTTCCAGGAGGAAAACGGCGTTATGGATCTGTACAGATGGTGTCAATCAAATCAAAATGCTATCGGCCTTTGCGGAATAACTCGCAGGCGCTTTCTTTCAAATGGAAAAGTATTTGTAGTCCGTATGCCCTATCAACCCCGAATAGTGCTATGAGGCGTCCCAAATATCCAACAGAGGCTAAAACCAAAAGAAAGCGGCGTTGAGCTGTGCTGTGAAACCTGTAGATGCCCCGTAACCTACAAAAACCCAGCTTTTCCTCAGTCATCAGTCATCCTTTTTTCCTTCGTCTGCTTCCAATCTACCGACTGCCCTGACTTGTAAGTAACTACAACCGAGTTTACACGAGCGACATTGAAAAGCTACAGGGAGGAGCCGTTTGCTTCAACCATGCTTTCAGCATAAGATTCCCAGACAGATTTCATATAAGACATAGACGCCAGTAGACCGTAGAGTAGCAGATAGGCCCAGTTAAGGCCCACCAAAAGTAACAAGAATAAAAAAAGCCTGGAAACAAAGTAGACCAGGCACCACATCCGAACCCGATGCATAAAACCCTCGAAAAAAGCAAAACGAACAGAAAAGCAGAGAGTCCCAGCCACGACTCTGCAAAGCCCAAAAAGCAAAGAAAAAAAGAGAGACACGACGGAACACAAGCCACTAAGACTGCTCAACCTTAGCCTCCTTAACCTCCTCCTTATCCACATCCATCGGCGTAGTCCCAGACTCAGGACCAGCCTCAGCAGCAGCAGGAGTCTGGTCAGCAGTCTGGTCAGCAGAGCCACCACTACCCGTCTGCACACGGAAGGAGTGAGTAAGAGACTCCTGGGTGGGAGCCGGTGCAAGGCGGGGCAAGGCAGCAGCAGCCGGATCTGCAGATTCGGGGTGTGCATCCTGAGCGGGGAGATCATCATCCGGCCCATCGATGCCGGGGGCGTTGGACTTGCGGGAGCGCTTAACTCGTAGCGGACGTTCCTCAGGCTATACAATATAAAAAACAAAACACGTTAGCTTGGACCATGAAGACAAACAGACCAATTGAGAGAGAAGGGTGTATAGTATAAGTTGGGCAGTAAAGGTCCGGTCTACGTAAGATGGTGAACTGTATAGACACGTACTGTGCGCGGCTGCTCATCGGAGCTACCCTCTGTATCATCTTCCAGGAGCAAACCAGCTCCACCCTGTGCAGGATTCATCATGGCCGCGGCGCGGGCACGCAGTTCCGGGTTTGCGGCGCCAGTCTTTGCCTCGTCGGCCATGCCGGTGACCTTTGTCAGACGCTCGAGAAGCATGCAGGTTTCCAGACGCATTTTCTGGATATATTGGGACCCGCGGCGGTTGCGGGTGCGCATGATTTCATTTTCGGCCTCGACTTCTGCCAGGCGCTTCTTCAGCGCTATGCACTTGCGCTTGTAGGCGATCTCCACGCTGGGGGGATTGGCTGGTGGGATGGAGGGGGGTTGGCGGGAGGCTTCCATTTTGGTGGTGAAGAGGAGGGATGCCGGTATTGGCGTGTGAATTTGGACACAGCGGTCTTTATTTACGATCCTTGGTCAGAGCTGACTCGAAGCACGATGCGAAGGGGGTGATGTGGAATATAGAGGAAGAAGAAGGAGCAAATGATCGGATGGCAGGCAGTGGGATATAGTATATCTACCTAGGTAGCCTCGATGAATTGTTGATTATTCGTTGGTGGCGAGGGTGAGTCGATTGACTGAAATGGTGACCCTATTGAGAAATGCCAAACGTCGTCGGCAACAATGCGATGACCTCCAACATTATTCTGCCCCGATATCAAAGGCGGTCTACACAATATTGTTTAACAAATGTTTATCCATTTAACTCCCTGCTATATACAATTACTCTAAAAAGAAAAACAAGAAACCCCAAGAACCATGGCTATTTAGTGACCTCCAGTAGTGGGAAGACCAAGGAACACCTTGAAAGAGTCATAGCTGCAGAAAGTTAGCATCGCTGTCCACGCAAATCGGGACAGAGCAAACACTTACATGAGCCATTGGAAACCGGTCAAAGTGCCCAGCATCACAATACGGACAGGCAGACCATTCCATAGGCCAGAGAAGCCAATATTCCCATAGATCCGGGATACAGCCGTCATTGCACCTTCACCGGCTACAAACGGGCGGTTAGCATACATCAAGACTGCAGCAGAAAGAAAGAACGAAACCCACTTTTCCGATCAGCATTCAATTTGCTGACCATGACATCTGCTGGATGGCTAACAATAGCACAGAAGATTCCTGCAATATAACCACCCAAGAAACTAATACCAGTCTGTGTCAATTGGCCATACTCCTCCTTTGGTTTGCCCATAGTGCGATAGATGACCTTGACCGTCTCCTCGAATGTGGCAAACTTCGTCATAGTATAAGGGATCTGTCTGGCCCATAGAGGGTACAGTCCCTTATACAAGCCACCGAAGCCCTCCTTGGCAACGATCTTGCCCCAGCCCTCGCGCATAGTGGAAGCATATGGCGGCAGCGTGGTTTGCATGCGGACCTTGATAGCCTCCATAGGACACAATGCAATATCAGCAAAGAACTCGGCAGAGGCACTAGCGCCGAGGAAGACGAGGGTGCGGTTGGTGTCTGGGAACATCTGGTTTCCGTACAAGTTCTTGAAGTACTCGTACAGACCATACTTTCCAGCACCCTGGAAGGAGTAGCCCAGGAAGGTGGGCGACCAGCCGAAGAAGACGCCGCGCAGACCTTCTTTGGAGAAAATTGTTCGCCATGCTTGGATGTTGGAGGAGTAGATCTTTGGATCAACCTGGCGACGGCATTTTACAAGATCGAGGGGTGTGACGGCTGTATGGGTTGGTCCTATGTGGAATTGGGTGTCAATTGAGTGCGTTAGTTGTATATTGGAGTGTTTTCACATACCACAAGCTAGAGAAATATATTGTTAGCGCGTTCCTGAGATGGGGAGTTTTGGACATACCAATGATTCCGCCGACACCACAACTGAGAAAGTACTTGAGGGAATTGGGTTCGATCTTCCCAAGGGGAAGCCTGCGTTCTTGTGTAGCCATGGTGTATATGTTTAGAATCGTAAATATTCGCAGGGGAGAGGTACCAAATAAAAGGTATACAATAATCCAATCATCCAAGATTGTACCTTGGAAGAGTTGGAGAACTATGTCGTCAGTGATCGGCCTGGGCTGATCTCCGCACTTCCTGAACCTTTAGACCATATACTATCTTCCAATGTTCGTATAGTCTACATTGTTATGGATTTAATTCGTCTATTTTTACTATGTATTCATTCTTTAGATATTCTTGCATCCTTGTACATCAACTAAGACTCAAAGTATTCACCATCCAATATCGATGACGTCAATGATATCCGGCCAGCCCGGTACTACGCAAAGTACATACAAAAGCCGACTTAGCCGGAGTTCTTGCATAAATAATACATAGAGAGCTCTACAAAATTATGAAACTGTCTCATCAAAGCTTACAACTGACCTGAGAACTGCTGCTTTTGACTCGAGGCATACAGCACCTGGAATACTGACCTCTTAGCATCGCAATGGTTTACGTACGATCGACAGCTTGGAAGTCTTCAGTTAGGACTCCCTTATAAAGAGCAACTAGCAAGTAGGAGGCCAAGGAAGTGACCGAGATAGCTAGATATCAGGGAAACAGGTCCAAAACCTGGTAATTTCGTTCTTTTTCATGAAGACATGCCAGACCAAGAGGTAGATGGTCTTTTATAAGGTGACGGAGTATGGCTGTGAAATAGGTAAAAAGCAAAGAAGTTTTACGTCAGAATCAATATCAACACGGGACCCTTCCTGGATTAACTGCATCAATAATTGCACCTGGGCATACTATGTTGATGAGGTTATCCATACTCCGTACGGAGTACATTTGGTAGAAATGCTTTCAATGTTGTTTACCAGGCTTCTACAGACATTTAGCTCTGTGGACTCTCCGAGTCTTATAGATTCAAAACACGACATATACATTTGTATATGTATCTATATATATATCTTAGAGTTCTTTCCATGATGTACTTTTCCAATTATGAGAGCTGAGAAGTCCTGCACGCCTTTGGTTTATTACGTCGCGTTTGAACGTGTATCTCCTTTGTTGCTCCTTTGTTGACAACCCGTTTTCATCTCCTGAAAACTCCAACTTTGAAACTCCATTCTTACTGCTTCCGTCTCAAGTACCATCAATCGCTAACTGATCACTATACAAACCCGGACGATATGGGTCGTGCGACTCGCTTCAATGGCAATGTTCAAGAGCCAATCTCTCAAGAGAGCATCTTTGCGAACAACGTCGCCAAAGCAATAGCCAAAAGTTCCAAAAGTTCTGGACTATCCAGTCCAGATTATCCCGATTTCCTACAAGGCTCCGACTCTGACAGAAGTGACGATGATGTGGTTGATTATCCATACCAGCCTGGCGGAGAGGATGGTACTAGTGCCAGTGTGACAACGCGTACGAACCCTTCTGCTGAGGAAGACCCTGGCCCGTCGGTCCGAGTCCGTACGGCCGCAGAACTCGATGCCGTCATCAAAGCACAAGTCGAGGACAGTGAGTATCACATTCATTCTTTTTCTTCTCTACAAAGCACATGTATTCGCTAACAGGCTTGTTACAAAGCTTCCTTCCCCGGCCTGAGACACTACCGGATTGCCCCTTTTGCGCAATTTCCTAACGGCGTTCGAACAGAAAATCCGCGATTTACACCCGGAGCGGACCGAACTGGATTGGAGAGAAGGTGTACGTAGGCCACTGAGGTCCGCGGTCGCTCGGCGTGCAGCACATGGACAGCTGTGTGGTGTCGAAGCTCCAGCGGATCAGAAATGTACGGCGTGCGCCCAAGGCAGGAACACGTTCGAGCATTGTCGGATCGTTTTCGTGGACAACGAGGCTCAATGGATGTGGGCTTGTGCTTCCTGCGTCTTTTCGGGAACAGGCCATAAATGTTCATTTCGTAGGTCATCCTCTAGACAGTGGACGAATTACGGTAAAACTGACGTACGAACAGGTCCTGATCAATCTGGGAATGTGCCCTCGTGGGTTATCGCGGCCGTGGCTGAACGTGAGCCCTCGAGTCCATTGCTTCAAACAGACTATGCCGGGAACGATGAAGCTGCCACCAGCAAGCCTGCAAATTCAACTACTAGTCGGAAGCGCCCTGCGGCTGTGGCCAAGTTGAACCCCGAACAAATTGACCAAGCGCCCGAGCTCGCAGCACACGAATACACACCCTCGAGAAATGAACTGCCGTCCTCAACAATTCTACCTGCCAAAAAAACTACACGCGTGCGCGGAACCCCCGTCTTGAAGAGGACACCCGCCACTCAGAAAGTTGCAGACAAAGAGCAACCTGCCAAGCGCCGCAAGTCAGAGGCTGGTCCCGCAAAGGCCAGTGAGGGTGCTACTAAGGATGAACCTAAGCGCCGCAAATCAGAGATTGCCCCTGCAAAGACCAGTGAGGGTGCCAGTAAGGATGCACCTCCAAAGCTCAAGAACGGAGGGCTCCCATTCAACGCGACTTGGTACCACTCGCCCCTTGAAGATCCGAAAGTGTATCGCATGAAGGATAAAGACTATGCCCTTGATACCTACAACGACCTTGCAGATCTCATCGCGCGCGTCACGGAGGATCACGGTCGTATGAAGGCAGCGCTTCTCAAGAAAGGATTCTTGCTGGAGTCGGATGAGGAGTCAGAAGAGGAGAACGTGTTTGCTGTGGATTGAATGCACTCGGAAGGGTTTAATCTTTTTTTCAGACAACAAGATACGGCTTCCCTCCTTGGCGGGGTTGTGGAATGAACCGATCCGTTTGGCTTCCAAAAGATGCTGTTAGGTAGAATAGCTAAGATGTCTTTTTGTATGCCTTTTCAGGAGGTCTTCCCCCCCAAGTCAGTGTCATGGCCAGAAGTATGAAAATCAACAGCTGCAGAATATAACTATCCAGCATAGCCCTCAAATCCCGCGGAATGGGGACTCCAGACCCATGCATCAAGTTTGGTTACCAAGATTGCACGCACCGCGTGGGAAGTTTCGACCAAGAATTTCACCTTGAGTGTCATGTCGCTCTCCGCGGATACGCTCCGCCTCACGAGCAAGAACCAAAGCCAATTTAATGCCGAGCGTGGATCCGACACGAGACAGCACAGTGCGAATGAGCTCCACCTGCGACGGAGTCGGCATGCCGGAGGAGAGAATATACCAGAGGGGCCAGAGCAAGCCATAGCCCTGTGCAGCGCGCATTTGCCACGCGCCATCTGATTTAGTCGGACGGCCGAGGGAGTCGACGTCAGAGAGTGCGAAGGGGATGCTGCGACAGACGTCTGTGGTCATTTCGCGGATGATAGCTCTCAGAGCTGGCTCGTCGAGAACGGACTCGGACTCGGGCTCAGAACTGCTGGTATCCTCGGGACTGGAGAATTGCTTGTTGGCCGCTTTGATGGAGACAAGTGTGCTATTTAGGCCGAGGAGAAGCTGTTGTATCATCACGCGCACTGCGCGGTAGTAGTTCCAGACCACGGCGTTGTGGAGGCGGTTGTAGGTTAGAAGGGGCTCGCCCTGTGCTGAGTAGACGACTAGTGGGAGCCAGCGGTCTGGGAGGGTTTGTGTCCACTGGGAGAGTTCGATGTCGTACTCGCGGCCGGACGCGATCCATGATTCGACGGCTGCTTGGTCTGCGGGCTTTGGTGAAAACCTTATATGTACAAATAACTGGCAGAGCTTTGATGCAGTGAGCATGAGCCGCTCGACTGGTATGTTGATGTCTAGCATGCCGAGGACCCATTCGTTATCGAAGCGGGGCCTGTCTCCCAGTGCGAGGATTTCAACATACTATACAACGGTCAGTCTCGGATCTATATTCAATTATACATGCCTGGTCCCGATTTCAGAACCGTACGACAAACCTACCGTGTGGGCATAAGCAAAAGTAAGCATATCTCGACCACGTTGATGACCAATCAGTGTGTTTCCACGGAGCTTCGTCAAGAACTCAAAGCCGGCTGTATGCGAGCTGAACAACCCATTCCGTTCACCCGAGATATCCTCATACAGTGAAAGCAAAACAACCGAAGCAAACGTTTCATCCTTAACCGCATTAGCCGGCGATGCTAACGCCTCCTGCAAACCACGCAAGGCCCGCCCATAGCCTTGCCGCGCCTTGATCATGAGAGGCGGGGCATTTTTAGCATTAGCGAGAGTCATCAGGGCCGTAGCCTCGACCGCCCACCGCAAACAGGAAGACGGCGCTTCGCTCTGGCGCCCGAGCTCGCGCGCATACAGCGGGGGCAGATAGTCGAGATGTCCGCCTTCCTCGGCATCGGCTTTGATGGTGTACTGGTCGAAGAAGTAGCACAGTGCTCGTTGTTCCCAGCTGGAGTCAGTGGGCGAGTATAGTGTCAAGGTAGCCTTGCCATGGTGTCTTCCATGTGAGCTTGCGCGTCGGCGGTGCGAGACGGCTGATATAGATGAGTCCGAGGTTGAGGAGCTGCCTTGCGTGGAGGTATTGCTGCGGGTATTTACGTTGGCACTGCTCTTCATCAGCCGCTCGACCTTCCTGGTCTCGTTGCGGAAGACAGCATCCGGCCGGTACCCTGGACATGGGCGGCCATAGATAATGCAGTTCCGGCACTCCGGGTGTGCTTCATCGCACTTGAAGGGAGGATATTTAGCATTTGGATTTTCAATGTATGCAAATAAGACTACATAGTATAAACACAGTATAGGTTCATTGGCGGGGTAAATCGAAAAACAAATGTTGAAGCCCGGGACATACCTTTATCTTCCGCTTGCGACACAGGTAACATCCGGTACTTGGCTTGCCCCCATACACCATTGTTCACCCGCGGGCAGTCGTCTGAGGAACCTCTAATTCTTGCGGATTCTTCGATAGAAACTGCAAAGGGGGCTGCGAGTTACAGATCTGGTCGGACTCGATCTGGGTTCCACAAAGGTCAAGGACGGCCGTGTGTCATCGGCTGTAACTGGATCAACTCGGCTGCCTAGCCCGAACAAAGCAAATGCACATCTTAAAGGTTGTGCGGATGGCTTTTCTAGAGCAATGTTCTTGTGTATTTCAGTGACTAACGCTCGCGTTAAGGTCTAAGAGACGTTAAATTCAACCCGCGACATTTCCCAGAGGACCAGCTCGGGACCCGCGGACCCCGGGGCCGAGTAACCCGCCTTAGTCATGAGCCAGGTCTGCCCAGTGACCAGGGCCGAGGTCAAAAATGACGAGTTGGGCATATGGGAATGTAAATGATATAGATTCATCGGACTAGATGGTGTATATAAATCACATTCCAGGTGTTTCCAAAAAGAAAGGTATCATGTACTCAACCACCAACCATTCCGAAATGGCCGATATGGAATAAAAACAACAGAAAGATCTCACAACTCCAGTATGGCAACTTCAGCAGTCTGGGCAGAGAACCACAACAGTAACCAAACAGATTTGCAACACCAAATATGCAGCCGCTCGGTGCTCTAGAAACACCTAGGTAGGAATGCCGGCAGTTCACTCTGAAGGCAAAGCACCCACTGTTGACAAAAACACACCGCGCTCAAAAAGATGAAGATAAATATGACAAAATAAATGGATATGCATAATCGTTAGATGGCAGGATATCAAAACTCATTTGGGTCAGATCAGACCAGATCAGACCAGTAAATGCTAAAAGATTAGGAGGGCGCGTCTGGCATAAGTGCATCACTATCAGTGCTTAATGGGATCGGTGGTGGAGGGACGGAGCAGAGGGTTCGACGTCGAGTTGGAACGGCCAATTCCCGATCATCAACAGAGCTTATGCCTGGGGTGCTTAAAGCACTCTCAATGGCTGTATCATCATGGTCTTCTGGTGGTGGAGAGAAAGACCAGACCTGCGATATATATTAGAAAACATATTCCCATAAAACGGAACGTCGTCACGTACCTCCATAACTGTGCGCCCAGATCGGCTTGCCATAATTACTGCTTTTTCATCCTCAAAAGCAACCCTCCAAACCGCCTCGGCCGGAGTAGAAAGCTCCCGCAACAGCTGGCCAGTCTGTAGGTTCCAAACCTTGACACGGCCATCGCTGCCACCACTGACAATGCGGGTCTTATCAAACTGAAGACTGGTAACGCTGTTATCGTGGGCGGCAAGACGGTGAATCGGCGCCATCTTGGTTAACGACCAAACGCGGACAGAGCCATCGGAGCCACCTGTCACTAGCGTGTCGTCCCGCATCTGTAGTTGACCAACCAAAGACGTATGACCTTGCAGAATAGCGTGGCACTGCCCAGAGTGCGGGTCCCAGATGCGGACGCTAGTATCCAAACTTCCCGTCGCGATCCGCCGGCCGTCGAAGGCAATAGCGTAGATCTGACTGAAATGTCCTGAAAGGGTGCGAAGACAGCGTCCTTGGGAGATGCTCCATATCCGCGCAGTCGTATCATAGCTACCTGACACCACTAGATCACCATGAATAGCCAGACACCGCACGCTGGCTTGGTGTCCGACGAGGACGTTCCGACATGTCCCTGTAGCCAGATCCCATATCCGAAGGGTGGTGTCTCTGGATCCTGAGATGGCTGTGTTTTTATCCGACATCTTCAAACAACGGACGGTTGATGTGTGGCCCCGAAGGAGATGGATCCCCGCCCTGTCATGCGTTAGTTCTCATTCTTGTAAGTCGTGGGGGGTCCTGTCCTACCCAGTAGCCATGTTCCAGACTCGAACTTCGCGGTCGCAGCCTCCGCTGACCAAAATGTCATCCCACGGGACCATCGCCCATACTCCCATTACATGGCCTTGAAGCGTCTTCTGGTTGTCACCGTTGGCATCATAGACGTGGATCTTCGCATTATCCAACGCAACGACAATGTACTTCGGAGTTAGGTGAAGACTTGTAACCACACCCTGGTCAGGGGTGATATGGCGCTGGGTGCAGCGACCGCCTTTATTCCACGCCGACTCAACCATGTATTTCTGCTTGAACTGTGAACGGTAGGAGACAGGCCGGGTCCGACGTCTTCGGTTAAAGCTTGTCGGAGGCAACCATTCTCCGGAAAGTGTGCGGGGAAGGTCCGGTGCGCTCTCGGTGGGGTGACCATTTGACGCGGTCAAGCGCCGCTGCAACCCGCCGAAGGTGCGTGCGCCGGAAGCCGAGTCTACGGGATGTGCAGTGAAAGGGTCGACGAGGTCCCCTTCATCTTCCAGCACCCGCCGCACCGAGTATGCATGTTTCTCGCATAGGTTTTTCCAAGTGATATCATCGTTTAGTAGTTCTCGCCAACGCCGTGATACTTGTGAAGCTCGGGCGAGAGTCTTGGGGTCGTCGATAAAGGAGAGAACCTATGCAAACCCAGCATTAGCATTGAATAATAACAACAGACTCGGCCAAATGGCTCACTCTTAAGCATAGCTCATTAGGAAAGACCTGAAATGGGTCTTTCCTCAGTCGAGGACCAACATAACTCGACACAAAGCTTAGCTGCTGGCTGTCGCATACGTCCAGAATACCCTCCAGGAGTTTCTGTTTTCGGGCGTTGGATAGTGTTGTGAAGTGAATGCGGAGGTTTAACAAAAAGCTAGTCTCTTCATCGTCGGTCGAGTGCCAAGTTGGTGGTCGTTGATGGGGGGGTAGGACTGGGCGCGGGTGTCGGGGGTGATGCGGGCGCTGAAGGAAGTAGGTTGGCGGGTAAGGGAGTGACAGTTGTCTTGGTGCTGAGTGATCTGGATGGGGTACTGGTAAAACTAGTGACTGATTCGTGGGACGGTTGGTTATGAGGGTCCAACTGGTCTGATGTGTGCGCATTCGACCCATCTCCCATGTCGCTGAATGATGCCCGATGGGAGTCCATGGCCGCAGAACAGGGGGGAGACCGCCACTATCGAGTATGATCCTCCCACTTGTCCAGTTTCTATTTATTGATGTGACACACTGAACCTCCTAGCGATCACGGCATATAGTTATGGGCGAGTCGGGAGTCGGGAGTATGAGGTTTGGGGGTATGAGGAGAGGCTGGCCGAGGGAAGGAGGGAGGTGAGACCAATAACCCTCCGAATGTGTCGAGGCCACCCGTTTTTCTTTTCTTCTTTTTTCTTTTTTCGAATATATCACTTTTTCGTTTTCTTTCATTCAATCAGAGTTCGAAGTCAACTTCCAATGAAAAAAAAAAGGCGATCAGGAAAAGGGACATTTGAAGCGGAGGTGTCGTGATTCTGACAAAGCATGGCCCGGGACTAATCAGATGAGAATTGTATGGATCTTATGCATCCGGCACTGATCATCTCTTTTCTCCGCATCTTTTTTGCCTTCTGATTTGCCTGATATTTCCTTTTGGAAGTTCATGGCAAAAGAGGCAACACGGAGGCGTCGAGAACGTAAACTCGAAGGTGGTTTGGCCCAAGACCAAGTCATTGATCTCCAGGGCTGAATATTGCGAACTGTAAAGGCAACCTGATCCCTATTCACGATGCTCACGGTACTCACCAATACTCATGAGAAGTATAGACCCAAGGCTTTGGATTGGCATGCGGCTATCGGAATTGGACCATGGAACTCGTGAACAACTCCGGGATGATTCAGACTGACGAAACTGACGAATTTTGTCATCAGCGACATTATGAAAAGATAAAATTCCCCCCGGGGAACTCAACCATTGGGGACCTGTCAGGCTTTAAATAGGGCACAGTGACGCTACGTAGATGTGATCGTGAGATATCATGCAATTATGACCAATATAACACCCAGCAGTTATACAAGGAAATCTATTCAAAACACATCCTCCCTTATCTCAATTTATCTCAGCTAGAGTAACCCATCTCCCAAATGTATTTTGCAATGGGTATAAGCCCTCCAGAATCTAGGTGAAAAGCGAAAATGTAAAAGCACTGTGGCATATCCCCAAGGAATACACACGGCACTTGCTCAGTGAGCATGTCCAATCTGCAAGAATAGCGGCAAGATCATGCCCAAAACAGATGCGATCAAGTCTCTCATGGACTTGTCCGATCCATTCTGGTCTCGGTCGCCATATCCGTTGATAGGAAGTTCGCGCGGGGATGAGCCCGGGCCGTTTTCTTGCATGGTGTGCATCGCAACATACCTATACAGATTAATATAAAGTAATATCCTGGGCGAAAGAAGACTCACAAGAAGGTACCCCCAGAGAAAAGCAGTAGCATTCCAGTGCGCCAGTGAGTTCCTGCCTCATCAGCACCGGAAGATCCCGTCATCTGTACAAAGAGGAAAGTGGCCAAGGCACCGAAAGGAGCTGCCAGACTGAATACCAGCAAATGAGCTCTCGCGGTGCGACTTGACAGCCCTTGCTTGAGTAGGACGGATGTCAATCCGAAAGATGCCGGGGCCTTATGCACCATGATCGCCAAGAAGATAATAAAACTGAGCCCGGCATCCGAGCTGGAAGCGCCTAGAGCAATGCCATCAGCCGCGGCGTGGATCACTAGGCCGGTCGTGGTCGCGAAGCTGTGGCCACATCTGGATGCATGGTTCGCATCAAGCAATCCACCCTCGCGCGACGGGGAGGAACCCCGCCGCAACCCCGATCCAAGGTTATCCAAAGAAATATGGTAAGGGGTCCGTTCGCTCTTAGACGGCGCTGCGAATCCGGGCAGTTTATCGACGAGGTACATCAAAATGAAACCACTGATGAGGGCGATTCCGACCCACGCATGCGGCGAACTCTCCTCCTCTCCGTGAATTGTGTCCTTGCCCGTTGTTTCATCTGTCGAATCCTCCTTTCGCACATAAAGTGTTTGCGACTCGGAGAGTTGGTCTCTTTCCAGAATGAGACCCGGGACAGGGTATCGGACGGGAGGTTCGAGGCACTGTCTCCGGTGGGGACAAACGTGGCTGCCACGGCGGGGGCCTGGTGCTGCCATTCAATAGCGGTAGCCCGCGTATTGTGTTGCTTGTGAGTGAGAGAGTTGGCGCTGTAGAGGGTTTCAATGCCCTCGGGGATAATGACGATCAACGACGTCCCCACCAGAACGCCCATACCAATGGACGATATTAAGCGGAGTTGAGAGGGGGACAGTGTGAAAGCCAGAGGTAATGAGCCGACGACAAAGGATCTGCCAATAATTCGAAGCATTAGCTTGCAACTGAACCTTAGGTTTCCAACCTTGGAAGCACAGGTAGCTCACGTAATTGCCATCACAATGCTCAGGGCGAGCAAAGTGAATAGTCCCTCCATGATGATCTCGCAGTTCACTCTATAGACTTTCTATCATGGTGAGGGGAATTGAAGAGAGCGTCCAGAAAGAGTCTGGAGAGAGAGAGAGAGCGGTTGCGTAAGAGGCCAAGGTGTTGGAAAGGTCCAGGTCGGGGACCCACGTAGTTCAGGTACCGCTTTCAAAACATACCAGGGGGGGAAGTATGCATAAAGTAGGGACAACATATGGAATATTTGGAAAAGGGATATTTTATTTGATAAGGCCCTTGAAAGGCATATTATAAGGCATAAGGCTGATTCTAGAACATGTTGCCAAACATTATGTCTATCCAGCCACATCTGGCCTTACCGGACTATAACCGGGCCGACTGCAACCATTCTTGCTTGGATCCTGCATCTGTTCCACTTTGACTTGTCTATATCAATTTATGTCTGTAGCCAAGAATCATCGAGTGCTATGATTCAACAGTATGAACTGTTAAAGCCATGCAAGCCACTGTCACTCACATTGATACCCCATCTTGATGCAAAGAGCACATCCAGTCAGCCATGCTCCACTAGAATACATACCTAGATACCTATGCGACACAGACCACAGATCGAAGGCTGATCTAACCCGCGATCCTTATCGCATCTGAATCTCCGAGTCACTGCTGCCATGCGCACCCTTTGGCAGTCGGAACCCCAAGTACGGCAAATATCTTCCTGGGTGCCAGTATACGAAAAGGGCAACACACGGATATATACACAGCGCATCAAAGACATACATGGGCCACTCATGAGTACTCACATATCCCGTTGTACCTTCGGTGAATTCCACAAGTCGATAGATAGACCGAACCTGGTAAAAGTCAGCAAGTGAACAGTGGCTGAAGGTGGGGAACTGACAAGAATTAATATCGTGGTGAGATTGACAACTCGCAGTAGAGCAGGCCAGTTATTATCTTTGACAACACCATCAATGATGTACCCCTTCTCTCCAACATTCTCATATCGCTCACTCAGAAACCTAGTGAAGCGCTTGGAAGTGAAGTTGAAACGGACAGCTGCGACGGCAAACAATCCAAAGGCAACCAGCTGGATAATGACACCTGCTTGTGCAACGTGTTTCCCCGTGTCGAGCTTGTCTTTCGCATCCTTGTCTGTGGCCTCGACTGAAGATATCATCACCGCGCCGCTAAGCTGGAGTAACAGAGCGAAGATATCACACCCAACGAAGATAGGTGTAATGAATCGGGGAGGTATCCAGCACAGCCGAAATGTCCTTGCCTCTTGAGGAACGACGAGGAACAGAATCCGACTAAATATGACATAGCAACACGCTGCCATGAGGACAGGTGCAAGGATGATGAGGGAAAATTGAAGAACATAAACGGGTCTCTCTGACGTGTTTTGGACTGAGGCGCATCGGGCAATGTAACCAATCGCTTCCACTGCGTTATGGGTTAGATTGAGTGAATATTCAGACGGACTAAATCCAAATGCTCACGTACTGGCTGCTGCGAGCACCATAATGCTCCAGACCCAGGCCCTGTGCCGGATCCATTGTATAGCCGTCAACAGAAAAGCAACGGTGTAAAAGACAGCAGCGACAATTGCCACTGCTAGGGAGGGCTTATAAGCATAAAAGGAAGTTTTCATCTCGCTGTGCGTAGCACGTCCAATGAGAGACATTGTAGATGTTTGATCCAGACGTCCACGTCTGGGATGATTGAAAGTGAAATCTCTTACTTCTCAGTGATCTCTCGATTGTTGAAAGAAGGAAAATGGATGGGAAGATCGAGATGGGAGGTGTGTGACTTTTTAATGAGCCCTAAGTGCTAGACCTCTAACCTTGGTTCACTCTCTTCACACTCTCTCTACTCCCTCACTTTTAACTCGACAGAAACCAAGGAAGCTGTCCGAAAATTTTCAAATAATTGATCTCACTTCATCCAAGTGTCGAAATGAAGAGCGATTTGGGCATTCACTACTTTGTATATCATGTTCTAGACTAAACTATGACAGATGCCCAATTAGGAAAGGACGATGTTACATATAAGTACCTGCCCAAGTTCTAGCTAAGCCCCCTGTATACATATATGTAGTCATCGGTACTTATTTCTCGGGGTACATCCATGGATACATAAGGTTCCATACGGATGATTACCATTAACACGTATATTAGAACAGCCCTAAACGATGCCACTAGAAGCTATCCTGGGGACAATTAACGTTGTGTCAGAAAGATCCCTGGTGTAAATAGAAGCCATCCGTACATCCGGTTTATGCTTTTTACCCCTATTGTAGAGTGACGAGCCCGACATGTCTTCCCTCTATAGCTAATGATCATCCGTCTAGCTATCTATTAAAAGGCCTCTAAAATGACATCGGAGTGTTATCTCCCCTATAATTCGTGGATATCCCTTATATCACCTTGATCCAGATGAATCCTTATTAAGGTTCTAATCCGTACCTCATTAAGGATACGGGTCAAGTTCCTGTCATAATAAACTTAGATATTATCGGAAAATCTTCGGTGTTTCTTGTCGAATAATTCTATAACTCGTTCATAATGCGAGGTTAACTACATAATGTAGGTACATACATACTTGATCAACAGGTACCTGGGCTCCTGCCCCAAACATATTCAATGAAACATGCAGTGGTTCATCTTTCTTCGCAAGACAAGCTCTCCGGAAATCCATTTATTCAAATTAGCGCATAACTGAAACACATGTTGTTTCAGATTAAGAGCGGAATAGTTCAATGGATCTCGAATTTATCCGCTTCATTTCACACAGAATGATATAGTTAATATTGCTAGGCTGGTCCTCAATCATCTGTCTTTCTGGCTTCAGTATTGTTCTCGTTAATTCCTTTCTCTTGCCAAATTCGTGTTGATCTATGCTACCCTTGTTTTCGCAATGTTCGTCTTTCTTTCTTTCGTCATCCCTCTTCTCCCCCTGGTAGCAAGTTTTGTGCACCCCGGTCTCCTCGTCTCCGATAGCGATATCTCTCGCATGCAGAAAAAGATCAAGGCCAACCAGGATCCATGGACTACATCTTGGAATACCCTGACCAATCTCCCATTCTCTGACCCCAGCTACACTCCTTCACCGGTTAGCGTTGTTTATCGGAGCACCTGGGAAGACCACACTGCGAACGCACAGCTCCTCTGGCATGATGTCGCGGCAGCATTCAATCTCGGCCTGCGCTGGAAGATATCCCGAAACACGAGCTGCGCCGATGCTGCTAGCAATATCCTACATGCATAGGCAACCACTCTCATTTCAATCGACGGTGGCGACGATAAGTACCTCACAGCTGGCCTGCAGGGGTACGAACTCGCTAACGCAGCCGAACTGCTCCGCGATTACCAGCCCTTCGTGGACAATGTCCTCCCAGCTGTCGTGGAAATGGCCAATAATATCTTTATCCCGATGCACTACAGATGGCTGAACCATGAAGAGCCGTCGGAGCATAATGTTCTCCATTTCTTCGCGAACTGGGAGTTGTGCAATGTCGCTTCGGCGATGGCTATGGCCGTCATAACCGATAACCAAACAGTGTGGAATTTCGCCGTGAATTACTTCAAGACCGGCGATGGAACGGGAGCGATCAACAATGCTATCACCAATATCATTGAAGAGCCAGGTACTGGGGCTTTACTTGGCCAAGGCCAAGAATCTGGTCGTGACCAGGGCCACTCGGCATTGGACATGCAACTTTTGGGTGTTATTGGACAGCAGGCCTGGAACCAAGGAGAGGATTTGTTTGCCTATAACGACAGCCGGATTCTCCGTGGGTAAGTACTATGCAGTCCTTTCCATCTTACCAATTATTCATGTATCGCCCTAGGATGGAGTACTTCGCGCGATACAACCTTGGAAACGACGTCCCCTTCGTCCCCTATACGAACGGTATAGTCAGCTACACAGAGGTTAGTAGTGCCTCTCGTGGGGCCATTAGACCTACCTGGGAGCTTCTCTACAACCATTATGTCATGATGAAGCGAATGGACGCACCTTGGACCACTCTGTATCTCAACAACACTCTTGATTATTACGGCGGTGCGGAGGGCGGTGCAGGCTCCTGGGGAGAAGGGTCTGGCCATTACGATGGGTTGGGCTGGGGATCGTTGCTTTATCGCATGGATGAGGCTGATGTGATAGCACCTTTCCCCTCCAAGTCTGCTTCACCTACGGCAAATCCCACATCAAGGGCGTCCACTACATTGAACTGGGCTCCTAGCGCAATGACTACGACTCCTGGCACATCCGGCCAAAGTGCGCCTATTTCGCACTCAGCCACCACAAACTTTGCTGCTGTCTCTGCTACTTTGGGCACCCAAACATTTGCATCATCAACTATTGCAGACGACAGTAGGACTCCCCCATTTTCAGTGAGCAGTACAACTTCAGCCAGCACATCGACAACTTTGCCCACTGCCCCACTTGATACGTCGCAAAAGTCTCATCATCACCACGAAGAGGGTCAGCCACATGTTTGCCACATACATTAGATCTACGTTTAGTTGCCCCAAAAGGGATTTTCAACCCCTGACCCTGCCCGAGTTCTTTTATCATATGTATTTCCTAGCCTAGCTAATCGACACCTTATTTCATGTATATAATTTCCCCTATACTTGTTAAGCTGGTTCGTTAGTGGTGTGCTTGAACCAAATGTCCAACAACTCCGGGGGTCGAAGTCCTGTCTGAGGGTTCCCAATAAGAGCTTACTCGAAATGACATAGCCACAATCAAAGGCAATGACTAAAATCCGATGTGTACGGAGTATGTATGTATGTTGTAGACTAAACCATGAAACAGATACCCAATTAGGAAAGGCTGATGCCAAGCATCTACCAGAGTGGAGTGTAGGCCCCCAGTCATCGACCCATCTCCCTGGGCTCATTCTCACGAATTCTTTGCCTACTTAGAATTTAATATGGTACACTCGCATATACTCAGAGACAATGCCATTCTACGGTCGTCCTAGCAAAGGTTGCTGCAGTTGTCGAGAAAGACGGATAAAGGCAAGGAGCGTGGCCTAACACCGGACCAATTGTATACTGACATGGTTTAGTGTGATCGTCTTGATCCCGTGTGTTCCCAATGCAGGAGAGCGGGCAAGCCATGTGGCGGCTATCGGGACGTGCCCTCTTTTATGTTCCGTGATGAGAATGACAGGGCGGCTCGACGAAGTGCAGAAGCAAAGGCTAAGACGGAGGTCCGTCGAAGATTGGAGGATAGAGCAGCTCTAGAATCTGACATATCCACCCCCGGCTCACGAGCCGATCGTTCGCCGTCATATGCCTTAGTCCGCAAGAGCAGGGACCAGTTGATCCCGACTCCGAGAATTACTGCCTCGATGTCCATCCCATTGGATGACCAGGGGTTGAGGTTCTTTGTTGACCGTTTTGTGACACGGGTGGCCACCAGATCAGATGGCTCTCCACATGTAGGTTTTGTGCAGCCGTCTCCTCATGTTGGAGCAGTTACTCTCGACCAGTCGAGTCGAGATGCTGTCGTCTCAGTTGGGCTTGCTGCCTTGTCCAATGTCAATAACGATAGAGCACTGCGGATAATGTCTCGGGAGAAACATGCCATGGTTATCAAGGCTGTGCGAGAAGTAGTGGAGAACCCCACTCAGGCCAATCCCGACAGAACGCTCCACTTGATCGTCATGCTGAGTCTATACGAGGTAGGCGCTTCAGGTTCATGATTTCTGCTTGCGCCTTAATAATTGCAACATACTAACCCGCACAGATGGTCAGCTGTACCCCAAACCAGATAGACTCTTGGATAGTGCATATGGATGGTGCGGCTGCCTTACTTACACAATCCTCCTTTTTGCTATCACTCACGAACTTGGACCACCGAGAACACTTACAATTTTATTTTGTCGCAATTGTTAAATTTTTCTCCAAAAGGGTTGTCACCCCGGATCTACTGAGCTGGTCTCCTGATCTCATACCCTCTGCGTCACCAGAGATTTTGCCAGGCGTCGATCTTATTGACATACTGGTAAGATTGGCGAAGTTCGATGCATATCTGCATCACAAAAAGCCCGACGCCAGAGCAGTAGTGGACTCAGCTCTATTCTTTGAAGATGAACTCCACAAATGGGAAACTCAGCTCCCAGCAGACTGGTCCTTTACTGTGAAAGAATCCAATACGTGCGAGCATACCTTTCGTGGCCAGTATCATGTCTACAGGGACATGTGGGTTTCGAGAGTTTTCAACCACTACCGCTGGGCACGATTACTTGTTAACGAGACCATCCTATCCCAAATTTCGAAAATGGCACGGCCTACACCAAACGATGTGATTCAACGGCAGCAAGCATTGGACATGATTTCTTGCATGGCAATTGACATATGCGCTGGAGTTGCCAGTCAGGAAGCTATATCCGTGCAAGGAGTTGCCGAAGACCCGTCACATATACCACTGTTGAATGGTACCTTCATGCTGCTTTTCCCATTAGGAGTTGCTGGAGGAGCAGCAGGGACCCCCGATGAAGTCCATGATTGGGTTGTTGGAACGCTTGAGCGAATAGGATGTACGACAGGCATCCGGCGGGCTTTGGAAATGATACCTCAACTGAAGAAATCAGTCGGGAAATGGAAACTAGCTCAGAAGCGGTGGAAGAGCATACATGAGTATAAATAGAAGCTAGCTATAAAGACAGCCTGCGAACCTCGTATTTTTAGGCTGTGCAACATACGGGGCGCCTTGGTCGCATGTAAATAGTCCCGAATCTAGAAAATATGGAGGCCGTATAATCCGTTTCCTTCCAAGGTTGGAATCTTTTGTCGAAGTATTTAATCCTTGAAGTTGGTACCCGGGCCATAGATCCAGATTAGGTAATACTGATGCGCGCCTGGGCCGGGGCGCGCGTATTCGCGTCTCTCTTTGGACCTCAGGTCTTCCATTGTCTTATTTGACATTCAAAAACCACATATCCCGTCAAAATGGCGAGCGAAGATGGATGTAAGTCCATGGTCGCCCAATATCCGACGCCGCCAACATATAAGCTGACTGATATCCATTTTAGGGTCTTGCAACGCCAACGATGCGGTCCATGTTACCGTCATTCAACCTGGCGAGAAGAAGCCGAAAACACTTTCGACGTTCCACCCCCAATTCACCTATCCTATCTTTGGTGACGATGAGCAAATCTTTGGCTACAGAGGCTTAATTATCCGTTTGCGTTTTGCGGCTCATGATTTGCGCCCTCATTTACACATTTCCTACGACGAGAAGTTCAAGTCGGTCGGTGACACAGCTGCTGTCGATCTTCTCGACACTTTGAAACCCTTTGTCCAAAAAGGTGAGTTTCAGCTTTTCGACAACATGTGCGATATAAGCTAACCGCGATTTTGCGCAGAGGCTTTCGCCAATCTCCAAGACTATGAACAAGCTGTTCAAAACGACCCTGACGCGAAAGATTTCAAGCCCCCAGGCGAGTTTGTCATTGGCTACGAGGTCGAAGACAGAAAATATGAGATATGGGCTGGATCGCTTGCGAACCCGGAAGTGCGGAGAATTCTGGATCGCATGCAGGTTCTCGTCTCCCTCTTCATTGAAGCTGGAACTCCCCTAGAGACGAATGACCCAGAGTGGACACTTGACCGGTGGAGGGTATATTTCGTGTATGTTCTCTTGCTGTGCTGGCGTCCGTGGCCTGAGGCTAATAAAATCTACAGGTATGAGAAGGTGACTCCTCCGACACCAACAGCATCATCATATTCGATCGTCGGATATGCTACAACGTACCGCTATTGGTATTACCAGCGGGATCAGTCACAGACCCCCACAGTCAAGAACGACGCGTTCCCGCCACCAGAAGTCAACATTTCGGAGCTTCCTGCACGGAACCGCATTGCTCAGTTCCTCATTCTCCCTTCACACCACCGCGCCGGCCACGGCACTCATCTATATACGACAATCCACGCGGCCTGCATCGCAGACCCAACCATTCTAGAATTAACCATCGAAGACCCCAATGAACAGTTCGACGCGCTGCGGGACACAGCTGATTATTGTCTGCTGCGGCCGGAGTTCCTGAAGCACAATGTGAATCTCAACCCCGACCCCCTCGGGGCGTATTCTAAAAAGAACGTCCTCGCAAGGTGCCCACTTCCGCCCTCATCCCCACCAAACTGCTCCACGACATCCGCAAATCGTTCAAGATCGAACCTACGCAGTTCGCACACGTTCTGGAGATGTACCTCCTCGGTCAGATCCCTCAAAGCCACCGCCTGGCCGGCGGCACAAACCTCGCTCGACTGTTGATCAAAAAGTTCAAGGCCGAAAATGAGAATGACCGACGCTACTACTGGTGGCGTATGCTGACCAAGCAGCGTCTCTATAAAAAACACAAAGAACTTTTGAACGAACTGGAGCTTCTCGATCGGGTGGAGAAGCTTGATGCTACGGTCCAAAATGTGGAGGAAGGTTACGAGATTACATTGGATGCGCTCGCGGGCCGCTTGCCAGAAGATGAATCGGATGAAGAGGCAGAGGCCAACGAGCAGGCTAGCAAGGCTCCTACTGGTAGCCGAGACCGGCGTGCCAAGCGCAAGCTCACGGTTATGGATGATGAAGAGGAGGATGAAACAGAGCTAGCTAAGCGACCAAAGGTTTAGAAGCCTTGCGGCGGCAACCTCTCTTATGTACTATTTAATGCCACGAGTATGTTGTTTTAGCACTTCAACTGCAGTCTCATACACCGTTCTCCAATGGTGTGCAACTTTAGAAAGTCAACCCTAGTCAATACCCACTACTTTATGTTAACAAAAGCCCATATACTGGTATGTCCATGAGAATTTGATACGTAGTAGGCATAAATTCGAGGACATAAGAAGAAGCATGAGAGTTCCTTGCAGATGGCACTTGAGCCACATTTGGGCTCGGCACTTCCCTTTTTCCGGCTTCCTCATCGCATCTCTTGAAGCTTGAATCCATTGCTACCCTCAACATCAGCAGATAAACCCACAGGTCCCTTCATTAGGGTTCAATTTCTCCATTTAATTCAGAAGTCTCAGGTTTTGGACCTACGCAGTAACCCACGCTCCTTCACTCCGTGCGCCAACTCTCTCCCACCTTCACCCACCTCGTCGATCGCATTTCAAAATGGTAAGCTCCAGCTTCACCCAGACGGCCTTTCCGATACCTATACTAAGTCAATTTCTGGTCAGCTGCCTCTTGGTCTCCTCACGGCCGCACAGGGCCACCCCATGCTGGTGGAACTGAAGAACGGCGAAACTCTGAACGGCCACCTGGTTACGTGCGATAACTTTATGAACCTCATTCTGCGCGAGGTAGTGCAGACGAGTCCCGAGGGCGACCGCTTCTTCAGATTACCCGAAGTCTACATCCGGGGCAACAACGTAAGTCCTCTGACGAGCGCTCGCCTCAGAGCCCCGCTTTGGGCTACATCCTAACAACCCACCAGATCAAATACCTACGAGTTCCCGAAGAGATCGTTGAAATTGTCAAAGAGCAGCAACAGAACCAACCACAAGGCCGTCGCGGTGGGCGAGACGGTGATCGTGGCCGCGGCCGTGGTCGGGGTGGTGGTGGCGGCCGAGGTGGACGTGGTCGGGGACGAGGCGGCCCCAATTAGACATAAGCTTGTTCTGCATCAATGATTTTAAGAAGACGGCAAACGAGATACCCCGGAGGAGACGGTGGTAAGGTCGCTCGGAAGGTCCGGTGGAACGGTTTGATCGAGCATGGCCGTGGCGTATCTGGCTCTGTATTTTCACGGTATCTGGGTCACTTGGTCGATTTACAACTACCTCTAAATGTTACATTGCGAAAGCCCAAACCAGACTTACATATTTTCTCTGTAAACCCCATACAATTCAAGAAGTGAATATTCGGGGCTGTCACGTGATATCAAACTCCAGATCAAATCCGCGGAGGCTAAGCTTCCGATCAGTTAGCCACAAGCGGATATGTCGCGGCGGGCATTGGTCCTCGATGGGCTATGGTACTCTCTGTGTCCGTCATTTACAGCCCTGAGCCTCAGTCGATCCACATCATTCCCCAAACCCAAGGGACGAAACCCGAGACTATATCCGCTACCTTCGATTTCGAGCCCGAGCTCGGGTTCGCGCCGATGCTACAACACCTCAGGCGGCGATAGTTACAAAGTCCCATATAATGCGGCATACCATAATGATCGGAGCGAAGCACGGGAGCCACGCGAGAATGAATATCGCGATGCTCACCTCTCTCCAGATCCAACATACAGGCCACCCACACGACGAAAAGGCCCGCTATACACACGAACGCATAAGGTGCAAGACGACCTCCTAGGAAAAACGAATGAAGGTCTAGAATCCCGATTGCAATATGCAATGGACAACAAGCCGAACATTCGACACATAACGCAGATCCTGCGGCTGCTCATTCGCGACCGTCATGTCCAGCCGAATGCTCGCCACTACAAGGCATTGATCCTCGCAAATACCGATAATGAGAGGGGCTCGCCGCAGCTTGTGCGCGGTCTGTTGGAGGAAATGGAGAATAATGGCATCACCGCGGACTCTGGTACTCTCCACGGTGCATTGCAGGTAGGTTATCTGGTTGAACCGAGCTATATATGCAAAGCGAAGCTAACGATGCGATTCCTCATACAGGTCCTCGCTGTACATCCGGACTATCTCCTGCGACAGGAAATCCTCAACAAGCTCCGAGACCGGTGGCTCACGCTGAGCCCAGCTGGGTGGCATTTTGTGGCGGCTGGTCTTCTCCGCGAGAACCAGATTGAGCTCGCGCTCGAGCACGTTGCATTGATGGAGCGCAAGGATATATTTGTGGAAAACTGGCTACACAGTATAATTGTCTACACGCTCTGCGACCATGGAGAGTTGGACGAGGTGTACAACGTGATGCGTGCGCGAGTCGACCAGGGCCATGACATGACTTATCGTCTTTGGATGCACGTGTTGACCGAGGCAGGGAAGCAAGGCCATTATCCCATGGCACACTACGTGTGGCGGCGGATGGTTGAACTGGGCTACATGCATCCGCTCGTTGAAGTCTGCGATGACGTTTTGAAAATGGCTGCAAATGCTGGTGATACAGAGATGGCGAGCTCTGTGTTCCGTTACCTCCGTGAGAGCGGGATCCCGCTCGAGCGCACACAGTATGAAAGACTTGTCGAGACGCACGTGGCGGCGGGTGATCTACCCGCTGCATTTGAAGCGCTTTGCACCATGCACGAAGCTCAGATTCCTCTGGCGGATAGCTCAACGGAGCGTATCCTTGCGCACATGATACAGAGTAAAGTTGATCGTCGGGAGGCGTGGCAGATTCTCAAGCGATTGAAGAACGCGAAACGAACTATTCCCATCGACGCTGTCCGTGTTATTGCAGATCTCTGTGAACACGATGCCCATGACGATCCGTCCGTGGTGGATGACGGCGTTGGGTTCTACAAGGAGCTCTATACATTATGTCCCGAAGGCGCTGACGTGCGAGTGTACAATGCTCTAATTCGGATGTGCCGAACGGCCCGCAACCGCGAATCGGGCATGTTCCTGGTGAAAGAGATGGCATCACTTGGGGTGGTACCGAACGGTGTTACCTTCGAGTCTATTATCCTGATGTGCTTGGATGCGGGAAATTTCCGGTCCGGTTTCATGTACTTCCAGGACCTGATGAAGCGGGACGCTAGACTCAGCCCTGAAACGCAAGTGGAAATCCGTGAGATCTGCGCCGGGTCTGTGGACGAGTTTGCGATGCGACTGCAGTACCACCCTTTCATTCGAGACGATGTGAGAAAGCTGGATGAGGAGCTGCAGCAGAAACAGAAGGAAAAGGAAGCGAACGAAAAAGCTGGTCGCCACCCTGTACCCCGGCGGTTCGTCGCCTGAACATGTCAGATGAACAGCGACGTGAATACAACAAAGAGCGTCGAAAAAAGAAACGACGCCGCCTTGCCATTGAACAAAATATGAGAGAGGAGGGTTGGGATGAATGGGAAGCCGGTGGCTCTGGCAGTGGCTCTGCCAAGTCCGAGTGAAACTATGAAACTGGTGGAACTCTTTCGATGTCCTTTGAGGGCATATTTCAATCAGAATATTCATTTCCTTGACGGCCCGGTGGCCTGGAATATGCAGCTAATGCAAGCCACACAATTCCTCAGGAACACCCAATTCCCTTTCTGAGCATGTCACACAACTTTCGACCTGGTCAGTATGTATATAACCTGTACTATAAGTCTCTTCGCACTTGTATTACCTACATCTTTGCCCCAGCATCATAACAAATTTTATTTCCCTGTTTTGTTTCAAATCATTTTTTTCCAAAACGAACCCCTGGTGCCTTGAACCATTGGCCCTGTTCCCTGTTTGTGGATCTGTGTACTATAAATAGTCGACTGAAAGACTTCGATGACGATCATGGGGTAACTGTCGGACAGTAAGACATTTTATGAACGTCGAAACAACGATTGATTCGAAGATTCCAAGGCCTTGGAGAAATCAAGCTCTGTTGTATATTGTATCGAATACTGAAAGGTTCATTCACAACATTCCCCTGAAAGTGATCGGCGTGGGTTCCCGAGTGCCAAGGGCTCCCGTCGGGGTAAACGCCTGCCGCCTCTTCAACTATATAATTCCTCTCCCCTCCTTATTATTCTATCCAACAAATAATCGTTCATTAAAACATACTCTTCTCTACCAAAAAGAAACCAATCTCATATTCCACAATGCAACTCACCACCATCCTCCCAATCGTACTGGCAGGCCTAGCTGCCGCACGCCCGCCGCCCTCCAGTCCCAGACAATCACCGACGACATTATCTGGAGCGTATCCAACTTCACCATGGGCTGTTCCCAAGGTGGCTGCGTCTACAAATACGACATTGTCGGTCGTGAGAATGAAATGACCCCCAAGTTCCGCACCCACTGCAACGGCATCACAGGCAAGAAGGTCCTCTGTGACGACAAGAATATCACAACCATTGTTTCCCCTGCCGCAAACCCGGAGTGGAATGTCGATGTCACCCACTCCTGGAAATCCTATCTCAGTGACAGTTCCCTCGCGACTTGGTACCAGCATGGCGCGAAGAATGTTACCGTCCCTGACCACAACCCGATCAAGTTTGTTATGAAGCCTACTCAGGAGTACGGCATTGCCTAAATTGCTACCTATCTTGACCTACGACTCTTTCGAATTGGAGGATTTGGCTTTTTATTTTCCTTTTTTAATGTAATGGATGGTCTCGAGGGGTCTGGTCTCTTTTAATGAGCATGTGACATGTGGCTCAATTGGGAATTTCTGTTTTACTGATGGAAATATTTTGTGTACAACATACTTAATCTGGGACTGTACGATGTACAAAGGAAATGAACTTCTTGCTTCAACAATGTAGTGTATAATAGGATATAGTAGATCGTACCTACATAGCCAAGAGGGCTTAATTGACCCGGTGACATCATCCGCTCCGCCTCGAAAATAAGTCCCCGTGCTAGCTTGGAGTTGTATGTTGTCTTTTCCACATATTTCTGGTGGAATTCAGAACTTATATACATCTATATACTCTGCCAATGGTACGCCAGCTCTATCTCTATAAATTTCTAACTGCTGACCTTGGAATATCCCAGTCATCCATTCTCCGCCAGATAGTCGCAGGTCCAAGACAACAGCACGCAGAAGCAGGGTTAGATCTCTGCTACGTGACAGACAATGGTACCATACTCATCACGGCCACGCCAAAACATGCGCCCCCATTAACATAATCCACAGTCATCGCAACATCTGGTCCATCAGCAACATATCCACAGCGCGCCTACCGCAACCCACTAGACGCGCTAGTCAACTTCCTCGACACGAAACATGGCACAAACTGGTGCATCTGGGAATTCCGCGCCGAAGGCACAGGATACCCCGATTCAGAGGTCTACGGGCGCATCCACCACTTCCCCTGGCCAGACCACCACCCACCGCCATTCGCGCATATTCCCAACATAATGGGCAGCATGCGGAACTGGCTACAACGACTAGACAAGGGGAAAGATTCACCCGACACGGACAAAAACGAGCGGGTCGCTGTCGTGCACTGCAAGGCAGGCAAAGGGCGTAGCGGGACGATCGCATGTGCATACCTGATCAGCCAGGAAGGGTGGAAGAAGGAAGACGCGCTGCAACGCTTTACGGAACGGCGCATGCGGGTCGGCTTCGGGAACGGCGTTAGCATTCCCAGTCAGCTGCGATATGTCGGGTATATCGATAAATGGGCGAACGAGATGGGGAAGCAGTATGTCGAGCGGCCGGTGGAGATCCTGGAGGTTCATATCTGGGGATTGAGGGATGGGGTTAAGGTTGCTGTGGAGGGGTATGTGGATGAGGGGAAGAAGATTAAGAGTTTCCATATGTTCCATCGAAATGAGCGTACCATCGTTGAAGATGGAGGCTCGACATCTGAGGAACAGGACGCTACCAAGCCAAATCCCAACTCGGACCCCAAGATGAAGAAGGCATACAGCGAGAACGCGCTTGCTTCGTCTGCGACCTGGTCCCCGACGGTATCGGGATCTGATGTCTCCAGCTCATCGTCCCCGGCGGGCCGCAGTGTCTCAGCAATGATCTTCAAACCCAACAAGCCACTCATTGTCCCTAGCTCGGATGTGAACATCGACTTCGAGAGGCGCAGCAAAGCATCCTACACAGGCTTCGCGATGGTAACCTCTATCGCGCACGTATGGTTCAACCCGTACTTCGAAGGCGGAGCCGAGCACGACTCGGGCGTCTTTGAGACAGAATGGGACGCGATGGATGGGATCAAGGGGAGCGCAAGGAAGGGGATCCGGGCATTAGACAAGCTGAAGGTAGTGTGGCGATATCCTGCGGCGGAGACCGTGGAAGCCAGTGCAGCTAGCAAGAGCAAAGGGAAAGGGAAGAAGAGTGAGGATACCGCGCCGGCAGCGGGGAGGCGCATCAGCGAGCCGAAACCAGGTGATCCCATCCATGAAAGCGAGCCGCCTGACTGGCGTGGACTGCCGCAGGAATATAAGAAGGAAAACCAGCGTCCTTCTGAGAGTTCGCCGCAAACAGGTACTGCTGCAGGTGGCTCGGACAAGAATAAGGAGCAAGAACATGCCCTGGAGAAGGAACTTGGGCTGTTGAAGCAGACGGATGATAGTCGGGATGTTAGTCTTGCTGGAAGTGATGATGAGACGACGACTACTACTACCGATGATGAGGGCTCAAAGGTCAAAATCAACAAGGTGCATAGTGAAGGACTTGAGGGGGTGAAGACGAATTATGCGAAGAATGGGGAGGCAGCAGGTAAAACAGATCAGAGCTCTGATGAGTCGAGTGGGAAATAAGTATTAGCTAGAGCTTGTACAAGTGCATAAATAATACATAGTGCATAGTGTATTTATAAATATACCATGGAATTGATTATTCTATGCTGGATTGTTGGCGCAGGTCGTTTACTCTGTACGTTACATAAATGAAGGGATATCGCAGCTCGCTAGGAACGTGATGGCGTGAAATCTAGATATGTCAGGTTCTATTTTACTCAAACCAATAGCAAAAATGAGAATGAAAATGAAAGGAAAGGACAGGGGTATGCGAGGCAAAAATGTCAAAAAAGCAACGTCTATATTCACGACGGCGTGGCACTGAATGCAGCTTCAACCAGAGTCAGGTTTGTTCCGGTGGTAGGTGACTGAGATAATAGAGCGCAGAATTATAGAGGCACAAAGCCTTCCATCTTCTTCCGAAGCTCTGCTGCCTCCTTCTGCAGACGATCGGATTTCTTGCGCTCATAGACAGCACGTACAACACGGCGAGTCTGCTCTTCACCCTCGGAGAAGTTAGCCTTTGCAAGACCAACGACGGAGTCAACCTGCTCAGGCGTATAGATGAAGTTCCAAGTAGACAGGAAATCATCAACTGCCGGGTCGATCGAGTTGGGATGTGGAGCAAGGGGCAGTTCCGGGTCTTTGGTTTGAGAGCTATCCTGTCGCATGGACTGAGCAGCTGCACGCGGACGAACTCTAGGTTTGGGAGGAATGTCTGGTGCGGAAGGATTGGGAATCAGAGGGAAGTAGATAACCGCGATGCCGGCATCTGGTCGCATCAGGTGGAACTCGGATTCAGAATGGTCTTCGCTGTGGGGAGAATCAAAGAGACGTTTGGATGGCGGAGGCTCGTCGTTCGATGTTCGCTCTTCCGTGGTGCCGACCCAAACGTTGCAATAGCCTTAGGTCCGTGCCGGACTTGGGCTTTTGATCAGCGGGCTGGTTTCCAGAGTTATTTTTGGCGTCGGCGAGTTTCTCTGTTAATTGCTCCTCAGTGATGTTTTCTGGCTCGCGCAGGACGTTCTCGGTATCCTTGAGGCTCGCATCTTTAGGCCATCCGGCGCCGACGGGCCAACCCTTGACACCACGTTGCCTGGCGTACCCATCTACCACAGAAAGCCAGTTCTCCTGTTTGACATCCGCAGACGCATCAAACGCGACAATTATATCAACATCGCGCCCGGGTCGAAGGAGTGGGTAGATTGGCAGGTTGTTACTCATTCCCGCATCCATGAGACGCAGGTGCTCGTTTCGGAAGATCGACTCTGGACAGGAGTCGGGCAGCTGATCTTTCATTCCCATGACGTAGTTAGGTATACCCGCAGGGTCGATGGGATGCACCTTGATCAAGTCTTGGTTCTTGCCTTGGATGAGAGAATCGATTCCACCAAATCCAGCCAGGCCTCTGACAAGAGGCCGGATCTCCTTATAATAGTGAGACAAAGTCGCGCAGAAAGCGCTACCCCAAACACCCATGAGCCCGGGAATTCTCAACTCCGGGATGGGGAGGTTCTCAGCGGAAACCTCGGAGCGGCCTGCGCTGAAGTGACGTCCCAAAGCCCAGGTGGGAATGCCGGCATTGAGTTCTTCACAAAAGAATTCGTAGGGAGTGAACTCAAACCATTGGAACCATGCTTCATTTCGTGACTCTTTCACCAGCTGTTCAGGTGTTGGATGCTTTTTGGTCTGGTCGTCTTCGTGTTTGACAGCCTCAACAGGGATCTCATGCCGCACCGCCGTGTAGATGGGGAGCGGATGAGCCCCATTTATCAAATTGGCTCGCTGGTTCGACAACTTGAAATCCGCATCAGAGACTCCCAATTCTCCTCGGGGGACCAAGAGTCTCGCTGCGAGCAGCAATCCGTAAATATCTACCAACCCAAAGTCCGCCCCAGGGTCACCTTTCAACTTCTCCACAAACCCACCGAGGAGGTACTTGTTTGTCGGAGCAGTAGTGAGGAGATTAAGAGCTGCCGGCGGGAATGCAATGTGAACACCAAGACGATTCTTCAGATGGTCGACAAGCTTGTCGAAGTCTCGCTGTGCAATGGACGAATGATAAAGCGTCTGCAGCCAGCAGCTGCCACTGACACCAGCTGTGTAGGTAATACAGTCCCACAGCCCTGCTTCCTGTGCTGCCAAGTACGATCCGGTGCCTGCAACTAGAGCACGCAGACCACCTCCCGAGCCACACATCGCAATGACCGGTACATCGTCGGGGTGGATGTCCTCCTCAGGTATGTTGAGGTAGGACGACAATGCTTTTACAACCTTACGTTGCCTTTGCTGTCTAAATTCCTGCTCTTCATCGCATAGATCCCCACTTACGCGTACCTCGGCGTCGCGCAGAATCTCAGGGTGGATATCGGGGTCCCGTGCCTCCTTCCAGATATCGTCTGCTAATGAGCCAGGCGAGAGGGAGAGCTCGCGCTGGAGTTTTTGGACAGTAGCTGGTAGAAATCGTGTCCAGTCCGGGATGATGTAGTCTTTGATGCTACCCACATCTGCCCACTCGCCGGAGCCAACAGTTTGCTTGACCTCATCGAGCTTGTGGCCGATGTTGCTCCAGATAGACCCATCGTGCTTGCGCTCCTCACCAAGTCCATCTGAGCCCGCATTGGACTTGCTAGACTCCAAATCTTTGTATCGTGTCCGAGACGTACTGTATGGAGCTCTTGATTGTCTGTGTTGAGACCATTCCCCCGCAGTGTATGCAGCTAGGGCAGCGGGGGGCACCGTCCATAGACGAGGCACCCTTGCAGCGCCCATTGTAGACAGGGAGCTTAGGGGCAAAGTAAGAGGCCTGCGGCATCCAGTGGGATCCATTGAAGGATTCCCCAAACCCTTCCTGCCTTTTCTTGCAAGCCACCCGTTAGCAGCCCCCGGTGCATGACGTCATCTACTCACGTGATTTAATAGCACGTGACAAGGCCGGATTTGGGCCGCTGGCTACTTTCGGACTAGCGTGGCGGAGCTCCTTATCACTGGATGGAGCTCGGAGGGGACAATCAATCCATTGCATTTGCCCGCGAAGGACATGAGGGGTCCTGGTGACATGTGATATGGTCTCTCTAGATTGATTTTGCCTGAACTGTATTCCACAATTAATCATGGTGGCACCAAGGAATACCGCCTACGCCGAGGAAAGCGCGGAGGTCGAAGTCCTGTATGCGAACCTCGAGAAGCTCAACCGACTCACGAAGAAAATACAAGGTTCCATGGTACGCCTGGAGACAGGAGGGAAAGTTGTCAAAGAAGCCATTGGTCCCATCTATAGCAACACCCAATCTCTTCAAATCACCAACAGCAATATCGACAAGGTCAACGATGCCATCGACCGCCTGCGCCAACCTCTCGATGCGAAGAACCGAGAAGATGGCATCATTCGCGCAGGGTATGTGCTTATCTACTATCTTTGGACACACGACCCCGAGTCTTTTGCTGACCGTTCTCCAGACCACAGAGCTCCGGTCTCACACAGTACCTGTCGGCGATGAAACGTGTTGAAAAGGCGCTGGTCGACCTCAACACAACAAATCTGCGATCAAACCAGAATGCGATTGCCGACTTCAACTCTCTTCTGAACACCGGAAGCGCAAAACTTCAAGAACTGCTACGAGGAGAACTGAGCCAGCATGCCACTCCGGTTGAACCCCTACATTATCTGACCAAGGGTATGCGTATGACGGCCAAACGACCTAGATCGAAAACTAATGTGGGCGCTTCTAGATCTCCCCTTTCCATCCATACCCGAAGAAACTATCTCCCATATGGCGCCCTTGTGTTCGGCGGTCGGCTCTGCGTCCATTCATGGCTCTCAGCGCGGCAAGGGGGATAACCCCGCGCTGAAGGTGTATGCGGAAGTGAGAGGACCGTACATCGCATCTAGCTTGCAGAATCTCGCCATTGCATCCCTCAATACTGTCAAACGACGACCCACCGATGGCCCTTACAAGCAGGGTACCAATGGAATTGGTATCTACTCCAATGCGCTGGAAGCCTTCATAACTACCGAGCACAGTATCATCGTGCAGATGTTCACTGGAGATCAGCAAGGCCTGGCGTTGCAGGCTACCTTCTTCCCAGCTATGGGCGAATACTCCAAAACACTACGTGAGCTCAATCAGTATATAAAGGCCAATCTAATGACGGACTGCTTCTTGGCTTTTGAGATCATCGAGATTGTGACTGCCATGTCCTATCGGATTGACTCCAAGGCCGCGGAACTGAAGAGTCTCTTGATCGAGGCTCTTCGGCCTGTGCGCGAGACTGCAAAGTCTTCTCTTTCCGAATTGATTGAGGAAACGAAGCGCAAAGCTGCCGCGGCGCCACTCCCACCGGACGGCGGATCGGTGCCTCTCGTGGAGGAAGTGATGAGCTCGTTGGCCACACTGACAGGATACTCTGGTCCTTTGGCTTCTATCCTGACATCTTTGGGAGATGGAAACTGGCGTGCCAAGTCCAACACCACCGGCTCGGCTCCTCTAGATGTAGGCCCAGACAGCGGCACACTCCTGTCGCATTTCATTCTAGATATGATCGAGGCTTTAATGACCTCCCTGGAAGCTCGAGGGCGGGCTTTCCATCGATCCAAGGCAGCGCTTGGTGTGTTCTTGTCCAACGTGTTCTGCGTGGTCGACCGGTCGATCCGACAGAGCCCAGAGCTGGCACGTTATTTGGGCACCCCAGACAGTATCGCCCGGATCGACACTTTCCGCAAGCGCGCGACGTCTACCTATCTGGATGCATGGAAGGAAACATCCCAGTACCTTCTTGATGTGCAGTATACCTCCCGTGGGGCACAACGCAATTCCAGCGGCAACGTGGATTCAAGTGCCATCGTCAAGTCCCTGTCGTCCAAGGATAAAGATGCGATTAAGGACAAGTTCAAAGCATTCAACGCGAGCTTCGATGATATGGTGTCTCGACACAAAACCCTCCACATGGAGCGCGAGGTGCGCACTGCGTTGACGCGTGAGCTGCAGACTGTTCTCGAGCCCCTGTATGCGCGCTTTTATGATCGATATGTGGAGATCGACAAAGGCCGTGGCAAATACATCAAGTACGATAAGGCAAGCCTATCGGTACAGCTGGCGCAGTTGGCTTGATTTTCCTGGGCGAAGGTTGAAATCACACAGGATCATCATTTATACGAGCTAATATCATAATGTATTCCAATCACCAAATCTGCTTTCCCTACTGGTGGATCATCACCATTGAAATAATGTATGGGGTCATGTGACAAGTAGATCATCTCCGATAACGTGACTGATAAGCCCCGCTAAAATCGGGCTGCAGCAAAATTCCTTGCTCGCACATTGCCTTGTCCCTGTCTTATCCTCCGTCCCGTTGCTCAATTCTTCGTTTGAGTGTCCAGACTATCACCGACACCATGTCCGGAAGCAACGATGTCTACCAGACTCCCCTCAACTCGCGCTATGCGAGTAAGTCAGTCCCAATTGCCCCTCTTATAGAGGGGCAAACCCGGAAATTGTATAGATCGGGATTAACCATATTCAATTGATCAGGCAATGAGATGAAGTACCTCTTCTCGCCCCGGAAGCGCTTCTCCACATGGAGACAGCTTTGGACCTGGCTCGCGGAGGCTCAAAAAGGTACGGGAGACTCGAGCCTCGACCGAGATCGGAGGTAGTTGAAGCAAGACATCCAAATTGACTGAATCATGGCTACAGAGCTTGGACTTCCTATCAGCGCCGAAGCCATCGAGCAGATGAAGGCCCACCAGGTTATCCAGGATGACGAGTTCGCCGTTGCCGCCGAGGAGGAGAAGCGCCGGAGACACGATGTCATGGCCCACGTCCACGCCTTTGGTCTCAGTTGCCCCCGCCGCTGCCGGTATCATCCACTGGGGTGCCACCTCATGCTACTGCACCGACAACGCCGATCTGATCCTGCTCCGTGACGGTCTCGACCTCCTCATCCCCAAGCTGGCTGTTGTCGTCGACAAGCTGTCCCAGTTCGCTCAGAAGTACAAGGACCTTCCTTGTCTGGGCTTCACTCACGGTCAGCCCGCCCAGCTGGTGACCGTTGGCAAGCGTGCTTGTCTCTGGATCCAGGATCTGCTGATGGATCTGCGCAACCTCGAGCGTGCCCGTGATGACCTGCGCTTCCGTGGTGTCAAGGGTACCACCGGTACTCAAGCGTCTTTCCTGCAGATCTTCAACGGTGACCACGCCAAGGTCGAGAGCCTGGATGAGCTTGTTACCGAGAAGGCCGGCTTCAGCTCCGCTTTCATCATCTCCAGCCAGACATACTCGCGTAAGATCGATGTTGATGTCGGCAACGCTCTTGGTTCTTTCGGTGCTACCTGCGAGCGCATTGGCATTGACATCCGTCACCTTGCCATGCTCAAGGAGGTTGAGGAGCCTTTCGAGAAGGACCAGATTGGCAGCAGTGCCATGGTTAGTTTCTCTGTCGTGTCATGGGACTTTTTTGGCTGATAATCCGTAGGCCTACAAGCGCAACCCCATGCGCTCTGAGCGTCTGTGCTCGCTCGGACGTCACCTGCAGAACCTCCCCAAGGACGGCTTGGACACCTACTCCGCTCAGTGGTTCGAGCGATCTCTCGTGAGTATACCCCGGGTTTAATTTAGTATCTTGTATTAACTTGTACTAGGACGACAGTGCCATTCGCCGTATCAGCATCCCGGAGCTTTACCTGACTGCTGACGCCTGTCTCATCCTCCTGAGTGAGTTTCTAGAGTCATCAAAAACTTGGATTATAGCTAACCACAGCTAGACAACGTCTCCTCTGGCTTCGTCGTGTACCCCGAGGTCATCAAGCGCCACGTCAACGACGAGCTTCCCTTCATGGCCACGTGAGTACATATCCAACCGATCTAATGGATATAGCTAACAGCATATCTCAGCGAGAACATCATCATGGCCTGTGTCGCCAAGGGTCTCTCCCGCCAGGACGCCCACGAGGAGATCCGTAAGTTTCTGTCCCCTCATCACTTCCCATCCGAGCCGGAATTCTAACGTACCCAGGTGTCCTCTCCCACCAAGCCGCCGACAACGTCAAGAAGCAGGGCAAGGACAACGACCTGATCGAGCGCATCCGCCGCACCGCCTTCTTCAACCCCATCATCCCGCAGCTGGACACCCTTCTGGATGCCAGCACTTTCGTCGGCCGTGCTCCTCAGCAGGTCGAGAAGTTCACCAGCACGGAGGTGGCCGCCGCCATCAAGCCCTACGCGAGCACCATTGCCAAGGGCGAGACGTCTGCCCTGTACGTTTAAGGTACCTTAGTACACATCCGTATTCTGTGGATCTGTTAGAATGTGAAAAGTTATATAAAAAGATGGAGATGGGAGATATGGGATTTCCTATAGACGAAAGCGAAGGGAATCATTGTGTATACAAATTGAATGCGAGTCATTACGTTCCACTTGTGGATATCCCCTTGAGGAAAATTTCCCACCCCACTTCCCTGCTTCCCCGATGCCCCGCGCTGCAAATCTTCGAGGGGTTTAGATAGGAGGGGTCAATTTGTGTCATGAGTCTAGAGTGATAAGTGAAAACAAGATTCTAGAAAGAGAAGATGAAGATATTCAACGCTTTTGCTGTATTAAAGAACCGACAATTGAACCGCCCATGAATAAGAGAGAAGATGGAAATGTTCAGGCTATCAGCCTGCATGGTAATCATGACTATATGCAATAGAACGCTGTTGACATGCAATCGTAACGAAAGTAATGCAAAAGGAATAAAGGAAAAGGAAAGCTGTTCGGGTCAATTGAGTGCCGAACAACAGATATAGCCCGTGAAGAAGAAGTCAAGCCATTGAGAAGGAAGAGCCAAGTCGAATCCACCCAACACAATGACATAGCAGAATATATCCATCGGGAAATGCCCGAGTCACTGCCAGTGAACCGGAGAATCTCCGGAGCCTCCAAGCGTACAGCAACAAATCAAGCCAGCCGTGTGGATGTATCCTCCTCGGCGCAATCCTCCCACGGGGCGCCAAAAAAAAAAAAGGAGCCCCCCCCCAAGCGCAATGCATCTCTGCCCAAGACTTCTGACGTCTCAGACCCGAATATCCACAGAATCCCAAAAAAAAAAAGTCGACTTTGTCGCGCAAAAGCCCGCAATGGGCAAACCCCCCCACTCCGGGAAAAAGAAAACACCCAATCCAAGACGAAAATGTTCCCCACACAGCGCCTTTAATTTTGTTCGGGTTGAGCAGGAGGGGCTTCGGATTCGGGGGGTAGAAAGAGGTCGCGGACTAGCCAGACGATATAGAGGACGGCCAGCACCCACAGGGTGGCCATGAGCTTGTATGTGGAGGAGCGCCATGTGACGCGACGGATGAGACGACGGCCATTGGGGCCTTCAATGGGGCCTCGACGAGGTAAGCCGTTTAATTGACCGTTGGATTGACCGTTGGACTGCATGTAGGGATAGGCGAGGGATTCGTTCATCTCGCTGTGGGATATTCGACGGCGAGACATTTGTGTGGATTCCGGAGGGTATATGTTATCTTGCTCGGAGGACGGGGGATTCTCCCTATGTATATGCCGGGAGAGGGTTAAATATAATAGTCACCGATGCAGGGTTGTCAAGGAATTGGAGAGATGGAGAATTTGAAGATTTGACGATTTGGAGATTTGGAGGTTTTTTAGGGCAGCATTGATTTCTTTTCTTTTTTTTCTTCCCCTCTTCAGGGAGATATTTTTTGGCCAACGCACACAAAACAGGAGGAGGGGCCAAACAATAGCCAGTCAGAGACAATAATTGCTAGACAACAGCAAGAGCTCGAAAAGGGAATCCTGAGTCTCCAGAAAGCGGATCTGTTGGACGGGCGAATGGGTAGCGGTGGGAACGTGGCCCGTTGCATCATCTTATGACTTTTCTCTCTCTTTTTCTTTCTCTAATATAAAAAAGATATAGATGATTTTTCAAGTGAGTCCAATTAAGAATAAAGAGTGCGCCAGGAAATGCAAGATAGCCGCGGTGCTCGACAAGTGTCATTTTCTTAGCGATGGCCATTGCAAGGCTAAAAAAAGGGGGGGGAGGGCAATAGGTGGCAATGGAGGGGAATTAACAAAAGTACGAAAACGTTAGATTGTGCATGCACGGTCATATAAACTGAGTCATATTGCGTATAGCGCTGGAATGGTTCATATTGTTATATCTGATCTACAAATTGAAGGTATATATAATCTATAGATATATCGAGTTATTTGAGAGGGAAATCAAACATAGATTGTTATATTGACATTATATATTATAGACTACTGAGACATCTCAGTTATAGAGCTAGTGCACTATGTTATACATATGATTATAGCCTATACTATCCCATTGTTCTCATTCTACCTAGGGAGGTACTAGGGAGGTACTAGGGCTCCTTGCATGACGATGACTCATCAGTTTTATCAGTTAAGGTTGAGTTCTGCAGGACTGGATAACTATATACTTCAATTCTATTCAAATGGGGATTTACTGTCAGACCCCTGGATAAGGTTGCAGTAGTTTAGAATGAACTAGAAAGAACAAAGAAGATGTTATAATTCATTTCACATGTATATCATTTATATCATCCCCCAACATTTTGATATCTGACATGTGAGTCATGACGGCCTGAGGCCACAACATTATGTCATAGGACCTTGGAAGTTCACGGGTGAACGGACTTTTGAGATCAGTCCCTTGGGGCGTTAATATAACACTCTTGATACATAGAAGAAAAGAACAAGAAAAAAAGAATCGACTATAAATAATATACACAATAAGGTAAATCATAAGTTGCTTATTTCCTGTCGTGTGATCTTCCTCCGGTCCCCGGAGAGCGCAAGCGGAGAAAACCCGGGGACCGCTCGACCTCGGCAGTGAAAACGTTCCGATGACTCGCATCTCTCTTCCTCCTTAACACTTCTCTCCAGGTATAAACACTTCCTACACACATCTGTTACAAGGCCATTCGGCCAATATACCCCACAATGTGGAAGCCTTCGGAGAGGCTGATGGAAACCATCAGACATTATGCCAGCTTCCCCGCAACCGGTGTCTCGCTGAGGCAGATGGTCCAATTTGGTGACCGTCCTTCAACAGGTACGAACTATGAACTGATCTAACACTATATCCAGTCAAACATCTAACTCTCACTAGGTACCCTATTCCGCGCCTCTCAATTTCTCTCCGAGGAACTCCCGATTCGTCTCGCACATCGCGTGCAGGATCTGGGAGAACTACCAGATGGACTCAGTGAGATGCCATCGATCAAAAGAGTTCAGGACTGGTATGCGCAGTCATTCGAGGTATGTGGCTCACCCATTGACAATTGATCCTGTATCCATTTAACTGACCCGAATGCCAGGAAATCATTACCCTTCCTCGCCCCACCCTGACTCAAGAAGTGAAAGCACGCCTGTTACGACCAGGCCGGATGAACGGCGGCCCTTCAAAAATCCTCTCTGAAACAACCCAGAACCCCAGCGTGCGTGAAGGACAGTACCGGTCATCTGTGACCGCAGCCAATGGAAATGGCGTTGCAAAAGCGCACGCCGCCGCAGGCCGACGGTACTTTTTCCCCGCGGACGACCGCGGAGACTGGCCCCCGGAACTCAACGACTACAACCAACGATTCGCCAAGACCCTCCAACAGATCAAGCGCCGCCACGACGGAGTTGTGACCACAGTGGCGCAAGGCATCCTGGAATGGAAACGTGCGCGGCAGCGCATGCAGATTGACTCCACGATTCAGTCCTTCCTCGATCGGTTTTACATGTCAAGAATTGGTATACGAATGCTTATCGGTCAACACATCGCACTCACGGAACAAACGCACGTCAAACACCCTAACTATGTTGGAATAATTTGTACCAAGACCAACGTTCGTGACATCGCGCTCGAGGCTATTGAAAATGCCCGCTTCGTCTGCGAGGACTACTACGGTCTTTTCGAGGCGCCCAAGGTGCAGCTGGTCTGCAAGGAGGACTTGAACTTCATGTATGTTCCCGGACACCTATCGCACATGCTCTTCGAGACCCTCAAGAACTCGCTTCGGGCGGTCGTCGAACAACATGGTGCCGATAAGGATGATTTCCCCGTGACCAAGGTAATAGTTGCGGAAGGCAAAGAGGACATTACGATCAAGGTCTCCGACGAGGGCGGTGGTATCCCCCGGTCGTCGATTCCTCTTGTATGGACCTACATGTACACGACAGTGGAGCAAACGCCCAACCTAGACCCTGATTTCGACAAGAACGACTTTAAAGCACCAATGGCTGGATTTGGATATGGTCTGCCAATTAGTCGACTGTACGCACGGTACTTTGGCGGTGATTTGAAGTTGATCAGTATGGAGGGGTATGTTTTTCTCTTTTTTTTCTTTTTTTTCCTCTCTGCTTTCACTATCTTTTACGAACCCTTGCTAATTGATTCCCGCAGCTATGGGACGGACGTCTACCTCCATCTCAATCGCCTCTCTTCAAGCTCGGAGCCTTTGCAATGACAATCACCCGTCATGAGAGACGGTCGGATCCGGATCACCACTTCGCACCGCCTGCACCACCCCATTTACAATGACCCGGAAAGCAAACCGCCGTCTCGAGGACTGACTCTGATGAATGCGCAGGCCCACTACGCTCGCATGCTCAGCCGAGAGGTCTCGGAGCGTAAGCAAGTTGGAGACATGGAAAGTCTGTTCCACTCGGAGCAGCGGAGGAGAGAGGAGAAAGAGATGTAAGACATGCCTGTGTCTTGCTTGGCTTAGCCTTGGTTTTGGTCTGGGCTTCTACAGTCTGTCTGATTGGTTTCTCTTACCTCTCTCACTTTGTCTCTTGCTTGTTCAACCCTTTCCCCCGATTTGGATGGCTGCTGCATCTGTGATCAGCTGTTCCACCAAGAATGTGAAGATGAGTTCGCAAGTCGGACTGCAGTGCCACCGCGTTGCCAGGGTCTCTCGGGTAATATCCCAGGGATGGACAGAGGGAAGAGAACACAAAAACAACCCACCAGAGAAGCTATGCTCTTTTCTGGATCCTCTCGATGATACCCCGTTCCTCTTTCTTTTTGACCTCTTCGTCTCCCTCTCTGGGCTGGTGGCCCTGTCGTCGATTTGGCTTCTCTGTATAGTACTTTCCCTTTGATCTGTTTTAGCGAATATAAATACTCTAGTATCATGTCTGTCTTTAGTAGTAGATAGCCTGTAGTCGAGTATCCGCCACAATAAGCTTCAATATTTCAGCTAGCCCTGTAAGACAAACAATGCAAGAAACAGCACGCTAAAAGCACCTCGCATCAATTCGTAACTCGTGACTCATAGATCCTCATCTTCATCCTCATCCACCCTCCGACCCCGACCTTGACCCAAACCCCTCCCAACCAACGAAGCCCCTCCTCCTTCCCCAGCACCCAACCCAACACCCCCAGAAACCCTCGGCGAATTCGCACCAGAACAAGACCTAGAACCCGAAACAGAGCGCGAACCACCACCCCTAGCCTTCTTAGCATCCATCGCCCTCAAATGCGCCGGCTTATGCCAGTTGTGATCATTAATATCCCCAATAACCTCCCGGTACCGACCACGAATAAGCGACCCTTCCCCGCCCTTCCCATCAGGCGCAATATAGAACCGCGGGTCGTACAATTCTTCTGCTTTTGCTGGGTCGTTGGGCGCGAGATATTTTGCCAGGAAGCGTCGGCGGGTTTGGGGGATTGTCTTTGTGGTGTTAGTTTGGTTTAATTGTAATTGTAACGTGGTTTGGAGTGGCCACTAGAGTATGAGATGGGGATGGAGCTTGATTCAAAGGAATCACAGGTCAGGCCAGGACAGATCAAGGTAGTAACGTACTTCTCGTGAGGCAAGCGCATATGTAACTAATAACTCACTGTCCATGAGGACGGCTAGTGCGGCGTGTTTTTCGTCGCGGAGATGCGAGCGCGTGCGCGCATCTTTTTCAAAGGCAGTTTGGGGTTCTGTGTCGTCTTGGCCGGCGCCGTTGTATGATGTTGTGAGGGGGGTTTTGGGCGCGGCCAGTGAATCTTCCTTTTTGGGGCATTAGTTTGCAGATTAAGCTGTGGTTATATTGAGTAGATTTAGTGTTGAGGTGGAGTGAGTGATGTAGTTGTGCACAGAAGGATTCATATGGTTCCGTGGAGATAGAGATGGTGGAAGGTGGGGAGTTGAACTTGACAAGGGGAGGACAGTACATACTTGTGTCTGGTTCATTTGACGTGTCTCCGTTCACGTCCCAATCATCATCTGATCCAGGGCGCGGCATGGGTATACCATCGACGTTAAGTCCGTCACCTTCACTGCTGTCGAACATTGGTATACCGTCGACGCGGTCTAGGTCGTCGAGTTGCATGCCGCCATCAGATTCAGATTCAGACTCCGTGTCTGAGATGAGGTTTATGGGTTGGCGGGACATATTGGAAATATTGAGATGAGATGTAAGTCAACGGCAAGTGAAAAGCAGACCGAGACGGGGTCTTTGAGTTGATGTGATTGGTGTAGAGTCAGAAGTTATAGCGAGGCACAACCAATGACTGGTAAGGACGGAAGTGATAAAACGGCTCTGGGGTAGACTTGGCTTCACGTCTAGTATTCACAGAGAATTTCATGTACTATGTCTTATTGTATGACCCCAGGATTGATCTATAGCCAGTGTCAGTGGGTGAGAAAGAGATATTGGCGGTAAGTGCACGAGAGACTGGCCATCTCCGGGAGAGGGTTGGCCAGGGGATATATTTTACCTCAATAAGGAGGTTCATACATACGTGTTCACGGCACTCCAGATAGAAGTCGAGATATCGACGATCCAAGGTGTTGACGAGATAACCTCATGCCCTCTTGGCGTGGGTCCCCGTACTGTAGCCAGATCAAGCAGGCGGTGAGGTGTCACGATGGCAATTTGGTCAACCAGCTGTTGTTGAACCCCCTAATTAGGCTTAGTGGATATCAAGTATACTTAAGACCTGAATACTGTTGGAGACCGCATCCTTTCAGGATAGTGTCGCCGACAAAATATTATATCTACTCTACTAATAAATGATGAAGGTACCGAATAGTTCTATTGAATCAATGATGAATGGCGAAAATAAGTATAATATGATGCCAAGACCCAACAACGCCAGAAAACAATGCCGCTAAAACGACTGACAGTTTAGGATAGAAAGACCAAAAGAGAATGATAGGGTCTAATTAGCCGGACAGTCATGCATGTATGAATTTTTAGGCCAACGGTACCCAGCCTCGTCCCTGAAAGTTCAATTGTTAGTAAAGCGCAGACACGACAAAGCCAGCGATATCAACATACCAGGTCGTAAAGTTCGCATTATCGTATGCCTTGCGATGTTTCTCAATATACTCAGTCGTCTCATAACCCGGTGGGTCACAAGTAACGCTCTCATCATCGGGGTCCTGGTAGATCCGAACGTAGTCGAAGCGCAGGATAGCAGGCATATAATCGATGATGCTCTTATTCTGCGGCGCGAAGTTGTCCGCCATACCCATATTCATAATCAGCGCCATGGGCTCGAGTGGGATCATGCGTTGCCCGACATTGCCATTGGGCCCGATGGCGCGGGCATCCAGTGTCCAGGTCTTTTCAGCGCCGACGAACCAGGTCACATCGCCTTCTGCGCCGGGTGTGTACTCGAAGGAGTAGGTTTGGTATTCAGTGCCGTTGTACCAGCGGTGGTTTAGGTTGGTTAGGCTCGATATGGCCTGTTGGTAGACACCGCCTCGGTAGGAGTTGAGTTCGGTGACGCGTGGATCGTAAACGGCGGCGAAGTCTGGTATTGCTATGGTTAGTGGATATCTTGAATAGTAAAGATATCGAAAAAAAAAACTCACCATAGTCAGGCAAGTACCACAGGTCGAATGGTGCAGTCTGCAAACTCTGCGATGCACTACCAACGTAGGGACCACTGTCGCCATACAGTGGAGCAGTGCTACCTTCAATCACATCGATTTCAGGAGCACTGCGTGCAGTACCAGGAGTCGGGTGATCAGAGCCAGGACAGGCACATCCAGGCAGCCGCATACCGGGCAGCCAGTTGATACCGTCAAGAGAACTCTGGTTTGGAGTGATGCCTGCATCGCAGCCATCATGGTAGCTATATGGCCACATCCCATCGGTGGTAGCAGCATAGCCAGGACGAGCCAAGTTACCCATTGCCCAGAAACCAGGCCAGAACCCTTCGATGTGTCCATCACCTGGAAGGGACATGCTAGCTTCCAGACGGCCCCCCTTGAAGCAAAGCTTGTTCCAGCTTTGTACCATCCCGGATCGGTAGTCAAGACCGTGGTTCTCAAAGTGATCGAATCGAAGCTGGAGAGTGCCTTCTGCCGTGGTTACTGCGTCGGGGTCATACCACTAAGCAGTGTCAGCGTTTGCCCGGTGATTTCTGATACGGTATATACTAACCTCTTTGTCCTGTGTTACTCCATACCAGATATCGACTGCTTGGAAGAACGGGTCATCGTCCTCGAAGAACGTTCGACCGGGCATATTAAACTCATCGGAGAACTGCAATGGAATGTCAGCCACTTGTCGTTGTTAGGAACTCATTAAACAACTCACCACTAGCTTCATCTCCTTTCCATTGGCGCTTTTCTTGGTGAGCGCCTCTTTCGGTGTGTCTGGGTCAATCAGACCCATGCGCAGGTTTTGCAACAATGGCCGCTCCCCAACGTCCAAACACAACGTGTCTGCAGGGTGGCATACACCATCATGATGTCTCGACATGCTCACCAACCAAGTTCTGCGATTATTGGTTAGCCAGGGGGAGAGACAGTTAAAACAGCCAACTTCTTACATGAGCGGGTAACCAATGAAAAGCACTAGGAGACCTAGTGTGAAAATTGCCAGGCCACCGACATTCACAATACCCCGTCGATTCCAGATATCACAATCCCGATCCTTGTCCGCCGGGTCCGGGTTATGCAAGTAGTCGTCCTTCTCCACATCCTCAGGGAACAACAACAACCCGTCAGTGGGCATGATATTGAACTTTCCCGACACAGTCTGTGTGTTGACATCATACTCCTCACTACCAGCGTGCGAAGGTGCCCTCGAATCCTGGAACGGATCCAAGGGGAAAGTGCTCTCATGACTGATGGAGCTGATACTCGAGCGAGCCGCAGACCACCGGTCCGGGGACAAGGGGCGATAAGTCTGGCTCGTACCTTGTCCCTGTGTAGGCCTCAACTTTGGAGGCAACAGAAATTCCGAGGATTCGGGGACATTTGATGCGCCGTATGGTGATATCGCTTGAGCGCCTACTGCCATGGGCACTTCGGGGCCTTGTGGTGTCAAGGGCCGGGGAAAGGTCCGTGATGTGAGAGGCGCGTAGCCCTCATTTGTCTGAAGGAAAGGATCCTGTCGCCCCGAGTTGAGTCGGATGTGAGGCGTCACCTTCCCCTCCGAGGAATCAGAGCCGTGGTCCGACATATTATTGTTGGTCTTCAAGTTCCTGAGAGAAGTCCGACACGCTCCTTTGCTCTGCAATAGTGAGAGCTTGCTCTCTACCTTCGATTGCTGCCGTGAGGACAACTCTTTTGCATCAGTCGTTGGTGGAATCCGCGGGGCAGGTTGGTATGACGATGTAACGTTCTGCTTCTTTCTTTCTTCCGGTTCGCCAGGCGGCGATTTCGCTCTATATCTTAACGGTAAAGACTGGAGACCTAAGTCGGTTTTCTGCACAGTCGGGGAGTGCTATGTTTTAGTGAAAGGACAGGCGCGGCAGGTCGGACAGCATCGAATCTCCCTCGGCGACACGGTAAAAGAGACAGAGTCTAAACGGAGAAAGAAGGCCAAAAACCACAGAAGAAAAGAAGAGCCTAGATGGTCCGAGGGGTCTTGTTTGGATTCACGAGGAGACAGGAATGACAGAGACCCAAGGGGGCAACCAGTGGTATGCCTATGCCGTTCTCACGCCGAGCCTTCTGGATGGAGTGTGGATGATAGTAGAGCACAGTTTCAGACTAGGCTCAATGTCCCAAAGTCATATACCATATATCTTTGACTGTCTGGTTCGATTAGTTGAAGTAGACCGTTGGTGGTTTTGAAGCTCCATCCTGGCTCTCACGCCCTGGGCAGGGCTATTCTAGGGCGCGGCATTCCCGTTGCTCCCCAGGGCCCCGAGGAATGGCCCGGCATGAATGCTGGCTGGAATTCGGGGATCGCCATGATCATGAACCTGGAGAGATCCAGATGCAGTAATGATAGCAATTAAAAGTCGCTCCGTATACATAGATGTACGGGGGGTTGTTGACGCGAAGGGCACACCAGCGGAGAAAGAGACATGAGTCGAGAGCACTTCTATTCTATTAGTGCAATATGCGACATAGATACATGTGCATGTAATATCTTTAAACACACGCGGCTGCGAAAATAATTACCAGATCTATTCCTTTCAAGGCTAATTAACCAATTCAACCTGTTTTGCACAGCCATTGACACGCGTCCTGCCAATCCCCAACCCTCCCTCAGCTTAAGAATGCAACAAATCCCGAACAAGTCAGGACCATCTTGCACTAAGGGCAAGGCAGGATGAAGACCCCGTTTATATGTTTATCCATTCCACGCCAATACTGTCGATATCGAAGAATAAGGCAGTGAGGAACGCGTAGCGATATACTTCGATATTTTCTGATAGACTATCAATATTGTATGTCGGTGGAATAAACAGCTACACACCGAAAAAAAACGAAATGCAAATTATGTCCTACACTATTCCCAAGACCTCCCCATTATGGATACAGACAACCCGAACACCTACGACTCAACAGCCTTGGCGCGCAGTCCGACGAGACAGTTTTCAGGCGCATCTAGTGCCAAAACCCAGTACTCGATCTTGGTACTAGTTTGTTCAACGCGGTAGACCTTCAGCTCAACAGCAGACTGATCGACACCAGAATCCTTCTCAACAGCCGCGGCGCGGACCGCATCCAGGGCGGCGGAGTATTGGTTCTTCGGGTCGAAGGAGGAGGGGGATAGAATGGAGATGGACTGGGACAGGTCGGTATCTGGGGAGATCAGGGAGGAGAGCTGGTCTGTGGTGAGGGAGGTGGGGCGTTAGCAGGGCCATTCTAGGATATTTTATCTTGGGGACTTCAAGGGAGCAAGCCCATGAAGGAGGATGTGGAATATGAAGGAAACTAGGAAATAGAAATGGAAACAGAACAGGAGCAGGGACATACCAGCACTTGGCCACGCTCCCTTGGCTGCTCCATCCCACTTCAATGCCACAGGCTCGAAGGGCTCGTCTGTATCGGAGATGTAGTATGCGTCGACAGACTGCAGCGGCTTTGGGACTGACAGGGAGCTGTGCACGGTCTCGGTTTTGACGGTGCCGGCCCCTTGCTGCGGGGCGCTGCCGCTCACATCTGCGTTGGCTTTGTCCAGGAAGGACATGTAGGCATCGTCGGAGGACATGGTTCGTGCTGATGTTGAGAAGGGGGACTTGGGGAGGGAAGAGCTGGTTTGTGGTTGCGGTGTTGAGGTTGCGGGGAAGAGGCGGGTTTGACGCTCTGTAGTTTGGGTGTAGGTTCTTGGGCTCGTTTGGTGATGTAGACGACGATTTAGAAGACGGTATTGAGGTTGAGGATGTTCGATTTGAATGTTTGATCGTAGAGTGTAGGACGCGATTGGCAAAGCCCGTTTTCTTGCTGAAGCTGGCAGGGAAAAGTGTGGGATGACGCAATGGATTTTGGATTGGCGCATTTTGTTCACCACCAGCCTGCCCAGGTGTCAGATTGGGATTTGGTATATTTGAACGATTGAAGAGATTGATGGGTTTTTCGAGAATGTAATTAAGACATGAGGAACGAGGAGGGACTTTTTTTTCTTAGAAAGGTAGCTCAACATTTCGGGTACATTTAGACATCCGAACCAGATATATATGTATCGATATCGAATGATTGGAGATATATTCGGTGATTTAAAAAACGATTTGAGAAACGGATATAAATCGTAGTAGAAGATGCTGCCCCATACACCTGGAACACCTGGGCATACTTATACATTTACAGTATACAGCTACAAGCAAATCGTGAAGGATATTCGCTTTTTTATTGAGTATGAAACGTTGCACTATCACCAACCATAGGCTTAAACATCTTAAACAGTCTCCACAAGGTCCTTCTTGAGGGTACCCATGAAGGCCTTCTTCTCCTCGAAGGTCTGGAAAGCACCGTGACCGAACTTGGAGGAGGTATCGATCCACTTGAGCTCGACCTTCTCGGTGGCCCTGCGGGAAGTCTGGGGGTACAGAGTCTTGCGCAGAGTCATAACACGCTTCTTGACACCGGGAATGGAGCCCTTGACCATAACGAAGTCGTTCTTGACCTCACCGTAGTGGACGAAACCACCCATGCTAGAGAAACGTTAGAATTAAAAACACACACGGAGAAAATATCAAGGAGGAACATACGGGGTGATCTGCTTCTTGGAGATGTCGAACTCGGTGGAGGCGTTACCCTCATCAGTACCCTTTCCAATGCGGAAGACCTTGTGGTTGCAAGAGGTACGGTGGTGGTAACCGTCCTGACCGGCACGGGCAACAGTCCACTGGACGTGGTTAGGGTGCCAAGCACCAATACAGGCGACCTTGCGCAGACCCTTGTGAGTCTTGCGGGGCAGCTTGGTGGTACCCCAACGGGAGGTGACACCGGAGAAACCGTGACCCTTGGTGACGGCGATGACATCAATCATCTCGTCCTTCTCGAAGATGGAGTCGATATCAATGGTCTTCTCGAAGAGGTTGCGGGCGAAGTCGACCTTGTCAGCGACGGAGCCACCGTTGACCTGGATCTCCATAAGGTGGGCCTTCTTCTGCTTGATGGGGGTCTGGCGGATCTGGGTGTGGGCGAGCACACGGACGACAGTGCAGTACTTCTGGATGCGCTCAAGCTCGCGGGTGATGGAGGCACCGGAGCTCTCGGCGTGGGACTTGGCGTACTTGGTGAAGGCCTTCTTCTTGGACTTGTACCAGTTCTTGTAGAAGCGACGCTTGACCTCATCGCTCAGGTGCTCAGCCCAGACGGTGGTGAGAGAGCGGAGACCACGGGGAGTCTCGATGTAACCGACGACACCAACGGCAACGAGCTGAAAAGAAAAAATTGTTAGGGTCCTTGTCGCTTTTTCCCTTCTCCCTTCACTTCGCACACAACGGGGGAAACGTACAGGAGGAGTCTCGATGACGGTGACGGCCTCGACAATCTCCTTCTTGTGCATCTTGGCACCAGGACGGTCAAGGTCACGGACGACAGTGGTCATACCAGCCTTGTAGCCCATGGAGGCAGTAAGGTGGACGGGCTTCTTGGCATCATCCTTGGGGAAGCTGTCGCAAAAAAAGTCTCAGCACACAAATCCATAAATCTTCAACTTATTCAGAAGTACTGACCTCTTGACCTTACCACGGTGACGGGCAGCGCGCTTGCGCGGGAGGTAGGCAAGGGAGCCTGGAGATATATCAGTATACTGTTCACACACACAGGCCGTATTTCGAAATTTCGATATCGAGGAAAGGTGATCACGAACCGTGACGAGGCGCTTCGTACTTCCGGTGACTCCTGAAAAGCGAAAGCAGGTTAGCAATTGTACTCAATTGCGATTGTATATGAATCTTCAAATTGGGATAGACTCACATCTTGACCCTGTTATCGTTAGTCGTCGAGGTGGTGGGAGGACGATCTGGAAATGTCGAAGTTGATTTTGCACGCTTGGTGTGTGGGCTAACCTAAGCGAGACTCTTGGCGTCCATGAGCCTGAGGCACCCCACAATAATCCAAATTATCTAATCCAGCCCTGGTACCGTCACGTGCCTTCCAGACTTTCCGGGCCCTGAGGTATATTTTTTATGGGTCTTCATGCTGCCAAGGCAAACGGCCAGCAATATGGTTTGAGGAAATCCACATTGTGGGCTGGAATGAAACATACAGACCGAAATACAATACCTACTTTGTATATAGTATTACTCAGGACAGCCATACCACTTAATGAGATTAAGAAAGGAGAAGTCTTAAATTTACTCTACCAAATTCCAGAGTATCAAACAAATGATTTGCTTCAAGGATGCCTAATGCACCATAAAAATAAAATTCACAGTGAAAGGAGACTAAGAAATCATAAAAAGGAAGAGAACGAACAGACATGTCGAGTATTCAGCGCACGCGCTTGAAACTAGGTAGTCATCGTAACTCGCACATTCATACCGTACATCACACACTGAAAGATAGGAAGGACAGGGAGGAGCAAGGAAGCGAGAGATTTGGGATTTGTCAGATTTAATTTAACCAGATCACGCGTCTCTGGTCGTGGGAGGGGAAGGCTTTCATGCCGTTGGCTCAGCCTTGGATGGAGTACTGGCACGGGCATTTCCGGCACCATTAGTGGGGTTGCCAGCAGCGCTGCCGTTGGGGCTGCCCTTGGAAGCAGCAACAGCCTTCTTCTCTTCCTCAACTTCGTCGTCGTAGTCTTCATCGACATCCATCTTGCGTGCAGGGGGCTCGTGGGCAGGGGGAGCTTCGGGGCGAGGAGCTTCTTCCTTGACCGGGGTGTTGGCGGAAGGAGGTCCAGAGGGGGGAGCGTTGGATGCAGGTGCGGAGCCCTCCGCCATCGGGGGAAGACTGGGGCCAGCAGAAGGGCGGGGAGGCATGTCTTGGATCGAAGGCAGAGTAGGAGGGTGGTGAGCAGCCTCTGAGGGGTGGTAGTTCTCGTTGGCACGACGGGCGTCCTCGCGGCGGGCCTCTGAGGAGCTTCGTCGTTGCATCTCACCAGGAGAAGGCAAACGAGCAGGTGGGCTCGGGCGGCGGTTGGTCTGGTCATCCAGACGAGCGCGGCTCTCTTCATTTGCATGCTTCTTGACTGGACCAGCCTCAGCCTCCCATTCGCGGCCACGCTTCATTGCAGATGTGGGGCGATCCTCACGATCACGGGCGGCAGCCTCAGCGGCAGTAGCAGCCGAAGCAGGGGCCGGGGCACCGGAGGCGATGGAGTTACCGCCTGGAACTTGTGGGGGGGAGGGTAGGACCGGGGTGGAACTGTTGGAGAGGGTATCCGGAGCCTGGCGAAGACGGACGCTCATCGCGAATAGGGCGGATTTCAGGAGCAGGACTGAAAGGACGATTCTGGTAAGGAGGGGGAGGAGCACCACCGTTGGGCCCAGGAGGTCCAGGGGGACCAGGAGGAGCGACGGGAATACCAGTCGGCAGAGCACCACGTGGGGCACCGAAGGCATTGCCGCCACTAGGAGCGCGTTCATGGCTTGGACCAGGAGCATTTGCGATCTGGGGTAGGGTGTGATGCGGCGGGTAGGCGTTGGGATCACCCATCTTTGGCGATCGAGGCGCGCCACGGGGATCCGGGAACGCCCGACCAGGCTCCTGTCGAGGGCTCTGAGCAGGAGCACCGGGGATCCGAGCATCGCGCTGGTCAAGACCGTTGGATGGGGGAGCTTGGCTCTGCGACTGAAGCTCGTTGATACCACGGTTCCAGTCAGGGATCTGTCTCGGGGGAGCAGGAGCTTGTGGAGGGGGACCGATGGGGGCTGGGGCACCCCACTGAGGAGCCGGAGGCGCACCAACGCCAGGTGCCTGATAAGCCTGAGGATGAACATCCTGCGGCTGGGGCGCGGGGGCAGTGGGCGGCTGTTGTCCAGCCGTGCCAGCAGACAACTGACTTTGAAGAAGCTGCAGACGAGCCTTGATGTGAACATTGCTCGGATCAAGATCTGCGGCACGTCCGTAGGCGTCCAGGGCATCGGCGATCTGGTTGTTGCATGATTCGTACAGAGTGCCCAGGTCATACCAGACCTCGGAAATGTAAGGGTTCAAGCGGATCGCACGAGAGTAGGCATCGAGAGCGTCGCGATATTGGTTGATCTGGTAGTAAAGAACACCAATCGAGCACCAGAAGGTAGGATTGCGACCATCGCGATAGACCGCTTGCTGATAGGCTTCATATGCCTTGGGATATTTCGCCATGGACATGTAGCAACGACCGAGGAGATACCAGCTTTGAGCGTCATTGTTATCTATTAGGGAAAATTGATTAGTTTCGACATAAAAAAAAATGGGAATGGGCGATTGAAAGTCCACTTACCAGCATTGACAGACTTCTCCAAAAACTGGATGGCCTTCTCCTGGCTTTGGAAGGCGTTACTCTGCTGGTGGTAGAGCCATCCAAGCTGCTGAAGAACTTTGGCGTGGTTTGGATCTCTCTCAAGGACGCGCTGGTAGGCGGATTGGGCAGACTCGAACTGAGGGTTGCATGAGTATAAGGTAACAACAAAGAGCGGAGGGAAGCATGACGTACGTCTTTCTGTTGCTCGTGAACATGGCCAATCTGGAACCAGATGTCTTCTTCGGTCAGAGGGCGCGGGGGATCGCTAACAATGTATTTGAAGCACTAGAATGGATTAGCCACAGCTTTCAAGACCCACACCAAGAGATTTCACATACCTCCAAACTCTGGTTAAACTTCTGCTGCTGCTTGTATATGATTCCCAGGCGGAAGTAGATCTCATTGGCCTTCTCAAAATCGGGTGCCATGCGCATCACTTGCGAGAAAGCCTCTTCCGCATGATCCAGAGAACCATAGCGATCATACAAGATACCGATTCCATACCACAGCTTGGGTTCCTAATTGGGGGAATTGGAATTAGCAACTGATATTCGAGGGAAGATGCCAGGGAAAACGGCTTACCTTAGGGTCGCGCAAGTGGTAGAGGGCTTGTTGGTAAGAGGTGTATGCCTCTTGCAGATTATCCATCATGAGATGGCAGTGGCCCAAGCTGCCCCAAGTCTCTCCATTGCTCGGATCCAACTTCAGAATATTTTGCAAGTACTCAATCGCTTTTGGGAATTGTTCTTTTGTCCGGAGGATGCATGAAATGGCATTCATGGCTGAGATAGACCACTGATTGTGACGCAGGGCCTGCTCGTAGGCATTCATCGCACCTTCCAGGTCGCCCATCAATTCGGTCAAGCTTCCTACAAATGAGACTGTCAGCATTCGCCAATTTTAGCATATAACCTGTGATCCTTACCTATTTGAAGCCAGACTTGTTCATTGAGTGTGGCGATCTTCTGTGCGGTGGTGAGAGTAGGGACTCCCTTTTGACCTTGCACGGGAATTGCTGACATATGACCATTGGCCTGCGCCTGCGCCTGCGCATGCGCTGCGAGATGCGCTGCCGCATGGTGAGGAGCCACGCCCGCGGTGGGTGATGGTTGAGTATGAGACATGGTTCCCGAGAATCGTGAATATGGTTTGAGTTGAACCGTGTCGCGACCGAACTCTCGGATTAGGTTTGCGACACGATGATGCAATCCAAGTTTACACCCCGATTAGACACCGATCAAGTGTGCTCTTGTGATTTTGCACGTCAATCCTGAGGCGCAATTTCCGATCGACTGGACACGAAAGAGAAAGGGAAAAAAAGGGACGGGTCGCGAAAGAAGTAAAAGCCCCTCACGCGACACTATCCAGCAGTGAAGGGTGGCAGTTTTCCAAAATCGACTGGACCTTGGCGCTGTCCCTAAGATAAATGAGTGGCGCGAGATGGCAGTGACACGATCTCGGGGGGCAGCGGGTGAGGTCACAGCTATGTAGAGCTTGAGGCGCAAGGTTAGAAGAGAAAAAAATAAGATATTGAAGAAAAGGCAAAGATACAAGGCGATACAGTGGGGAAAGGGGAAGTCAGAATTGAAGATGATCTGAAAGCCTAAGGGGGGAAGAGAGAGGGAAGAGTCGAGGGGCTGGCAGGAAAGGTGAAATTCGCCAAGAGCCGCTAGTGGTTGGGTAGCTCCCGGCCGTCACGACTGATTATCTAATCCAAGCTGACGCTCAGGAACGGTTTAGCGTTGTGGAGAAAGATCTGGAGGCGGTTATGCTGGTTTTATTTTTATTTTTATTTAATTTTCTTTTCCGTTTCGTCTTTTTTTTTTTCCCTTTTTTTTTCGCTTTTCTTTTTTCATTTTTCCCATATTCCTTCTTGCGCACCATCCTGAAAACCTACCCATGATCTCATGAATTAAGCATACAAGACCTGGAATTATTTAATTCAAGCAGAAATTCTACAGAATAATTAAAATAATTATTTATAAGTTGTCTGCTCTTTTAATGAACCCATAATGCCCAATCTTCCTAACACGAACACACAAACCCCCGGCAAAAGACGCCGAGTGGGGCTTCCCCCCGTGGTTGCTTCTAAGGTGCGTTAGTGCGACTGTGCTCCGTGGTGCTATGTAGCCCACAGGGCCGTGCAGCCGCATTGGCTTTCTCAGATCCCTGTTCCCCCCTTTTGTCCACCTGTCCGTACTTAATCCTCCGTCAAATGAGAACGGAGACAACCTCCGAGAATAATTACATATGTATTCTACTTGATTTTCTTTGTTGGGTCATCTTTTTCTTTTCTTTTTAATTCGATCTGTCCATATTTGGCTACACATTATATAGATATAATTATGTCTACGTCAATACGCTGCAAGACCAGCACAGACAGACCAAACCCGGAACTGTGCAGGGTGCAGCTGCCGAGTGACCCTGTGTCACGTCTCCTTTTTTTCTTCGCATCATTTTTCTCCGGACTATATTAGTGTACAAATCCCAGTACTAACCCCTTGACTCTTAAAAGTCCATGAATTTGTTAAAGTACCATGCAGGGTACCTTGACTCGCATATTCGCCCCTTCCGTCATTATTGTACCCGCTTTAAGCGGCTTAGCGTGTGCCCACAGTTTATTTTCATTTTTAATTCTCCTCAGCCACAGTCCAAATGGTCCTGTGCTTGTGGCTGGTGCATACCTGTGGATTCCCAGCGATGATCTTGATTACAATTTTCAGTGGACCTCGGGAGACTCCCGGATATGACAACCATGACAACGCTTTTTGAATTCCGTGTCCTTACGGAGTACGAAGTATTCACATACCATCAATTTTCTCCCTTCTTCATACAAAAGTACATATACAATAACAATAACAATAGGTATATGATATACGTGGCCATGTTGGAGATCATGTGTACCTTATATTTTCTCCTAATGATGGACTCCACTTGTGCGTGGGTACGCCTCATTTTTCATCAGGGTTTGCTAGCCGAGCCGCCGTCTCTGCCGTTGTGAAACGGAGGTTTCTCAACAGCCTCGGTCGATGTCTTATATATGCCCAGATAATTCCTAGAGATTTCCTGGGTTACACAGCCGCTTGTTATTTTAACTTGCCGACCGAGTCAAAAACCTGTCACTCGCGCTAATTGACATGTTTTACCCTTTAGCCTTTTTTTCCTTTTCTTTTTCTCTTTCATTCCTCAACTCAACTCCCTGCTGTCGTGGATGAGGACGGGTTCTCGCCGAGCCTTAATTTCAGATAATATAAATAAATACAACAATAACTTCACTACAACTGCATATCTCGGAAGCATGTCAAAAGCCAAAGCACCCCAGTAGTTACGGCAATGGCCCAGAGACAGATCAGCCGCGCGCATGTCTCTGCACTGCGGTCCCATCGTCGTGTCCACTGTGGAGACGCCCATGATAGATCCTGAGACCATAAATAAATAGTAAGAACCCAACACCCCCTGCGACGGGATTTTGCAGACGCCATGCTCCGAGGCGGTGGGTATGACCGTGCGACACGATTCCAGAGTTAGAATCGAGGCAGGGGGCGTGTGGGCCAGGAAACAAGGCTAGCCTTCACATTGTGGGTAGGAATTGTTGGCGCCTCCGAGTTGACCAGTGGGAGAGAAAGTCGTCAGACAAATCTATATATTGTACTTGATGTTAAATGGAGTTCTTCTCGGACGTGGCTTATCTGCACGGCCAACGCAGACCCTCCACCATTTGCTTCGCGGTGGATATAATACGCCTCATCGCCGGCCAGATCATAGGATGAGGAAAATAAAATAAAAAGCAAGGCAACTCAAAGCCAACAGAAAAAGAAAACATAAAAGTTTCAAAAGTCATGTCTTGCCAAGATTTGATAGTGCAAAGTGCAGGAATTGAAGGGCGGACCAGTTGGGACACAGATGTTCGATGTGTGTGACCTTGAAAAAGACCAAAAGCCAAATAGATGTGTCCATTTTCTACTCTCCCCGATCACTGATAAGATAGGAATCGTGGGGAGATTGGTCTGAGGGTGCGCCATTTCCAACTGGTCTCGGTGATGCAGATGCGTGGTTCAAGGACGTGGGGAGCACAGATGCTTCTTGTGTCAGGTACTTTCTGTTGGGTAACATATCTGTGTTGCGATGTGTTGGCGATGGGACATGAGAGATATAAGTCTAGTTATATATGTCCACGATTTGTCTAGATGCTGATGCTTATCATTTGACGTTAGGTGGTTTTAGGCCGATCAGGAGGATATATCTCATGGACTCATGGTTGTATCGGTTACCCCAAGGCGGGCTCAAGCCTTCCACACGGCCCCGGGGGTCATTTTCAGGTACCGCTAAGCCAATGATACCAAGCAGTTATTGATATGGGCTGAGTCGGCTAGTTGACTTCCAAATCCACCCCATCACATCTTTAATCACTTGTGGCTGCAAGCCCCCGTCAGCCACAGATGGGGGATCCTGGACTTTTGTTGACGAGGCACGTAAGTACTAGAGGAATATCTTTCGAGCTAAACTATTTAATTAAATCGATTACTTCCAATTTTTGAAATTTTTTTTTGGCATCGCTTTTTATACCCAAAGCATAGGCTCGGCATTATATATGTTTTGCTATAAACCCGACGATCGAACTCGACATTTCTTTCAATTTCTTTTTCCCCTTGACTATACACACAGCAGTTCAACAGAGAACTACGGTATACAGCAGAAGCAAACCACCCAAGTCCTCATATATTGTTTTTCCGCAACTTCCTGTCCAAAAGCCAACCTTCTCAATGGACGAGCATATGATCGCGTGACTTGAATGTCTGGAGTGGGAATCTTTATTTGCAGCGTGTTTCAAAATTAGTATCAGGAAAATGACATGAAATGCTATATCAAAAAAGAACGTGCGTATATATGAATTCTATACTACAACCTACACAGAGTAAGGGTACCCGTGGACACTAGGGGCGCTCAAAGGCCTTAGCCACGATACATTATTGAGAGACCAAGTTCCAACTGCATGTATTGCCAAATTGATAATCAGAATCGAGCAGATAAAAAAGATAATCTACATAGTCGGACTATAGGAGTTTGGTTGACACGTAGAAGACAAGTGAAGGAATCGTACGATGATGAGGGTCCAAAAATGCACATGTGCAGCAGATAGCCACAGGTAAGCCGGTATGATAATTGTGAGAACCGAGGGTCGAGGGTTGAGCGCATAAGAACGCGAGCCCTCCTTACCTTTACACGAAATGCCGAGATTGGCGAAGATCAGCGAACTGGCATTCCGAAACTCTGTGGCAGCCCCAGCATTTGTTTGGAAGCATCTTTTTATCTCACGTCTTCAATCCATTATGGGATTCGATAGGGCCGGCGGATATTTGTTGTGGGATTCGATGAGCACGTAATGGATATTGTGTTGGAAGCATTAGTGAAGACCACCCCATGTGAATGAGGGATAAACTCTGCAAGGGAAATTGAATGTATATGTCTTGTAGGGCGTGGTTGTTGCCTTGTTGGGGAAGAGCCGGGAAGAAGAGCTCGGATGGACTTTTCGTTAGAGACGGCGACCTCAGGTTTGCATGCAGTTAAGGGGGAAGGGGCCTTCATATATGATGTTGTACCTGTCATTTCCTAGGGAATATGCGACGAGTGACAGACAAACCCGTCTAATATGACAGGTAGATAATTTTGTCGATCGGATGGTTGTGAGATTTGAGAAATATGGAAGAGTCGATCATATTTGACGGTGATTCATAGCCAGCGCATGAGCAGGCCACCCCCTCATGTTGGGCGGTTTCAGCGCCCAAATTTTGGGGGATATGATTGATCTACACTCGCCACCTGTTATTATCATGCCAATGTCATAGGGTGCTTGGCTAATGGCAGTTGTATAGTTGATCATGGGCCGAATTTGAGGAAAAGCACATGATTCTCAGTATGTTGAGCAAAGAATGGCAGCCAAGGGGAGTTAGTTGGACAGCCTGCAGCTGTTAATAAAGAAAAAAACTGCAGACTGGACAGGGAGCGCGGCAACATTACAGTTGCCGAGCACAGAACACGCAATCAGTCGCTTCAGACCGCTCAGCCAAGCGGAGAATACGGTTTTGTATACAGTGCCCAGACACCCAGACAGAAAACCTTTACAAGCCAAGAGTCGAGCTCCGTCGATGAGAAAGCAAATTCTGGATCTGAAGCGGATGTCGGAGGCGTTGATTCGCCGATATCATCGGATTCATCTCAACGGGGGAGCGGAATGAAAGGGCGAGAAAGCCAAGACTTCCAAGACACTTCCTGGTCAGGGCTGAGAGTACCTAGGTATCTTGCAAGAGTATCAAGATAGGGACGGAGTATCTATTTTGGCCGATGCTATGCACCTTGGCAAAGCCAGAACAATTATTGGGGAAAGTTAGGTAAAAGATATTGAAGGATCTGAAAATTATTTCTCCGAAGTTGGATGCCAACACCCGCCAACCTCTGGGCGCCTGGGCGTTGATCCTCCTTGGGGGTGCTGTGTTTGACCCCTGATTTGAGTGTTAGACATGTATATATAGTAGCCCTGTGAGGCTATGTGAGGCTATATAAGGCCCACTTCTATATAAATACTAAATCACATAGAATTCAAAATGAATACTTTATTTACGTGACTTTGGAAGATTCCAAGGTTATGTATATGAGGCAATTGGAGCAATACATGTCATCACGTGTGTATAGCTGTTACCGCCAAGACTCCAGGCTTCGTCTCAGCGCGGATCAACTCGCCGCAGTCGACCAATCAGAGTTCGGCAAATGTCGACTTCTCGTCCCCGATGGCTGCTTGGCGCCTTGGCGAGTGGTAAAATCTCGTAATTCATCTGCATCTTTGACCTTCAGACCACTCAGCATCTTTGTCTCATGGTAGGACAACTGCACATCTTGTCCGACACAACCCTACCCTGTTATCGAGTACGCCCTATATAGTCATGATCGGGATAAAGATAAAAGGATCAGCAGGATACCCACAACAGATTCTTGTACCCCATACAAGGCTGGACTCAATGCCAAGGGCTCGGCATCTGGGCGTCTTGGCGAGAGGGATTGCAAACAGCAGGAAATGCTCCTCCGCTGTCTGGCACGGCCTTTTCTGGGCTTTCCTGGCTTTTCCGCTCTTTCAAGCTGCGGCTGTCCGTGGTCTCTTATAAGTCTCTCTTCCGCCCTCCCTGCCCGCCCCCTTCCCCCTTCGACTTGTCAACAGAGAGCCCCCCTATGCCAGAAATATCACGATTACGGAGACCATGCGGTGAATTCTACATGCAATAGTCGCCCTCTGTGCGTCTACCTTGTACGACTTTTGCTTCGTCTTCACCCTCGTGCTTTTATTTCCTCGCCATGCGGTCACCGGAGATGTCATATACTCCCGCCTACTACCAGAATCAAGGACCTTTTGGAACGACACATCCTCGCAGCTCGATCGTCACCCCTCCACCGGCTACCTGTCGATCCCAAGAAGAATCCTCCGTATTGGGTCACCCCGTAGGCGCATCTCGACCCTCCTCTCCTATACCAAGCCGCGACGTCAGTCCCCGTACCTCTGGCTCACGGACACACCGCGTATACCATAATCAGACACTGGGAGCACCTTCCTGGCCCGGCTCAGACCCCCGAGAGGCCGATTACGTTCCGGCCGGCGACTCAGCATCAAGTGGCGCACACAAGGAAGAGCGGACCCAGAGCAGTTGGGCAGACCGGCCGTCATTAATGTCGGGGGAACATTCCAACCCGAGCATAGTCCGTGTGCGAAAACGAGCCATTCCGGATGACGAAATAGTCACCAATGAGGGCCAAGATGCTCTCTTGATGCTGGTAAGTGCGCAATATAGTGGTTCAATGCCTCAAACACTAATAAAATCTGGCAGTTTCGTCTCACAATCGTCCCATTTTACTCGCTCGGCGCTTCTCTATATACCATCTTCGCCCTCCTCTTCGCCGTTTTGGTCTCACCTTTCCGTCTCTGCTCATTTTCTCCATACCTCCGCGCAACGACGTTCGCATCACAACTTTGCGACCTCCTTTCTCCTGTCCTCCACATCCATGAACGACTCGTTTGCTTGCAGCCACCATCGGTGGAAGACCGATCATCATCGACTCAATCGACCCAATGGATCCGCTCAGAGCCAGATTCGGACCAACCGTCAGTGCTATCCGAGCCGAGCGAGGGCTACGCTGTGACTTCTTCACTTTTCGTCCTGGTACTATCCCCGTTACTCAGCATCGTGATCCTCCTCTTCGCATGGACAGCCGCCTTTTTCTGGGTCTTCTCTATGGTCCTGGGTAACCCGGACGGCACCGAGCGGAAGGACGACGGCCGCACCGCCGTTCTTGGAGTCTGCAAATGGTGGCGGTCGTGGCTCTGCAAAGCCCGGAAATCATAATAACTTCCAACAAGAGCCTGCCCAAATGAGGCAGGCCACATCAGTGATATATCTCACCGCCAGCCCCACGAAAGCTGCATAACCCCCCCTTACCTTGAAATATTATACCACACCACATGATACCTCCCCTCTCGGTGCATGGGTGTATACCGGGAATACGTGGAACGACCTCACTTTACTTTACCCTTCACATGCTGATATTACCTTCCTGGTTGCTATGACTATACACATTTTGCATCGTCGATGCACGCGGCGTCTGGGATTGGCTTTTAATTTTACACGGCGTCCGGAGGGCGCACAGTGATCTCGAAATTATTTCGACGTGTATCGTCTCTTGTTATTGTGTCTTGTAGGTTATCGGGATCTGATTGAGGATCCCCCCCCCTGCTTGACCCAAGACTTTCAATTTTTGTCTTGTTCTGTTGGTGAACTGGTGGGATTCTCGACCTGCCTTGGAACTGTACTTGTATGTATGAAACTTGTCTGTGAGAAGAGGTTGTATGTATGCACTGCTCTCGAGTGCGAAATTGATACCCGGATTTATTGCTTTTGATTCTTGGTATTTACTTGGAATAAATATTGTACCTAGGTAGAATTTGTTGATCACTCAATCCTTGCAGGATAGTTGACCAGAAGCATATGTAGCAAAGGGAAAGTTGGGAATCATCGCTTCAGATGGCTGTCTCATGCCTTCCAACGTACATACATGGATGTAGGCAATTCTACATACCAGGCCTGGAGATCTCCTCTACCGGATGAGGCTCTCCTATCTCAATTCCGCTTTCATGGGAGCGCTCAGCCAGGCTGAGTAAATTGTAGTGAGCTGTCCAGCCCTGCTCATGAACACATAGGTACATATGTAGGTCGTGATTCTCCCAATGTCGGATTGGCTGCTTTCTAATCGCTCACTGATTACTCCGTACCCAGAGACTGTCCAGGTGGTTAGAGGCAGATAACAGTGATACTCGCCACTAGGTTTCGCCTATTCTGAATCGTGAATCCCCACCCTATAGACACGCTGTCCCTTTCTCGTGAGCCTTCGACTTTGCCATGGAACTTCATCTATTCCATGTCCATCGTGCAAATAATGCCGAAGGCCTCTTCCCACACAGTCAAAAGCCCTCCCCATGTTCTTTTGCAGGATATGATCTGGTGTTGCAAATCTTTGGCTAGCATCTCGCAATTCCTAAGCTCGAGGCTGCTGTCGTATCAGTCTATTATTGTCACCCAACTAGGTACCTTATATATGTAGGCTGGTAGGATGCCATAGCCACTAATGGAAGCTAGCCAGACAGCCACACAGCCACACAGCCACACAGGCCCTAAGGTCATATTTCCCAGTGATATCCTTTCGGGGTAACCATTGCCGAGTCTGCAGATCTGAAGGGAGTCATCTGACCATTTGGAAATATTTTTGCACCAATTGTACACTTTGCCGAATCGCAAAACAATGAGAATGAGTTGGATTCTTGTATTTGTTACTGCTTCCCCGCATTTGACCCCAGTGGAGATCTGCCAAGTATATATGTCAACATCAAGAAGCCACTGTAACGTGTAGGCTTAATTTCCCCCCTAGCTCATCAGCTGCGTTGACTGCCGTGTGCTCCAGATATCTTAACTACCTCAATCCCAAAGAGTGCCCGGGATCATGGGTGATATTGTCCTCTCGCAGAAAAAGCGCTATGCGCTGATCGGCACTGGTGGGAGATCGGCTTTGTTCTACACCAGCATTGCGAAGGATTACAAAAAGACCAGCAGTCTCGTTGCAATCTGCGATACCAATCAGACTCGACTCAACTATGCGAAAGCCAAAATCGAAGCCTTAGGCCACGAACCGGTCCCAACATATCTCGCTGCCGATTTCGATCTCATGATTAAGGAAACCAAACCAGACGAGGTTATTGTCACCACCATCGACCGTACCCACCACACCTACATTGTCCGTGCCTTAGAGCTTGGCTGTAATGTCATCACCGAAAAGCCAATGACCATCGATGTTCCGCAATGCAACGAGATCCTTTCGGCTGTTGATCGTACCAACAAGAGGGTTAGGGTCACCTTCAATTACCGTTACGCGCCCCACAACACGAAGATATTTGAAGTCATCCGATCCGGCGCGATCGGTACCGTTACAAGCATTCACTTCGAGTGGATGCTCAACACATCCCACGGCGCAGACTACTTCCGACGTTGGCATCGTGATGCTCGGAACAGCGGCGGTCTTCTAGTCCATAAATCCACCCACCATTTTGATTTGATCAACTTCTGGCTGCAGTCTCGACCAAAGACAGTATACGCACAGGGAGATATCAAGTTCTACGGGAAGAAGAACGCCGAGGAGCGGGGTGTGACCCAGTTCTACTCGAGGGCTCATGGCAGCGAGGCTGCTAAGAATGATCCGTTTGCACTGCATCTGGACGAAAACCCTCAGTTAAAGTCTCTCTACCTGGACGCCGAGCACGAAGATGGATACTTCCGTGACCAAAGTGTCTTTGGCGATGGAATCAGCATTGAAGACACGATGAACGTGCTCGTTCGATACGAGAACAGCGCAGTCTTGACCTACTCTCTCACTGCATATGCCCCCTGGGAGGGCTTCCGTGTTAGCTTCAACGGAACAGGCGGTAGACTCGAGGCGGAGATTGTGGAGAGCAGCTATGTCAATTCTGGTGGAGAGCAATCCCTAGAAGGCGCCGCTGAAAGTATAACTCTCCTTTTGCGACCTCTGTTCCAAGAGCCGCGCAAGGTTGAGATTGAGCAAGGCGCAGGTGGACATGGGGGAGGTGATAATGTGCTGCTTCGTGATCTTTTCGGAGAAGCTGAGCCCGATGAGTACATGAGAGCTGCTAGTCACATTGATGGTGCGGCTTCTATTTTGACCGGTGTCGCTGCCAATCGCTCGATCCGTACTGGACAGGTGGTGAACGTCAGAGATATTCTCGACCTCCCTTGAACAATGTCGGCTGTATAGATCGATTGGGTTTGCTGTATTCTGGCCTCATAGAACCTTTTTGGCAATAACACATTTGGACTGGATTTTGTTGATGAACTAGCAATTGGCAATACAACCAAGCTTGTGGACAAAATGGCTGATGCACTTATTATTTTGACTATCAGGCTGGATACCCGTGCTCGAAAGACTTTATTCTCATCTGCATTGGTTCGTCGGCTCTCTCAGTCTACATGCGGCAAGAGAATCACAGACGGCTAAACCGGGTTAAAGGGAAGCCAATCTACTAGTTTGATATAGCCTCAGATGAGAATGCGGGGAAGCACGAAGGATGTTGATGTACCCCGGTTTTCGGGTAAATAAGCAGCGACGGGGGCTTCTGAGCAATGCTTCCCCGCAATATCACCAAAAAGCTTCCAAAGGAGTAGTACTTGGCCATCGTATTATTCCGTATTTGTCCTAGTTTATGTTTTAGCTGACTTTGATAGGTGCAAAAACTGATTTAGACTATACCGTAGTGGTACCAGGACGGAATACAGAGCGATCTTACCACTCATGATGCCTTTTCCGACATTTGCTCTCTATGCTAGGGTCAAAGCGATGACGAACTATTGGTCTAGAGATAAAAGGAAGATAAGAGGCTTTTATTCCTTTAACTATTGGACACTTAAGCAATTTGGACCTGGACTACCCTTCTTCAACCACTTGTTGTATCCCCCGCCATGGCCCAAGCCGACGATGAAATCTCAACGGTCCAGGAGCAGGAGCAACGCCATGAACGAGCTACACGTTCAAAGGCAGTTGAGTTTTTGACTAGTCATGCGACTGAGGAGACTGCATTCACCTACGAAGAGGAGAAGCCGTTCTCCGCCGTATCGACAAGCGAATCCTCGTCCTTGTTCTTTGGGCGTATTTCTTCCAGCAGCTTGACAAAAGTTCCTTGAGGTAAGCATGGCCTTTTATGCTACATCGTTTCCAGGTGGTCCAACATTTTCCTAATGCTCACGATACTAATCCGTCATTAATTAGCTATGTCTCCATTTTCGGCCTGCAAGAAGATGCCAATCTAGTCGGCCTACAATATTCCTGGCTTGGGTCTATTCTCTACCTCGCACAATTGGTAATGCAACCTCTTGTGGCGCTAGTTTTGGTGAAACTCCCTACCCGGAAAAGTCCTCGCCAGTGCCATTTTTCTCTGGGGATCAGCACTTGCCATTATGGCCGCTTGCACTGATTTCCCCTCGCTGCTCGGATTGCGCTTCGTCCTTGGCTCATTCGAGTCCTGCATTGCACCATGTTGTGTTGCTATCACACAGATGTGGTGGCGTCGAAGTGAACAGACTTTGCGTGTCAGTTACTGGAACGCAATGAATGGTCTGACCGCCATCATTGGTAGTCTTCTTACCTACGGCCTTGGACATATTCACAGCAATACTTTATATCGGTACCAGACAATCTTCATGTTCTGTGGTCTTTTGACAGTGGTTTACTCCTTTCTCGTTTTCTGGTTAATGCCTGATTCGCCGATGGAAGCCAAGTGCTTGAGTGATCGGGAGAAATTCATTGCCACAGAGAGATTGCGTGCCAACCAGATGGGTATTTCCAACCAGGAATGGCGATGGGATCATGCCCGAGAGGTTGTCTTAGACCTCAAGACTTGGTGCTGGTTTTTCTCGATTATAACTATCTCGTAAGTATTGAACCTTTGGCAAATTGCCATGCGAAGAAAAGAGGGAATTGGAACTAACCAGCACTTGTAATAGTATTGCAAGCGGAGGTATCTCGACCTTCGGTTCCCTGATTGTGAAGTCATTCGGATTTGACAGCTTCCAAACAATCTTATTCAATATTCCCTTCGGGGTCATTCAGATTCTGGCTATCTTAATCACAGGATGGCTGGCTACATGGACGCAACGTAAAGGTCTCGTTATAGCCGGAGCCAGTGTACTGCCGAGCGCCGGAGCCATCATGATGCTTACTGTCCCGCGACACCATAAGGGTGTCTTACTCTTCGGTTACTACTTGGTATGTTCCCAGTAACATAGTGATGTATAAGATCTGCAACTAATGTTTGGTCCCAGGTCTCTACAATGGCATCCATTACACCACTAATATATGCCTGGCAAGCACAGAATACCGCAGGTGACACTAAAAAGAAGTGTACCTCTGGCGTCGTATTCACCGGCATGGCCGCTGGTAATATCATAGGCCCGCTTCTTTACTCTACCGAGGAGGCACCATTATACCGAACGGGTCTTATAGCCAACCTTGCTATGTTTGTCACTGTTGGGACCATCGCCGGGTACGCTCTAACTCAACTGTGGTTTTACTCTTCAACTAACTTCATTCGATAGCCTCACTCCTTTCTATCTCATGCACCTGAACAAGAAGCACGAGAAGCGACGCGTGGAACTCGGGAAAGTGGGCCCCGTGGCTGATATGTCTATGCTGAACAAGGACAAACGGAAAGAGACCAAGGCAATGGAGCTGGAGGATATTCGGGATCAAAAGGTCTCGGTGGAACAAGACAACGGTTTGCAGGACATGACCGATCTGAAGAACGAAGACTTCGTCTATGTTTATTAGCCCCTAAGGATATGCAGAGCACAAACAGAGAGCTTCACTCCCCTAGAAGCAAACTGAATCGCAAAATGCCACTACTGGGGACGCTTTTCACTGGACGGACCCGAGTCATGACCTGCATTAAGTACTATCTGCGGAGAAAGCGTGTGAGCAGCGCAAAGATCGTATTGTAAACTTTACTGGGCTAAGTGATGGACCGGTTGTTAGGGCCTGGTCACGTGATATAAATGTCTGCCTGATTTGCCAGACTATTGATGCCTGCATGTTTTCCCTCCTTCCTCTCTCTCTTCCTTCCCGAGTCTTCTGTTAGTCTTCAATACAGCCTTTCCACTCTGCTTGTTCTTAGACACCACGGTCTGATGAGCGATGGAAAGCGTCTCAGTCTTTTTGCTAGCATGCAGCCTGGTTTTGTCACTTTCAATACCTGGAGAGTCATTCGACGATATAGCAGACCTCCCTTAGTATTGCTGGGGAGACATAAGCTGTGTCGATGAAGACAGTGGTCACTGTGTGTATAAGAGTGGCTCCAGGTTGTGAGGTAGTGCCTTGTTAATGCCCATGAACTTTTCGAACTTGAGTGGCGTTGATTTTGCGAACAGGACTCACTCCTGTATTGCGGGGGCATATCCCTTGTCGAATAATAAGACAAGTAGAGCAACAGCGAATAATTCAACGATTGCACAGCTGAACAATTGTAATTGAATTGTCATATAACACCATAATTAACAGATAATTATAGACATGGGAGTATCAAAAGAATGAAGCCGCGGCCGCTTCAATAGTTATCGGTTCGTATTCAACATCACCATCATGGTCGACAAAAGAATATTCAGGGTCGTCATCAGACAGGCCAATGTCATGAACATCCAAACCAGTAACGCCACGAGATAACATCTGGATCTTTATCTCCATATCATGTTTTCTCTTTTGCTCCTTCACCTCCTCTTCTGTCGTCCTCTTCAACTCCCTCTCGTACGCGCGCTGCTCCTCTTGATCCCGGGCATTGTCCGCCCATACCTTCAGGTGTTCGGGATATCTCAAACACCAGATCACAATATCCCGTGTAGCATGTGCATCTTCCAGCGCACTGTGGCCCTGTTTCCCGACTTGGATATCATAATTGACCAATTCGTTGGTAAGAGTCTTCAGACTCCATGTGCGGTTGAGTGGTTCACGAGCATGAACAGTATAAAACACCGCTTCGCTGGTAATGATGGAGGAGTCGACAATGTTCCAGTGGATGATACCCAATACGTCAAGATCATTGTTGAGAGAATGACCAACGAGGACAGTCTCGCTATCCATGAACTCCCATAATTTCGAGCGCGCTCTTTCCCAGCCAAACAACGCCGTCCCTTTCCTGACAGCCTTGTTCATAGCACCAGGGGTCACGCCGCTGAATCGAGAATCCCAATTCACGACCTTCGACTTCGGTTGCACGTAATTGTCGATGAGAATCTCGCCAGTCAAAAAGTCAATCGCGCTCAAGAAAGCAAGCTCCCGACGCCCTCCTTCGACCTGCACCATCTCACAGTCAAGTACAATTGCTCTCCTTTTTGGCAAGCCGTCGGATGGCCGAGGAACTTGGCGGAAATGTCCTGTCTTCGGAGGGGGCTTCTTGGACGGTCGTCTGCCGACATCTGCCAAGCCAGCCCTGAAGGTGAAGCCTCGTGAAACCAGACGCGTGTCCGAGTGACATCGTGCCGACAAGTAGCGAAAGATCAAGTTTTGCTCGAGCGGCTCGAGGACAGCATGGTAATTGGCGTTTTGGATGGCCGGTTCTTCAGAGGTCTTGTTCCATACGTCCTCCACAGCCTCTGCCCTCAATGGAGCATGTACTGGTGTCTGATTTGATGTGCGCTTCTGAGCTGGTTTCGCAGGCTTGGCGGGCAAGATATCAGAGCGATCCAGGGAGTTCTCAAGCTTTGTTCTCTTTTGAGTGGGTTTCACAGGTTTGGCAGACAAAGACTCAGACAATTCCTGGGGCATCTCAGGCCCTTTTTTCTTTGTAATAGAGTTAGGGTTGACAGACAGGGGCTCGGAACGACCCTGTGACTTTTCATGCTTCGTGGTCTTTGGTGGCTTTGCAGGCTTGACAAAAGACTCAGACAGATCCGGCAACTTCCCAGATTTCACAGGCTTAGAGGCTGATTTAGAAGGCTTGACAAATGACTCGGAAGGATCGAACTTTTCTTGCTTCGTGCTCTTTGGCGTTGGTTTTGCCGACTTGAGAGACTTGAGATCGGAACCATCCGAGGGCTTTTCATGCTTCTGGGAGTGCTTGAGCAACGCCGTTACATTCCCAAAAGATCTGTCGCATGAACCGCAAGCAAGTTTGTGACCTTTGGACTCAAAATGAGCCTTGACGGCACCAATGCTTTTGAAGCCACCTCTCTGACATCCAGGACAGACAAATAACT